TCGCGTTTAACTCTCTATAGTCTATATAAAGTCTAAGCCTACTATCTTTCTTTAGTATAAAAAAGATAGATATATCTAATAAACTCTTTAAGTATCGGATCTAGTCTTTTTTAAGGTTTTTCTTAATATATTAGCGGAGGACTTTTAACTTCTTAGCGAATAGTATATATATTAGCCTCTAAGTAGGTATCTTACTTAGTATTAGCTCGATTATATAATTATACTCTACGTAGGTTAGAAAGACTATAATACTTTCTTTATTTATTATAATAGTTAGATCTTAGTATTTTAGTAAGAGTTTAGTTAGAGGTTATACTAGATAGAAGGTCCTATCTAAGCTTTATATTACTTTTAGTATTACTATAAACTCTTTAGTAATCTTATCGATATCTAAATATAGCTCTCTAAGTATATTTTATAATCTTACTTCTTCTTTAAAGTCTTCTAGCGGAAAGATTTTAATCTTTAGTAAGGCTATATTTCTATATATTTATTTACTAATTATTTAGTTAATATCCGGATTTATTAGTCTAAGCTAATCTATTTCTAAGATTATATTATAAATTATTATATTTATAGCTTTATAGATTATTTTAATAACTTTATAAGTTTTATTCCGGTCTATTAGGCTAAGCTATACTTCTTAACTTTTATATAAAGAGATCTTATACCTATCTATAGCTTCTATTAAGTAGGTACTTATTATATATATTTCTTTTAGGTTCTCTTTTATCTATTTCTAACTTATAAAACTCTAGATTATATTATTATCTATTAATATTTTAACTATCCCTATTAAGGCTTTAGTCTTAATATCTAATATTAGTATATTATAAATAAGTACTTAGTATACTCCTTTATATTCTCTAAAGAGAACTATCTCTAATACTATAAAAGTCTATAATATAGAATTATCTATTTTTTTAACTCTTCCGCGGCTATAATATTTACTATAGCTTTTTTATAGTAGTCCTTTATATAGTAGCCCGGCTTACTATAAAAGTTATAGAATTTACTATTTCTACTTTAGTCTTATTTAGACTCTATAATAGCTTTTCTACTTTCTATAGTAGTTATAGCTTATTATATAGGAAAGGCGCTATTTCTTTTAAAAGGTCTTCTACTAAATCTTTATAAGTCTATAATATTTCTTAGCGTTATCTTCCTAGTCTCTCTAAAATATAATATCTTATCTAGTATTACTTTCTTAATTTAATTATAAAAGGCTATCTAGTTATCTTATTAATCTATAATAGAGGTTATAAACCTTTTTACTTTATCTTATATTTTCTTAATAATACCTATCTCTAAATAGTTAATTCTTATCTATTTAGTTAGTATATCTTTTAGATAGTTATAAAATCTAATAAGCTTTAAAATATATTAATATATATCTTAATATTTAGCTTACGTTATCTACTATTAGTTATATTTAGTTTTTTATTATATTTTAATAAAGTCGGTAATCTAAGTAAGTATCTATATTTTAAAGACTAACTAAATAAATATTATATTTAGATTATTCCTATAATATTTTATTTATATTATATTAACTTTTAGCGCTAAGAACTTAGTTACTTAGTCTATCTTATATATATCGCTAATAAATTAATTAAAATATCTATTCTAAAAGGCTTTTTAGTTTAACTTAAAGAGATTATATTTACCTAAACTCTTAGCTCTATATATTATTATATTATAAGATATATATAGTTCCTTTACTTCCTTCTAATAGGATAAGTAGTCTCCGGTACTTTCTTATAATATAATTAAGTTTATATAGATAGTATTAGATAATTAGTAAATAATTTAGTTAGTAGTACTACTTAGTAAACCCTAATAGATTTTAGATTCTTATATTCTCGTCTATAGGATTACTACGTTTTCTTCTTTATCTTATAGCTCTATATAGATCCTATTTTTCTCTTTTACTAGAGCTAGATATCTTTTAAAGGTCTCTAACTCTCGGAGTTCTACCTTCTTATCTACCTTAGTTAGGGTTATCGGATCCGGTAGATTTCCTCCCTAAGGGTTATTATCGACTTCTTATATCTCTACCTCTTCCGGTAGGGGTTATAGGGGTCCTAAGACGTCGTTCGTTTCCGCGATCGGGGCTAAGGCTCCCCTTAGGCGGTCGCTTATACGTTAAGTCGTCGATATTACGTATTCTAACGGTCTAGTTTAATTAAGATTTTAGCGATTAGAATATTAGGACCGGCGTATTAGCGGGTCCTAGTAGGTAATATAGAACTAGAGTGAAGGAATAGTAGAGTACTAGTATATTTATAAACTAATCGCTAAAGAGCTAAGTTCCCTTAGTAGTCTCTATATAGACGACCTTTGGCGGGTCACGGGACTAGGTCCCCTGACCCGGTAGGACTTAGTCTTCCTAGTGTAGTCTCTGGCGGGGGGTCATGCTACCCCTACTAGGTTACGGGTTCTGGGTCACAGGACTAGGCGGGATCTAGCCTGTGAGGCGCTCTCCTAGTAGAGGGTCGTAATATTCTTTTATATAGATAATTATACTAATTATCCCTAAATAAATATTAAATTAGATAGTAAATATCTTATTTATTAATATAAAAAGTATTATAAGTCTTTATATTAAGGTTATATTTAGATATAAATATAGTTTCTATAAATTAGATTTAGTTTACTTAGTATATTTTAATTTTTTAATAAAGAATTATCCTATATTATAAATATCTTTTTTTATATTTAAAGGAATTTACTAAAGAGTCTTACGATATTACTTTAATATAAAATTATTAAAAATATTAAACGTAAAACTTTAACTAGATAGGTTTTTTCTTAATACTATAAAGCCTTCGATATAATTTTTTAACTTCTATAGTATTAGAAAGGGTATATCTTAAAAAAGTTTTACTTTATTTTCTTCGCTAAAGGAAAGCTTAAACCTTAAAATAGTAAGTATAACGCCTTAGCCTAAATATAGAGGTTTTTTAAAATAATTTAGTTATAGATAAACTTATAAAGTCTAATAGAGTAGAGTAGTATTATATTTTTTAAGTATAACTAGCGCTAATACTTTATAATAAATAATATTATCTTTTTCTTTAAAGGTATATTAGTACTCTATAGTAAAGCTACGAGATATAGTATAAGACTTATATAGTTTACGATCTAAACTAATTTTTTTAGATAATTCTATATTAATAATAGGGCTTAGTAAAGAAGTAAACGGTAGATAAGAGCTAGGTAGTCTCTTTTAAGTGCTAGGCGGCTAGGGGATACTAAGCTAAGTCTCCTACCCTACTTTTCACTTTTCACCCTTACTTACGCTTACCACCTTCTATCACCTAAATCACCTAAATCACCTAAATCACCCATACTCACCCTAGTGGAGTAAGTCTTACTACTTTTAATCATTTAGGCTTTTATTTTATCGGCTATATTCACCGTGTGGCTTGAGTACGGCTAAGCGGACGGGAAGCCCTATTTTCCACACCCTATGGTCGTATGTGCTTAGTAGAATAAGAAAGAGAATCATAGCTCTTTGAACTCTACATAATTACAGGGTCATGAGTGTGCATGCTGAAGTAGACAAAGTCCTTCGAATGTTTACATGTCTCATTTGTCCTTATTCGAGCACATCACAATTCCCTCCCAGTGTCGTTATGAGGAAATATCGAGCTTTGAACTAGAAATTGCATCATTAAGAAGAAGCCTCAAATGTACTAGCTAGGGAGAGTCAGAGTGGTAGTTGAAATAAGCTTCAACGTCAACGTATCATTGAAAATCAGAATCATCCGAAGTTCTCTTGTTGAGGCAGGTGCCTCAGGCCGACAGGCCCCATGATAGATAGATTTTTCCTCTTTTCCTCTCTTCTCTCTTCTTTTCTCTTCCTTGTCCTCCCGTCCTCTTCTTTCCGAAGTCTAGCAAAATACAAGATAGTTTCTCCCTATTCTCGCATCGTACTCGGCTTAGTAGATCTCTTCATTTGTAATGTCTCAAAAAGTCGAATCGACGTGTACAGAGTACTGGGATATACAGTGAAAGAATTGGTCCAAGCTAAAGGGACTTCACGAATATCATCGATTCTGATAACGACTGCACCGAGGAGAACGAGGTCTTCGATGATATTATGCACTAAAGGCTTTGAGCAATACCTACAAGTTTTGGTATATGCCAGATATAGAGCCTAGAAACCTAGCAATCCTATGATGTGACATGGCCGCCTCAGAGTTTGAGTAGTGGACTAGTAGAGATTGCAAAAAAAAATTAGAAGGCTCAGAATTAGTTTACTAAGCTTTTCTGTACATTCCTTAAGCTCAGTCTCGACCATGGTCTTTCCGATTGAAGTCGGGGAGCCAAATTATCGTGATGGCGAGATACCGTTCGTTGCTTGATCATCGTGGTTAATGTGCTTTGCGTCGTATTTTTCACTTATTTTCCACAGACCGTTCTCTATCCTAAGTGGCTATGCTTCGTTGAACATGTCGCCAATGATGCGAGGACCGGAACTCACGACTATAGGTAAGGAAGGCTCACAGGGCTATTTGGGAAATTCCATTCACATGTTTATCAGTTGGTCATATTCCATACCACTCCGTCGTGACTTGTGACAGAGCGAGAAGAGCCATTGCCGATTGCGGCATCGGTGCTAGGAGCCCCAGGTATGCTGTCCCTAGCCTTGGAACTACTTTGTACTAGGCTTGGCCTTTTAGGAATGGACCTTATTCTTGCAGATATAGTAGAAAGGGGTATGCGAGCTGGAAATATTCCGACAAGTTTGAAAACCGGGCGCTTTATATATTGAAGGCTGGAGGAGTGGCGAGCGATTCTATAAATGCAGTCTTTGCGAGGGAAGTCAAGGCTTCCAACTACATTGTTTCAAGTTGTGCTTTATCTTCAAGGCTTAGTTTGCTAACCAAATAACTCGTTATATAGCGCCAATAGTAAATCATATTGCATTGATGGCGTATTTGCCCTTCTCCCGTGTTGAAACCAGGTCCTGCTTGTCTAGAATAGTCTTCTCATTATATACAAAGACCAACTTTGGGAGCGCGAACATACTTCAATTCCCAGTCAAGGTTATCGTGTAAGACCGCATATCCGTGATGCTGAGCAACTTGATAACGCACTCTCATGGCCCCGACATCCCGCTCGGTACAACCTTCAATCGGATCGAGGACCTCCGGCTCATAATGATCATATCCGGCTATCTCTTCATCGCTTAGCTCTAATGGCTTCCATCCGCCATACACAAGCCGAACAAAGGCCGAGGCATCAGATGAGTCGCTTGCTGGAGCATTTAGAACTGATTGCACGCATTCCTCGTCGGCCATAATGCAAAACTTGTACCGGCCAGACAGTTTCTGTTGCGCTTCTTCTGCCGAGACTCCTTGCTCCTCCTGGGGTGCAGTAGTCGCCCACTTGTTAAAATGATCCCGAATGGTAAACGAAGACGCGCCCTCGAAGGACGGGTCCTCGAATACAGTCGGTGCGAAGCGAGCGAGGATATCGGCTCCATTGCCATCCGTTAGCACCCTCGTAATTGGTTCGAGGTATCGCTGCATGAACTTCTCCCAGTCTGAGTCACTCTTGTATGTGCAGCGGTACAGCACAAATCCCCACGTGCGGAAGCCATCATTTTCCATGACTCTTTGGAGTTGAGATGCTGGTGATTGTGTTGGGTCACGTTGAAATCGGACCCTCGGCGGCACGGGATTCAATATATCAGGAATTTGATGCGTATGAAAGAACTTCTTTCTTGGGGCATATAGTGCACAGGACAGATAGTTATGTGTGACGGTGGGAATCCTCAGTGGATGGGTACCAGGTCGTGCAAGTCTGAGGAGGTTTCTCCTGGTGCGCAGCATCGTGGAAAGGGAACGGTATTATAGTAATTCAAAGATTGAGAACGATATGCTGGGAATAAAATAAAGGAGAGTCTGTTGACATTTTTAAACTAGCCGCTCATGGTGGTATGATAGGCGACCCCGCTTCTCGCTGGTAAAGTGGCCAGGTCTCCCTTCCCCAGACGAGTTGGTCGGCTCGGCCCGACCGTTTGCGGAGACACATGATCGTACTTCCCCAGTTTAGCCACCGTACGAGACCAGGCATCGGACATTTGGCCGCTATGTCCCTTCATGCTTTTATGGAACCTGAATGAAACCAAAGTAGTATCCATCGGGGCGGCACCATAAGAAAAGTCCTGTGGGAACAAACTTCCATTTGCCAGACAAGACTAACTAGATCACAAGCGAGGATAAGAGAAGACAACAACTCAACAGACGAAGCTAAGAAGCTAGCTTCCCCAGCCCGAACAGCCATGTGAGAATGACGTCATAACCCCAATCGAGATCCAAACAACCCGAAACCAACACCATGAATGCACCCTTCCCAGCCCAAACATCAGCAGGGATTGAGGAGGTACCACAGACGGTCTTTTAAATCAAAGCATGGGCAGAATACTTTGGATTCATATCTGCAGTCTCATTCTCAGCGCATAATTTTCTTATTATTGCAAATACCACAGTGACTTTGAACAGGCGCATCTCAATCCCGAGTTTGTACGCGCATAAAGATTCCACGCTCTCTTGGTGGCATGATGAAGAGATTATGGCGGCTGCGGTATAACAAACGAGAGAGACGGCTGGCAAGGAAGATTGCGCCTTTTGATTCAATCATAAAAACCCGAGAAGGCCCCGTTCAGCTCTATCACACCGGCGAAATTTGTGGTCAATATGTGAAGACTTTCTGCATAGCACGTTATTTCGATCGCCATGGAAAGCGACCGATGACCGGCATTGTGAAAATGTAGCTGAAGTTACTCGCCAGATTCCGAATTGACTTTCCGTATGCCGCACGGATAGATTGATGAGATGTGAGATATAGCGCAATTGGTGTGATGGATTCGGGAACTTCTGCAACATCTCCAAGACTTGGGATTCGACGTGGGATAGCAAAAGAGCATACCTAGCGTATGCGAAATCCTACGCGAAGAGATGGCCAATACCGTTCGAAATGCAACTGGTTATGAGAGCATATTTGGGAGAAATTTCTGTTCGTTCTGGGTATCGAATGAATGTGCGCCTATCGCTCTCAGCGTATTTTGACGAGAATGCGAGTTCTTCACGTCATTAATGTCTGTGAATAAGCTGATCCCGACGTGGAGATTCTGGCGGCGATAGAAAGACTTATGAAGATTGATTACTCCATACTAGGGTCACCATTGAAACCTTTAGCCTTCATGACTTGGTTCCCCGGTAGCAAATGGTCCACTGACATTCGCTCAAGTAAACCCCTCCGCACTACACTCCCCAATTTGGTGAAACATCTCACTCTTACCAACATATAACGATCGTTTAGAAGACATGAAAACTTGGATTTCACTGAATATCTCAAGGATATATGACTAATAAGGCGCAAAACAAATCTTCCCTTCCGCACAGTCGTCCTAAGGTCACGTAGTTCGCACGAAAAATCCCCAATACACTGTTATCACCTAAGCAGCACGTTTGGCACCATACCATATCAGCATTATACTGCAGATCTACTCCACCGTCCGTCGAATTGTCTCCCGTAATGTCCGTCGAAAAAAAAACGCGTGGCTCACAGTGTGTACGCTTTATAATCACGACCCGCTGCCTCGAACGCTGTCATGGGCTCGCTTATGCTTTGGATACTGGATTATACACACCGAGTTAGTATTTTCCAACTATATCCTTTCATAATTTTCACGGGAATGAAGAGAAACCACTCACACAAGTCTGACAATAAGGTCCATTACCTGCCCTGGGTTGGCCCATCTTTGAATCCCAGCTCCAGCACTTTTCCTCAGCCGGAATTGGTCCGTGACATCCAGTACAGTCCGAGTCGTAGCCGTACATAGAATAGTACCATTCAACTGCTGCATCGGGAAGAGTCTATAGGAGATTTCCATGTTAGTAGAAGGGTTCAGTTGAGACAGGGCATCACTAACGGTTGAGGAACTCATGGCTATAGTAGAGTATCTGTAAATAAGATGGTATATGAAGTAAGTCAATGGAATGGTGAAATCATGGACGAGGCCTGGGAAACGAGAGTATTTTTATGCGGCACGGGGCACTGGCCATTCCCCAGGTATGAAGTATGAACCCGGGTGTCTGCTACCTCATCATGATCCCCGCACCTGAGCCTCATCATCACCCGGGCATCACCCGGGTTTCACCCAATCATCTACCATCATCACCTATGAATTCCTACTATGAAGAACTGAGTTCAGTAAAATTTGTTCCAAAATCGTTTGATATTGATTCTTCCATAACAAAATAGAATTCGAGTGAGGGTTTTGCCATTTGAGTGTTTTCTGTATATCTCCTGACATGTATACATGAACAATATTGCATCTATTTGATGCATCTACACTCCTTGGAGTATGGTGGCTGCTTATGGCTGCGCACAGCCAATGATTAGTGTTTTTTGGGCGGTTGGAAAGGCAGATTACCATCCGACTAACCACGTACTAGGGAGGTGTCCTGCTACCCTAATTTGATAGATGCATCGTTTTGTTGGTGAATCTTGAATTACACCTTAGCCAAGGGGGATTGTGTGGTGATCATTCGTCGTGAAGGTGGTGCTTTTGTATCTCTCTGCTCGTAATCAGCCGATGCCTCGTCCACTCATCGGAAGGCCAATGCAGAATTATCCGTTGTGAACGGCATTTCCTGGAAAAGGTCTCTATGGCTTTGATGGGCGTTGTTGGCATAGCAGAAGGTGGTTGGGTCAGGCTTGCGTTCTACGATGACACTGGGAGATCAAAGATTTCCCATTGAGATCGGAGCTCTAGCGTGACGATACCTCTGTGGGTGAATGTTGTATTTCTCGGCTTTGTTACGCCTAGTTAAAGACGGGAATGTTCAGTGTTGGAGCATTAGGTGGGCTGGTCCGAACGAGCCTTAGGCTCGAGGTTGTCGGATATGCTGGCTCATTCCAACAGTGAAGATTCGCGAGCCGAGATTAGTGATGCAGGCAGAGATGCGGAAGGCTTCAATGGGTGCGGTCCCGTAAAAGATAATCGCCCAGGACCCGTCGGTCCAGGTTATGTGGACTGCTGAGGTATGGCCAGTTATGTCGACCATGACAGCCGTGGAAGTGGTGTCGAGGAGAGGGCCATGAAGATAGTCGAGGCCCGGGGGTAACCGCTAGGCTGGAAAAGTGCTGATTTATTCCTTCCATCTTGTCTCCTTTTTCGTCCCCCATCTTCCTCCTCCCGCTTTGTATTCCATGGGTGCATCAGATGTCTGGCGATAGACGACCGAGTGTGTCGTTCTGTCGGATAATCCACCGGGTTTGTATCGACTGAGAACCCCAAAATGCCAAACGCAGGGCTATACACACAGCCTTGCGAGTTGAGGCTGACATGGGGACCCTGTCCTGTCTCATTGGCTGTCGCATTGATTGGTAAGAATGTACGAAGCACTGAGTGCTCCGTAGAGCTTTGTCGTCATGACAGTAATTTCACAGGACCAGCCGTTCCATGACTGCCACTTTCCAGGAGATTGCACCTGCTTATCTGTGAGTTACAGATGTCTCCGGGGACGTTGGTCAAGGCCTTGGTGCCTTCAGCCTTGGCCCCGGGGAACCAAATCGCTGACATGCACGTGTTTTGGTGGACCCTTCTCCCTTATGCTTGCATAACAGTCACAGTCAACACAACACAACCAGTTTGTCGTTTGTTTGGTATTTATTGCAGTGCCTGGACAACATTATTCAACAGCTATGAGTCTTGCACTGAAGACATTTCTCAAAGAGACAGACCAAGGGCCACGCGAGTCATGGGCGGATCGGGAATTGCATCTTGAGGATCTCCACCGAGAACCAGAGTGATGGATGGTCAATTGATATGCGAAACATGTGTCGTCGAGTTAAGTTTCATTTTATCAACCAGACGCATTGCATAAAATTCTAACAGGCCCCGACCCTGAGATCTTGATTGGAGCCTCAGTTCAACTAAAACTGGTGGAAATTAGCCCTCCATGAAGAACTGAGGCTTGTTTCCCCAAAGCCCGATTGCTTCTTTTGAGGCACTATGAATGGCGCAGTTCGGACTTTTGGCCCCAAGGCTACGAAACAGACCGTGCTAGTTGGTACTTCCAGGTGCTCAGTTCTCCTTACCATGCATGCCAAGCACGCGAGCAGATTTGAAATATTACAACCCGAACTACTCCGTACTCCGTAGGCTGTGTGATGCCCGCTGCACCAGGTAGAATGAGGGCAGGATCGAACTAATTACAGATGCGTTTAGTGCCTGACAATCCCCTATCATGACTCGATGGCATGAGGCCCACAGTAATTGGGGGCCAAGTTGGAAAGATCGACATCATACCCAGGACAACCACACTGGAGTCTTGATCCCCAAACCCGCTAATGTTCGAATGTTATGACGATACGCATATCAGTGGATTGAAGAATTAACCTCCTTCGTCTTCAACTCGGGTCTCCTGAAGATACCCTTGTGAGCCCGTTCACCAGGTGCTCGGTGTTTGATCTCGTCCTCCGACCACGCCGTCCGGCTTGGCAATTGGGGAGCCGCCTCGCGGATGATTGTGATTTGCTCTCTGCGTGGCTCCACATAACACTCCGTTGAAAACATCCAATTTCCACCCACAAGCACTGTTCAACGGCTCTGGGGGCCTTTGCATCTGAAGATGTGTTGGCTGTCCGCGTAATGGGCACTCCCAAATGCCTGAATTCAGTTCACTGCTACGGGCGCTTGCATGGCGTGTCTATCGTAGCGGTATCAACCGCGCGCAAGGCAAACAGACCTCGTCTTCACAGGTTATCTGTTAGCGCCATGCGGGTATAATCTAATGAGACAGCAAGTGTTGCGTGCATTATCCAAAACGGTCCGCCAAGTCCTTGAAGCGTTGATCAGGCCCGTGGCTTGGTCATCTTGGTTGGTAATTGGGGGTGTTTTCCGGGGGGCCGTGATGCATCAAAAAGGACCGAGCGGTGCCAAGATGACGGATTTCCGTAGTAGCGTATCAGTGAACCCACGTCGCAGCCACTTTTTCAGGGCCAAAAAGAAAAATACAAATTCGGAGATATATGTCATGCAAAAAGGGGCGGCGTTCCTCCGGGGAAGTTTCTGAAGTTTTCGGTCGATCGATATTGGAAACCCACGTTATAATCGGCAACTGAAGACTCTAACGAGCCCACTCCTCATTTGCCTTCGATCATACCAAAACATGGCTGGGCGGTGGTCAACTCGTCTATTGGCCCTGTCGATGCTCCAATTGGCATATGGCCTGCCATCTCCGACCGCTTCATCGACGACCTTCCATCGCGCACTAACGTCGGCATCTACCCCGAAGCCGACCAAAGCTCTGAATCGCCGTGAGGATTTTGATGATGATGATTTTGATTCCACTATAACGGCTTCCCCGAGTGTCTGTGGATATTTTGATACAGATTTGGACGGAAGTGCGTGACAATAAAACGAGTATATTGAAACAAAGTAGATGGGCTAATTTACATCCATTTCAGACAACAAGACCAGGATCTGCCTCGATGATTACGACTGCGCCTGGCACACGGCCAACGGTATTGCTGGGGGCATGATGGGGTGCTGTCCGCCAACCAACTACGCAGATTGCACTTCTCTCTATAGCACGTGCTACGATAGGTCCCAACTTAGAGAGTCCACACAGCTCGAGTCAATATCCGACAAGTTTGCTTGGTCTTGCTCAGACATCGAAATGCCGGCCTGCGTCACTTGGACCTGGCCGGAATTGGAAGTTAGTAGCTACGCGTGCGGTGCCACCGAGACCACTGAAACCTTATACACCTGGGCAACGATGCAATACGATGATGAAAACGCGGAAATTCTCGTTACTAAAGAGCCCTTGACTGTTTATGATGAGGTATTTATCACGATTCCTGGGAGGCTAACATCGGGCCGGACGATGCCGGAGAGTTCTCAATCCAGTTCGAGTTTACCAACCCGTCCACCAGCACCTATATACCCATCAAGCGATAGCTCGGACGACTCCGATGAGTCTGGCTCCTCAGTATCAAAAGGTGCAATCGCTGGTGGTGTGGTTGGTGGTGTTTTTGGCGTATGCGGCTTTGCAGCGGCCGGCTACATGTTCTTCCTGATCAGGAAACGCAAGCGGCAAGAGAATAGCAATGACCAAGGAGGGGCTGGCCAAGAGCTGTATACTCCAGTCCCGGGAAATGGCTCACCACCCGGTCAGGAAAGCCCCCCATCAACCAACTTGGGCGCACCTTCAACATTGGTAACGGATGGCTCTGGGGACTATGAATCCAAGCTCAATATTTCCGAGGTCGAAGGCAGTGCGGTGACCGCTCCGGTTCATGAGATCGATGGAAGACAATACATATCTGAGCTGCCGGCTCATGAAAATGAAATCCGCCCAACCCGATGACACAGCTCGCCGATCGCAGAAAACACTTTGCACAGCAGATCGCCAGAGGTAATGGGTGTCCCCCACGTTTTGCATTCGATACTACGAAACCCTGGGGCTTGCAGCAGATGCTACGAAGCCTGTGCATAATTAATTTGTGTGTATAATTAATACCCTTGTCCATTTATATAAGCGAATCCGTCATTTATCGAAAGAAGATACCTAAGGAGAACCGAATCATGAGACGCTTGACATGCCAAAAATCAGAAACAAAATGAACATGTAAACGTAAAAGAGCCTTTCACATTCACCAAACCCTTTTGATCTTGAATACCAACTTCATACATCCTGTTTCGTACTACCTGCTAGCAACCTGCCACGAACTCTTTGTCGAAGTGTGCCTCGACTTCTATCGTATTCCAATGGATCTAAGGGGATGTCTGGACTCGATGGAGTGAGTGCAGAAACCACGGCGGGAACCAGTCGATGCCAATACGCCCACACCATGACCGTAGCAATGGTGATAGGAATGGCAAAGACCCAGTACATCCAGAACATATCGGACATCCCCCATCCATTCTCCTCGCCACATTGAAAGAAAGACATGCTGAAAATCGAAGAGATAAATGTCGGCGGTAGGAAGATCAAAGTAACAAACGCAATCGTCTTCATCGCTGAACTATCAGCCTGCGCGGCACGCGTGATTTCCACCGAGGTCCCGGCATTGTATTGCGCGACCGTATTGAAGGCAAGCTGGATCTCGTTCTGCAATCGCTTTTCATTTGAGATAGAGCGATGGCGCATGCTTACCATATACCCTCGGAAAAAGCCTAGCCGAGCGGCGATGGCTTGATCCACGAGAGTATCATCCTTTCTTGGCATTGCAAACATCATGTGGTGTTTGGTAATAGATTCAATCGTTTCCACGGCTACATCCAAAGTCTCGGTGACATGTATAGCGTGTCGGGCAATGTCGTGCAATCTTCTCCAGTCTGGTTTGGGGATTGGTTCGGTCATCTCTGTTTTTTCGATCTTCCTTACTTCGTCGCGGATTGCCCAGACAGATACTTGTTCCAAATCCGCTATGGTATCCAAAAGCTTCGTGTAACACCAGTATGCATTACCCAAGATTGATGCTTCGGGGTTTAACAGCAATTTGGGAACTGTTTCTAGGATGGGAGATTTCGGGTCGAAAAGGAGCACCATTGTCTGTTTTGTCGAGGGCAGCCATCGCGTGAAGACATTGAGCTTGTTCCACTCGTAGGTGGTATCTGGTCGAAGTTGCTTAATCTCAAAATATACCCATGTATCTGAGTTGGTCAGCCATCATTCGAAGCCAACATGTTCAGGGTGGCTGAAATGCTCGTCCTTACTGATACCGCTGACTTTCCCCTGACGAAGAGTTGTTTCACACCCGAAATACCCATTCGACCGTTTGCAGTAGGTTGACCACCACACTTCGGTAATCTGGAAAGATGCATTCAGTGCGTAACGACATTGTTGGCATGCGCGGATCGCGTTTGCGCTTGCGATTCTGTTGACATTGGTTAGAACGGCGAACAGAGGAAAAGCGGGGTCCACCAACATGACAGACACTCGAGTGTCCCCAGATATCGGACCAAAGCCCCCGTCGGACGAATCCAGAAATTCCCCGGGATGAGCTTGGCTGGTTTCCCATTCGTCACCTAAATGGTCAGCAAGCTTCCGAGGTTGATCTCCATGTGCGGCGCGAACTGACCTTGACGCCACTGGAGCAGAGTTAGGGCTGGGCACGAGCTACATCTATGTGCGACCATTGTGCCCTGTATTATTTTTATATATATCGGCGCTTGGGGGAAATCGCGTGAGTATAGGGAATCGAAGGGAAGAGTCGAGACCGGACGGAAAGGAAAATCACGGAGGCTGTGCTATGGATACCTACAGCGCCATATCGGCGCTTATTTTCATACAGGCCGGTGGCCGAGTGTTATCTTCGAAGCGTTTGATACATTCGCCCGTTGATCATGTAGCCCCTGATTGACAGCGTGTGTTCCAGCCCGCAATCAAGTATGGAGTACTCCGTGCGGTTTGCCTTTGTTTGATCTGTCACTTGGGCGAGTTCCCTGTTTCTGTTTCAATCATGGAGTGAACGCGTTCATTGGATGAAACGGGGTTCTCCTTTTTGAGGTTTCATATGAGGCTCCAAGGTGATCACATGTGATCATACGTGCATATAAATGGATGTGTCAGTTGGGCGCAGCAAAGGTGATTGAAGAAGCAGAGAACAGAGCTCAGTGAAGAGGCTGAGAAACGAAGGGCCCGTGCACCGCGACTCGTGAGGCTGTTCGGGGGCCGTTCTCACAGCGCAGAACACAGCGTTTGACTCGACAATACAGATGGATATATCATTGGCTGATTGCTCCATTCCCTTGATTGCATGCATGTGTCCGTCCCAACAGACGTCGGAGGTTGACTATCATGATACATCTACACTTACATAGGCCCTTCGTACTGAGTACACGTAGCATGAGCCGGAGTATGTACGTACCCTCGTGTACCTTTCGCAGACTGATCATGTTTTGGACAGATCAATTCATGTATATCTTGTCTTAATCTAGTGGAACCGCTTCGTTTTATGTTAACCAATGATATGGACACTCTAGGTGACTTCACCAGCCCTGGAGTGAGTCGCCTGGCCTGCATCCAGCCGTACTATCCCCATTTTCTCATGCAGTTTCCCATGTATATTCCAGTGTCTCGAGATATTCTACCAAACCATGAATATCCTTAGGGCAGTGATAGATACTCCATACGACAAGATGGAGATAAATATGCCCGTTGCCACATATACTTGTGTCATTCCCATTTCCTTTTGAATCAATCACCCACTACCCCATCGTTCAGGGGCGTCTCAAGCTCTCAGCAACTCCACGCGATGCCAACCCGCAGTTCCAAATCACGTCCCAGTGGGAATCCTGCTGGGACAGGAGAGACAACCCTCCCGAAGGATGAGAACGTCAGTACCGACTCAGGCCGCCTGCGAAAGCAACCAAAGACATTCCATTATGGCAATCCAACTGGCCTACAACACAGCGACTACACTATCGCATGGGTGTGCGCCCTAAAACTTGAGATGGAAGCAGCCCAAGCAATGTTGGATGTCATTCACGAACCATTGCTCACAGATGCGGATGACACAAATACCTATGTCTTAGGAAGTATCAAGGGACACAACATTGTCATTGGATGCCTCCTATCATATTATCCGAGCCCCGGTAGCACCGCGGTGGTCATAGCAAATATGATGCGCTCGTTCCCTGAAATCCGTCGGGGATTGACGGTCGGGATTGGAGATGGTGTTCCCAGTAAGGTTGATCTGCGTTTGGGCGACATTGTCGTCGGGACGAGCGTGATCCAACTTGAGCTCGGCAAGAGTGTGGAAGAGGGGGACCTCCAACGTACAGCTATTCTGCGAATACCTGGTCAAGCTCTCATGACGGCTCTCTCTGCCCTCCGTGCAAAACACGAGCTGGCCCCAAGCCAAGTCCCTTTCATCCTCCAGGAGAAATTCGAAGGGAACGACCCCTACAGTCGGCCGCGGCTTGCGGATTCTCTGTACGAACCAGATTACTGTCACACCTCATCAGGTAACTGTGATACATGTGACCCGTCAAAGCTGGTGTCGCGACCAACGCGAAGTCCGAACGATGTCAGAATTCATTATGGAGCGATCGGCTCGGGTGACGAATATGTCAGAGACGGTATCATTCGAGATCGACTTGGCCAGGATCTGGACATTATCTGTTTTGGAGTGCGAACTGCTGGTGTGATGGATACTTTGCCTTGTCTTCCAATCCTGGGAATATGTAACTATTCGGATACCCACGAAGACCATGAATGGAAAAGTTATGCTGCAGCAACTGCAGCTGCATATGCGCGAGAATTGCTCGAGATTTTGCCCGTGGCCCAGGAACGTGCAGAAATTGTCTGCGTACCGGAATCCTGTAAGTTTGGTTAGGTCCAGCATCTGCTTTCTCTTCCTCACATCCGGTTCACAGATCAACCTTCACCCCTCGCCCAACGGCAGCGCCTGCCGGATTACCTCAGGTTCAATAATATCGCTTCACAGAGACTAAACATCGAACCTATTCATGTTCAAACATGTCAATGGTTCATCAGTCACCCCGAGTATCAAGCATGGCTTGATCCCGCCAGACTGAAGGAGCACAATGGCATACTCTGGATTGATGGTAAACCTGGAGCTGGCAAATCAACAATCATGGAATTTGCATACCTTGAGATGCAACATAGGTCTCACCACGACCGGGGTCTCGTTGCTGCATTCTTCTTCGAAGCCCGAGCAGGATACTTGAAGGGATCAGCCCAGGAATTGTACCAATCATTGCTCCTTCAGCTGCTCGAGGGATACCCTGACCTACAGATGGTCCTTGATGATGTCGAACTTGTCCCATGGATCCAAGAAACTTGCCCCCCTTCCCACGTGCTTGAACAGGTCTTTTGCGACGCGATTTCCGCACTCGGCCAAAGGCCATTTACTTGCTTTGTGGACGGCGTGAGTGAGTGTAACGAACAAGAAGCTGTGAACATGGTCCGTGTCCTCGAAGATCTGGCGGAACAATGTGCAGCAAAGCGCATTCCGTTTAGAATATGTTTCTCTGCCAGACACTACCCGTGTATTCCGATTCTCAAGGGAATCCGACTGACACTGGAGGACCAGTCTGGTCACGCCGAAGCGATATCAGCCTATGTGACAAGCAGGATCCGCTTGCATAATCCCACTCTTGTCGAAGAGATGAAATCCGAAATTCTTCGCAAGGCCTCGGGCATTTTCACGTGGGTTGTTCAAGTTGTCGACATACTCAACAAAGAACATCGACGGGGTGGATCTGCTTTGAGAAAGAGATTCGCAGAGAGCCCTAAGGACTTGAGTAAACTGTTCGAAGATACACTAATGCGTGACCGTGAGGGCTTGGCAATTTTCCAACTATGTGCCTCTTGGATCCTCTACGCAAAACGACCCCTGCACCCGAAGGAGTTCTATCACGCTCTTTGGTCTGGGTTGGCCCCGAAGGGCCTAATGGATGAAGAACTTCCGAATGTCAATCTCCCAACAGTGGACGGAAACCCTGGCCAGTTTGAAAGATTCGTCATCAGCTCCTCCAAAGGGCTGGCCGAGGTGAAGAGATCCAATCCACCCACGGTTCAATTCATTCATGAATCGCTGCGGAACTTCTTGCTCCACAAGAATCCTCTGCGCAGAGTATGGTCTGAGCTTCAGTTCAACTCCGAAGCACTGGCCCACACGAAAATAAAGCGATGTTGCATTTTCTATATGAACTACGAGCTGCTGCATGTGGCTGCCAGGAAACTGAAGTCACAGTCTCGCTCTAATCGGCGGGAGGAGATCCTCAGAGAATACCCATTTTTGGAGTACGCCAAACTGAACTTGTCCTATCACACAAGCGAGGCGATGAAATAAGTTTCTCGAATAGTCTTTCGTTACATACCAGAATTGCTACTCGGAAAAGCTTCAATACATTCTTGGAAAATATGGTTCCATGTACTGGATATCGTGGTTTTGTAGTTCGTAATATATTTCGTTGCGTACTTCCCTTATAAGCTTCTGGAAAATAGGACATTCTCTGGATAATTGGTAAAAATGTATCTCCCTGTGTCGCGCAACAAGTATAGATGCATGATATTGAAAGTCAGATGTCTGTAGAAGTCTTCCACTATCGACCTATTGAGCTACATCCTAAGACAAATAACGTACCCTAAGCCATTGTGCATGATAAATACGCAAATAACCCGGACGTCAATGTGCCGTGTTTCGAGATGGATGACGCCGGTCCAATGAATAATATCCCATGCCTGGTGATTCGCGGGATATGCGAGTACTGCGATTCTCATAAAAACGACAATTGGCACAACTCTGCTGGTCTTACGGCTGCTGCATATGCCGGGGAACTGCTAGTGTTCCGTGAGCCACGTGTGGACATCATGCCCCATTGGGCAGAGCGAGCAGCCCAGATCATCCAGCAAGGTAGCAGTTCTATATTGATTTGCGTATACCAGTAGTCGCTTTGGTTTATTCTCATATACCTGTTTAGAAATATTGCTCCTCTTTGTTATAATACTATGTTGACAGTGACTACTGATATAGTGAATGTCAAATTCATCAATCTCAATGCCAGCCAAAGGTACAATCAATTTCCAGTGGCATGAATCTTCCAGTCTTCATGTGTAAGAACATAATACCATTGCACTCTCAATCCAGAGCCATCATAAGCATAAGACAAGCAATAAATACATCAGCTATTTGGGTATAAACACCATCTTGAATGACTGAATACCCGTTGTGAAGTGGTCTTTGGTCAGATTCATCAGCGCAGAGCCATCCTCGCCCGGTGCCATTTCGATACTTTCAAACCGCGAGAGAATATGGCAGATGACGTTTCGCATTTCCATCATCGCCAATGCTCGGCCGATGCATGCATATGGACCTAGTTAACACGTTAGCCAGGATCTTCCATCTTATGCCTGTCGAGGTGGAGAGGATCAGTAGCATACCGAGGCCAAATGCGGCGAACGTGTTCTTGGCTTTGATCAGTTCTGGCTGCGAGTACCATCGCTCTGGAATGAACTCGTGGGCGCGTCCGTAGACTTCCTCGCCTGAGGAGGAAAGATATTAATTAGCGATCGCAATCTTCATTGACACGGAGTTGGAATGTCACTTACACCGTCCCATAGCCCAGAGAGGTACGGTAACAGTTGTGTTTCCAGGGATGTAGGTGCCATTCAGCATAATCCCCTCTTTCGGTGTGAGTCGCGGGAAGCCAGAGGGCATGGGAGGGTGAAGGCGCAAAGTTTCGTGAATGACACCATTGAGGTGCTTGGCGTCGCCAACGTTCTTGGGATCCAGCGTGGTTCGGCCTTTCAGGAGAGGTTCAACTTCTGCGCGCAACTTAGCGAGCTCCTTTGGATATTTTGCAAGGTAATAGAAGAGATGCGTCAATGTCGCTGCGGTGGTGTCACTTCCGCCCACGACGAAAAGTCGAGTGTCGCCGCGCAGCCATTGGAAGTCAGAAGGACCCTTCGGGCTCTTGTTATATTGCTCCACCAGGTATCTGAGCACATCGGGCTTAGTGGGAGGTTGTTCAACACGACGCACAGCTTGTTCAGTGAAGAAGGAAGCGAATTTCTTGGGACCTTGGGGGCCGAAGGGAAGACTGTGGAGAAGAATTGACAACCAAGGTACTACTTGGAACTGCGCGATATCCGACATTCCTTCTTCGAGAAGATCGGGAACCCAGCGATTAGTTTCCTTGTCGAGCATGTCGAATCCCTTGCCGAAGCCGAGCTCGCCCATCACATCCCAGGCATAGTATTTGAACAAACGGGTTGCATCAAAAGGTTTACCCTTAAGACTGACGACCTCACGACATAGAAGGTCTGAATACTCTGCGATACGCTCATCGTATTCGACCAATGCCTTGGGTGAAAATGGACGTGCCCACACCTTCCGGCGTTGTTCGTGCAGTTTCTTGTCCCGGACGGTGTGGAGGTTCATTAACGGTAGGGAGACCTCGTACCATGCAGTTTTCCCGCACGCCGACTCAGGTCCATAAATCAGATGAACTGCCTCCGGGACATTCAGACTCAAATTGGATGGACCTGGACAGGGGAGAAAAGATTTGATTAATAACTTCGTCTACTCGAAGATACTGATTGTATGACTCACCAGTTCGTACTATCTGGCCATGCTTTTTGTGCAGATTATCGATGACACGATAGTTATCAGAGTTCCCCAGCAAGGAGGAGTGATACAAGTTGGAGAATCGGCCCAGAAATGGGCCGCTGAACCGACGAAGAGGGTGGAAGAATCCACGATAGATGCCGATTGCCCCAAACAATCCTACCAAGTAGGCAACAGTAACGATAGCCGTCTGAAGAGCAGCCGTCTTGACATCGTTGCCATTCTGTAGGACGAAAATACCAGCAACGGCAACTTCAAATGCAACATATGTCTTGGCAATTGTCACTGTGCCTCTATGATGCTCTCCCCGAACAAAATATCCCACATGAGACGTGACGCCGGCAAGGAGAGCAGCGGCGAAAAGTTTGGTATTGAAATCCAGATCTGCCAGCTTGGTGGTTAAGGCCGGACTGACCAGGTTTCCATAGTATTCGACCTTATCGGTCAAATAATGTGGACTCTGCATTTTGGGATATCCTTGGCGACTCTCAATTGTGTGGCTGTCTCCAAATTCGCATAGAGGCGTCCCTTTCCTCATTGTTATAGTGGACGTGGAAGACAGAGCGCGCCGTATCCATGATTCCGGTCGGTTCAGTTGGTACCAGCGTTCGGAAACAACATACACTGACCAGCAAGGTTCCACTAAGTCGATCATTATCTGGGGAAGTCTTAGCGCGTGCATCCCTGGGCATCGGCTCCATGAATCCGATGGCGGAGCAGTAAATGCCGAAATGCGGGGAAATATCGATATGCGGAGGAGGTGTCGGATCCTTCTGTCCTAGAAACGTTTAGGAGGTGACAAGCTGGCTGGGAGAACTATCCGAACCCTAGAATATGAGAATCGCCAAGGAGACTGCTGGAAGGGGAGGGGACCGATGATATCTCAAACCAGCCGAGTGCGTTGTCGGAGCATGAGATCGGCATACCGGAAGTTTAGTTTATCCTATCTACGCAGTATTGTTGATATTAGTCAGATAGTCATATTTCCTGCTAGAATAGTGGATACAGAAATACAGAGATTTCAACTCTCTTGATTGGACCCCTACTATACTGAATACCACGTCAGTTGACAGTTATGAGCCCGGTTCGCACGAGATAAGGCCGCTATTCACAAGATATAGCGCCTATCAGCACCTAAAAACTACACAGCAACCTCCAAAGCTACACAATAGCCCGCTAAGGCTATATAGCACCTAAACCTAACAATAGAAGTATTAACAATTCTCTCCGCCACAAAGGGCGAAAAACTAAAGGACTCACCCTAATAGCGCATCTAGTTCGCCCGGGTAAAGCTATATATAACACAAAAATAAGTCTAGAAGCACTACGACCTAGATACCCCCCCGATAGAGAGACCGGTTAGGAAAGAAGAGCCTATTAGGCCGGAATACCCCTACGAAGGGACTAAATCAGATAAAAGAGACTAGAGAGATAAAATAGATATCTTTAAAGTAGACTAATCGAAATAGGATAGGGAGATAAAAAAGGCTTTCCGACGTAAATAACTATATCTATACCTTCCTAGACCTAATCTATTATACCGCTATCACCGACTATTAGACCCTATATAAGAGATTAGTATACCTTAGAGATCGCTTCGCGAGATCGACTATATACGAGGAGGAAGTCCGAATAAAGTAGAAGGTCTTTACTATCTAAAAGCTGACTAGAGATATCGAATAATAGCTTAAATAATAGAATACCCTAAGGGAGTAAGCTATTAGCCTCGGTATTAATAACGGAGACGTAAATAGAGACTTCCTATATACTATTAAAGAGATCTTACCTATTTAGTAGTAAGGAAGATATTAAGAGATCGTTATAGATAAGAAAGTCTACTAAACCTATAATCTCCTCGAGTTATTCCGCGTAATAAATCGAGAAATAGGGGTATAAAAGGTATTATCTACTATACCCCTAAAAGGGGTATTCTTAACCTAGTAGAGGCACTAAGAATCAAAGTCTTAAACTAAGAAGCCGATCCTATTTAAAAAGAGGAGGTGTCTATACGGGAACCCCTACTATTTATATAAAATAGTAATATACTAGTATCTTAATAAGGAAAACCGCCCCGAAGGGACCTATATTAACCCTAGAAAGCTAGAAAAGATTAAATAAAAACTCGCTAAAGAGCCTACTTAGAAGAAATAGGTAGAAAAGAAGATAGAAAAGGTATAGTAAACTTAGTAAACTTAGTAACCTTAGAAGAAAGAGTTTATAAATTAAGTAAGCTTCGCTACTACCCCTATATAGTAATATTAGTAACCTTAAAAGGAAGAGTTTATAAATTAAGTAAGCTTCGCTACTACCCCTATACCGTATATTAGTACCCTTAAGCCCTATACTAGAGAGTAGGGGGGGTAGCTCGGACTAGTAAATATACTCTCTTACTTACTAAAAATAAAGGAACCTATCTTAAAAGATAGATAGATCCTTAATATAGGATCTAGTACCTATATCTATAATAATAGAGACCTTTTTATCGACTTTATACCCTAGATTTCGGATCTTATAACGGGAGATAGTACTACCTAGGTACTAAGAAAGGGGAAGGTTAGACTAGTAGGTAGATATCTAGTAAAAGGCAAAATAGAGATTATACTTAGTAATACCCTCTATTCCCCTAGCTCCTATATAAACCTAGTATCCTATTCTATACTAAAAAAGAAGGGCGGAATATAGTACTAGTATATAAACTATATTAGGGACCCTAATAATAGACTAGTTATCTATATAAACCTTTAGGACTAGTTCAATCTTTAGATCTTCGATAGACCTAGGGAAATATAGCCCTAGTAAGCCTATTTTACGGAGAGAAAGTTAGTAAAACCTTAGTAATTAAGGGCCTTATTAGATATCTAGCACCGGAGACTAGCCTATATTAATTAACGAAGTATAGTAAAACTCGCTACTATAGTAGATAGAGTTAGTTTTAATAATAAAGAAAAAGAGTCTACCGGAAAGGAGAATATAGAAACGTAGGAATTATACTAGACTTATTAGCTAGATCGTATACTAAGATAGATATTAAGACGCGCTATTAGGCGCACTTTTAGACGATTTAGAAGAGTATACTTTAATCTTATTTAGCTACCGCTAGTAGAGAATAAATACCGCTAGATCTCTTATTTTTACCTAGAAGGTCCTAGGTTTTATTAGCTAATAACCTATAAAATAAAGCCTAAGTATTAGCTAGCGATTAATCGTTTTATAGAACTAGTAAGAAACTAATAGGATCTACTAATTAAAGCCTTCTAATACGATAATAAGTCCTTAGCTAGAAAACCTACGGAATATAGCCTTACTTCTAATAGTATCCTTATATATTATAACCCCCTAGGGCACTCCGAAATAAATAGTTATACCGAGAGATCTAATAGTATAATTATCACCCGTATACGTATACTTATACTCGAAGGAAAGCTCCTAAAAGATCTATAGCTAGAGGCCGCTAACGCTATAGTATAGCTACTAAATCGTACGCCGACGTATATTACTACTAAAAACCGCTAGGTTATACTATAGGAGGAGGTACGGAAGGAGTTCGTACTATAGGCGCCGAGGCTTAACCTATTAAATATTAAACTATATAGAAGTTTAGTATACTATAGGATCGATAAATAGGTCTAGTCTAATAAAATAAACCTACGAGCTAAGATCGGATTCTTAGTTAGCTATATAGTATTAAATATCTAGAAAATCTAGTTTCTATATAATAGGAAAGTGAAGCCTATTAGGGATATAGTATTTAATAAAACTCGTAAATATACCCCTAATTATAATAGATATTAGCTTATTCTAATACTAATATAGTAAGAACCTTAGGAAATTACTATAGAAGAGTTTACCCGGGTACTTAATCGTATGATAGCTAGTTAAGAGACTAGCGAAATAGAAGAGAGAGATTATCGAGATCTATAAGAAACTTAGTCTAATGATCTATAAGAAACTTAGTACTACGATTATTAAGGATCTTAGTAAGAAAACTAGTAGAATATATAGTAGAACTCTCCGTAAAGGGAGATAGCTAGTAAAGTTAGTTAGCGAGATACTACCCTACTTTAGGGGGTAGACTAGTAAGTGGTCCTACCCTCCTTAAAAACTACGATTATATAGTAAATACCTAAAATTATATAGTAAATACCTAAGATCTATAAACCCCGAGCCCCGCTAGGTATATTTCCGGATAAACCCCTTCCTCCGCTCCCTATTATACCGCCGTAAGAACCCTATACTACCCTTAGTTAGGGGGTAGATATACCGGAGGATCTAAAGGATCTAGTTAGCGACTAGGTTTAGGATAATAAAGCTATTCCTACTATAGAAGATAAGCTAGAAAGATAACTATAGACGGAACTTCTCGCCCTAAGTAGATAAATTATAAGAGATATTAATACTAGTAATATTATTAGTAGAAAACGAAGGCGTTAAGCTAGGTAAGATAAAGACTATATCTATATAATAAGATCTACCGATATAGAGGAAGACCCTCCTATACTACTATATACTTTCGCTATAGGACTATATACTAAGAAACCTAAAATTAGACGTTATTAAGATAATCTCCCCTTAGTCCTAAAACACTATAAAGATATTATAAACTATCTATTTTAGGAAGGCTTTTTTATAGTAATAAAGAAGGAGATTAACTCTCTAATAGAAAAGGAAACCTATAAGATTATAGAGAGACTAAAGGATAGAGGTAAGTAAATACTACCTCTTATATAGGTATTTACCTATAAATACGATTAGGATAGTTATCTAGTTAAATTCAAAGCTCGTATATACGTATAGGGAGACTTAGAGACTATTTTATACGAAGAAAAGAGAGCTACTACACTAGTAATAAGGACTATAAGAATAATTTTCGCCCTTATTACCGTATTTAATCTTAACCTAAGATAGCGGGATACTATTACTACCTTTTTAAATAGTACGCTAAAAAAAAGGTCTATACCTAGATACCTAATAGGTTTAGACTACCCGGTAAATACTAGAAACTCCGCTATATACTATATAGTCTACGGATCTTACCTAGACTTTAGTAGTAGGAAGTAGCTAGTATATTTCGTAAGCTAGGTCTATAATAAGCCCTAGAAGACCTCTATATCTTTATCGGAAATAGACTAATAGTCTTCTTTTATATAGACGATATCTTAATTACCTATTATAAAGACGTATAAAGAAAGGCTATATAACTAGAGCGAGATCTAGAAGTATACTAGGAATTAATAGATTACGGAGAGGTAGTATAGTTCCTTAATATCCGTATAATTAGAGATAGGTAGTAAAAGAAGCTATAGCTTTATTAAGATAGCTATATAGTAAGTATTACTATACGATATAACCTTATAGATAGACTAGCGGTATATACCCTAATACCTATCGAAGATCTAACCCTATATTAGGGAGTAGCTACGGTATAAGAGATCCTATTATACTAAAAGAAGGTAGGATCTACTAGATATACTACTACGATTATAAGACTAGATACTATAAAATCGACTACTTATCTAGTATAATACTTAATAAACCTAGGCCCTTAGTATTATTAGGTAGCTAATAGAGTTATTACCTATCTTAATTCTACCTACTATCTCGCTATTAAATATAGCGTAGAATTAAGTATAGAAAAGGACTCTATCTAATTCGCTAGTGATACTTTATATAGGGATTACCCTAATAGAAAGAGCTCCGCTAGCTATATCTACTAGGTATATAGCGGGCTAGTCGACTAAAAGGCTAGTAAGTAGCCTATAGTCACTACCTCCACCACTAAAGCTAAGCTCCTCGGTCTCTTAGAGACTATAAAATAGCTATAATAGTAGCGTAGACTTCTTAATACCCTCGGTTTTGTCCCTTCCTATTAACTAAGTATCGATTACGATAATCAGCGTACTATTAGTCTTCTAATAAGCGAGGACACGGCGTTCGAGACGAAATTACGATATATTAACATTTATCGGCACTAGCTTAGATAGGAAGTTAGGGAAGGGAGAATCAAGGTAAAATAGGTGCCGACAGCTAGTATAGCTATAGACGGACTCACAAAGTTACTCACTAGGCAAAAGCATGAAGCTTTCCTCAAAATGTTAAGGATGATAGATATAAGCTATCTAATAGTAGGAGCTATTTAACAGTATAGGTCATTTAATCAACAAAGGGAGAGAAATAGTATGCCGACTAGGGTGTAGGAAGCAGCTAGACCATACTAGCCTAGCTGAGGGGGTGTGTCGGAGCATAAGATCGGCATACCGGAAGTTTAGTTTATCCTATCTACGCAGTATTGTTGATATTAGTCAGATAGTCATATTTCCTACTAGAATAGTGGATACAGAAATATAGAGATTTCAACTCCCTTAATTGGACCCCTACTATACTAAATACCACGTCAGTTGACATGCGTTTCTGGCCTCGGCCCTCAGGCAACCAATACATTTCGAGACACCAATTCCTACGATTGTGCTCATTTGAGTTGTAATCCTATCTCAATGTAGCTTCCTATTGAAATCTGAGTATAACTCCCTCATCTTGTACATCTAAACTACATAATTTGGAATTCATGTGACTACAATGAGTGCAACCTCGATATATATCGGCAGATCCAACAAGTATAGTGAATATAAACATAGACATTCCTGCTAGGGAGGTCCTTAAACTATGTTGAAAACCAACTCGGAGTCTATCCAATAATCGTGAAATGAAGGTGAAATAAAATATAGCAAATTCTATAAGCTGAATTCACTATAGAGGAAAGCTGAGACTAAACGAACAATGCAACCAAAATCAAAACCAAACTACAGGTATGTATCTAGTAGTACTCCGGAGGATCCTATCACCTGCGTAATATCGCGGACACTGATCATAGCCTGGGGTATCAGAAACTTCTCACAAACGCGGGTCATTTGCTTTTCGGTAGTGCTTGGGCCAGATACCCTGTTTGCCAGGGCTCAGGATACCATTGGGATCCATGGTATCCTTAATCTTCTCATTCAAGCGCATCAAAGCACCACCACCAAAGTCATACTGCTGGGCAACGAGATCCATATGTTCAATGTGTGCGCGGTATTCTCCATAGCCGCACTTGCGTGCAGAACGAACCATATCGACAAATAGGTTGTTGGCCGCGTCCTTGTCTTCTTGCGACTCGCGGTCGAAGTGGATCATGTTGATGTGTGTCATGTGGCGTAGGTGCATGTGAAGACCGGCGACGAAATCGAATCCGTGTTTTTCGCAGAGTCTTTGTGCCTCGTAGTAGAAGTCGAGGGCTGCCTTTCCGTCGGAGGGCAATACGGGGGAAAAGGAGATGTGGCCACTATGAACCGACTCTCGTTAGAACAATTGGCCACCGTAGAAATATGTTTCTGGATTGTACTTACCCATCGAGTCCGCGGTATTCAATTGATCGGAGAGGTCCCAAGCCGGGGTTTCCAGTCTGAAGGTCGTAAGGAATATCCAAAGCGTTGAGGTATTTCGCGCCGGGTTTGGGATAATGAGGAGTCGTCTTAAGAACATGGCCCTTGATCGGTCGGAGTGCTTCTTTGATCTCTTTGAGATGATAGTCCATCAACTCCTTAGGTCCGTATAGGGCGAATGTGGCATCCCAGAATCCCAATCCCAAATCTGCCTGGATCTCTTTGATTCGGTGATACGGGATGGAGCGTTTTTCGGTCCAGAAGTCCTTGCGCAGACCGCGTTTGTTGATTTCGCGAATGACATTACCGATAACGGGGTGGTTCTGAATCTTTTCGCGCAGAAGCAGTTCGCGCAGAATATCCACCATAGGTGCCAGATCAGTCTCTTCGGGGACTGACAAATGGCAGCGCATGAATCCCTCGGGGGCGGGAGATGCCCAAATTGACATCTTGGTGACAATTCCAAAGTTTGATTGACTGAACATGGAATCGTAGGTCGGACCATAGCCACCACGGAACAGTGGTCCACAGACTGAGTTCTCCAGTGCGCCCATGCCTGTTCGGACTACTGTGCCGTCTGCGAGTACAATCTCCAAGCCACATATTTGATTGGAGTGATCACCGTGAGGAGTGTATCCCCAGCCCTGTCAAATGTTAGCACGAACATCAACGTTTCGCTCTCAATGTCAGACTCACCCGATCGAGTGCATTTCCGACCACACTTCCCCAACCCAAAGCGGGGGTCGAACACCAAATATCCTTCTTTTGTGCCTGAATCTCTTGGAAAAGCTGGAAAAAGCTGACACCAGGTTCGACTGTATAGTATGCGAACTTGTCGTTGACATCGAGAATCTTGTTCATGTTCTGGAGATCGACAATGACCGAGCCCTAACATCGGAGCGAACATTAGTCGGTTGCACGGAAATGGCAGCAAATGCAACAACCAAGCTTACCTTTACACGCGCCTGGGGACCCCCATATCCAAGATTCCTGCCACGGGAGACTGTCCATAGTGGGATTTTGTACTTGTTCGCAATTGCCAAAATCTTCTGGATTTCCTCAACGGTGGTCGGTCGCAGAGCGCAGGCGCTGCCGCGTTTCTCTTTCTCGTCGGCATTCATGGAGAAGGGGTCCATGTAGTTGATTTTCAACTCTTTCCCAGTCACCACCTTTTCTTTGCCAAGTGCATCTTTGAACTGGTTCAGGACAGTTCCCCAGATGTCTGGGGTCAGGCCTGGAGGCAGATACTGCAAAGCTTCGGCAAGCTCTTCCTTGTCATACCAGCGCTTGAGAATCACTGTCGCATTCTCATTGTCGCGAGGAGTGTGACTGATAGTCACGGGCTTGAAGGTGTATGGATCCATTGTTCACGATGGGAATGTATAAAGTGCTGAGGAAGTCCAAATGTCCAGATCCTCGCGCCTTTATTTGAGTCTTCCTGCTAGAGCTGGTCATACGAGCGGTTCTCTAGTTCCGACAATCTCCACTTCTGGCACTCCAGGATCTACACGTCTGGTCTCTACATCGCGGTTTTCTTTCCGCAAGATCCACCCCGGCAAGTTCTTTGTCGTGATTCCCGCGAATACGATGGAGCCGATTCCCCCGCAAACGACGAAGAGGCTAGCTCTCGGCTATTTAGTGCCGGAGCCAAGCCACGACCTCTAGCCCTGTACCTTCAAGCGAGATTCGCTTGTATAACTCCGACATTTGGAGCGGAGGCTTACTGATAAAGTCAAACCTGGGGTAATTCCCCCACGTGCCCAATGAACTGCGGTGATGGTTGATGATTGGTTGGCCGCCGAAATTATTGTCTATATAACCCACCATGGCATTGACGATCGCGCTGCCTGTCAAGAGGACAATATTCGGTGTTGCTCCTTGGGAAATCATTCAATTTCTCTTCACTCTCTGCCATCATGGAGCGGTCTGCCTCCCCCATTGAGGATGTCCCAAGAGAAGAAAACAAAAAATTTCCTATCCTTGCTCATCGCAGGTTCTTGTTGGTCTCTTTCTTTGTTGGATGTGCCATGCTCGAGGTAAGATGGACATTGCACTACCCCTAACGGTTGCTTTAACAGAAACATATTAACAATTCCTTAGTATGGGTTCGACAATGGTGAAATCAATGCCTTCCAGGCTATGACTGGCTTCCTGCGTGTCTTTGGCTACGAGGACCCGGCAGTGCCCAGTGGTTGGAACATCAAGGTATCTTCCTGCCTTCCTTCCATACCGTGTACAGGACTGACGATCGACCATAGTCTGGCCCCCAACAAATTATATCCTCATTTATGCTCCTGGGCTCCTTCATCTCATCGTTGTTGGCTGGTGTGTTCAGCCGTTACCTCGGCCGCCGCCACTGTGTGATGATTGGAATGGTCATCCTGCTTGTAGCAATTACCGTGCAGGTTGTCACAACTCAATTGGGAGCCCTTTACTTTGGCCGCTTAGTTACTGGTCTTGCCAATGGACTTGTCATGAACTTCACATTCATCTACATTGCTGAAATGTCCCCAGCACATCTACGCGGCGTGGCTTACGCTATAGCAGCTGGATGGGTAACTCTCGGCGGTGCCATTGGAGCGGTTAGTATCCCCTCGCTCGTTATCACTTCCATTGGCGGGCATGTTTCTGATCGCGAGATTTGGTCTATAGATCATTACCAACGCTACAGCGAAAATGATGAGCCGACTGTCATACCAAATCCCGCTTTACACTCTGTACCTCCTTCCGGTAGTCATGATCAGTGGTCTATTCTTCCTGCCTGAGTCGCCTGTGAGTCTATATAGCCTTGGTACACACGGTCGGACAATCCTTTCTGATAACTTGCTCCTAGCGCTGGCTCCTCCTGCACGGCAAAAACGACGAGGCACTTAAGTCTCTGACCTGGATCCGTGCGAGCTCCTGTGATCGGTTTGAGCTCCTGCGAGAATTTGAGGAAATGAAGCTCAATGTGGAGAGAGAACTCAGCAGTGATAAGAACAAACTTTTCTTGGAGCAGTTCAGCAAGCGACACATCCGTCGGACGCTCATCAGCATTGGTATTGGCCTCGTTAACCCTGGACTCGGTGGAATGTTCATCATGGGCTTCATGACGTATTTCCTGAAGATGGTAAGTTCTGAATTTGACAACGCCAGATCTGCTGCTTTACTAATCCCGATCTTCACCCCCTCAGGTTGGTGTTGATGATCCTTTCAAATGGGTGATCGTCGGCCAATTCGCTGGATATTTCGGCCAACTTCTCTCATACCCTTTCATTGCTATGCTCGGGAGAAGAACGATGCTCCTACTTGGATCGTTCAGCTGTGCCGTGTCCATGTTAATCCTTGCTGTGATTTTCCAAACAACGACTGTCGCAGACAAATCCATTCGTGGAAAATGCGTGATTTTCGCGAACACATTCTACCATTTTGGTTTCAACTTCGGCGTCGTTGGTCTTGTTTACATGGTATCAGGCGAGATCCCTGCTCAAAACCTTCGAGCCGCCACCGCGGGCCTGTCTATTGGAATTGGCTTCATCTTCGCGTGGCTGACCTCCTTTACGGCTCCTTACTTCATCAATCCCGATGAAATGAACTGGGGTGGTAAATACGGTATGTTATTTCCTTTTTGCAAACTCTTGAGAATACGGGCAAATACTGACATCATGCACAGGTTGGATCTGGCTTGGATCGAGTGTGATCACTATCCTTTTCATCTATTTCTTGGTCCCTGAGGTCAAGGGTCGCTCACTGGAAGAGATCGAGGAGATGTTTGACCAGAAGGTTCCCGCGTGGAAGTTCAAGAGCTATGTTTGCCAGGGTGTGGCTCAGGCGAACGAGCAGGCGCTGAAGGATTTGGATCATGAGGAAGCGAAGGAAGCTCGGGTCGAGCACATTGAGGCTTCCTCGCGTTGATTATCTCTTCTCCCAGGTATATATCCGATACGAATCGCAATGCAGAATGGTCGATGTGCCTTGAATATATGTTTGCAAATTCGAACTTCCTGTATTCGGGGCACAGACTTTTTACCGGTGTTTAATCACTCCATATGGCGCTTCTGCTTTTCTTTCAGATGAACTCCTCTCGTATTCTTACGTTACTTTATCTTGGAACTGATTCTTTCGCAAACGTCTGTTTGGTGGCCCATCATGAGGGTCGGAGACCTGTACTTCAAGTCAAATAGAGCTTGAATCCTGCCCACCAAAGCTGATTTATTTTGAGGTTGGGCTCTTCATTCCATCTGGGCCCCAGGACTTCTCTTGTACACATGATCGCTCGACATGGTCAAGGCCGCCCCTAACCACAGCCAGCTCACCACCCCGAGTTAATATAATATCTTTCCTCGCCAAAGCACAAACAATGTCGCGTCTGCCGGCAAACCAATCATATGGGATGAAGAAGTGCTCAAAAATTTCAATCGATGATGATTCCCTGGGTCGTGCGGTTCCTAACCCGTTTTCACCGATGTCAACAGAGCACACCCAGAAAGATCGATTCAAGAATATCAGTCTTCTCGATTCATAGATTCCTATCACATGGGCGATATCCAGGTCAAAATTCATCATCTGTGAAAGGGGTGGAGAAGATGCGATTGACTTTGTGCCAATCTTCTTCGCATCTCCATCCGATGCAAGTTGATCTAATCCACCCAAGGCATGATCGGGGGTTTCCCGGAACAGGCTGCGTTCGCTATTCCCCGTGGCGAGGCGATCTAGATCAATGATCGCAATCCTTTTGATGTTCACAGAACTATTCGGATGGAGCAAGTCGAGGAGAATTCTTTGCCTTTGCCCGAGTGAATACACCACCGCGTCTTTGATCTCTACCATATCGTTATCAAGTGGATATCCAATGCAAGAAACCTCACACCAGTCATTCCAGCGATAGATGCAGACTTTGAAGTTATCAACGCAGATCAGATGTTGAGAGGAGTTTGGATGAGGCAGCCATTTGCGGCTTCCTCGCATCTGTGAGTATGTCCTCTCACCCTCGCAGTTGCCGCTGCCCAGGTTGAACATGTAATCGCTCTCGCGAGTTGATAGCAAAAGCTTTGCTGCTGGGTCTCCCACGAGAACATCTGTAATTGCCTGTTCAGAGTCGAGGCGGGTCTTAAAGAGTACTGTGAGGTCGGCGTGCCAACCTTTGTTCACCGACTGCTGGACCTTGTGGAGGAAAATTGTGTTGGATGCATCAATGCTAAGCAAAGAGTTGGTCGCTTCAATCCAGGTTAACACGCGCACTGATGACTTGTGGGTGTAGAGAGTCTCCAAGCTCATTGCCGTTCCTTGTTCGTAAATTACAACTGAGCCATCATCCTTTCCGCAGAAAATGACCTCTAAAGTATGGTGGGCAACCATCGCAGTGATTCTTGCTTTGGGCTTTTCAGATAGTTGCTCGACGACCGTAGTGAGAGTGGTCCCACTACTGTCGTCCTCTAACGACTCCCGCAATAGAGCTTCGGGTTCCCAGACAGTACACTGGGCCCCTTGAACGTCCGCAAGACGCATGCTGTCCTTATCAAAGGCAAGCTGTTTGATGAACGAGTTGGATGATTTGACTTGATATAGCGACTTCAAGGTGTCAAACTCGTAAATGTGGATTATCCCATTGGCACCGCCGGCGGCGAGAAGACGTCCATTGGGGCTAGCAGCGAGGGTTTGGCAATTGGCCCGAAAGCATTCCAGTTGCTGACCAGATAATGGATCAAGGAGCGCAAGGTCACCGTCGAGATATGAAACTGCAAGAAGGCTAATGTCCGGGTTGGGATTGAAAGTAAGAGCGATGACAACATGAGTGCTAGTCTCGCCGGTTGAGAGTTTCTTGCCACAGCTACCAGCGTAGGCATTCTCCTTCATATCCCATAGCGTGATAGGCTGACCGCTGTATGCTACAGCAAGCATTCCGTGGCTGATAGAGAGAGCTAGAGCGCATGGCGTCCCACGGGGTGGCGTTCGATCTGATTCCGGCGTATCGTGATCGCTCCAGTGTTTTCGCACCGACTCCAGCCGGCTCCCATGGTCTAAATCCCAAGTAACGACGTAGTTTTTGCGACTAGCAATCAGAAGCTTGTCTCCGTCGAACTCCATTCCCAGCGGATGCGGGGGACTGGTAAGGCTGTGCACTAATAGTCCACTTTGGGTGTCCCAAACTTTGGTCATTTTCATACCGCAGGTCGCTAGGAAAGTGGTCTTAGTGCTGAAAGCCAGCAGGCTGACTGCTTCCCCATGAGCCAATAGCTTGTATTCCTGGTGTGATGTGTGATGGTACAATACCACTGTCCCAGAACTGAGTCCAACGGCGAGAAATTGATCTCCATACCGCACCGCCCTTGGTTGACCCTGAGGAAAGTCTATGCACACCATCCTATCATCCCACTGGTTGCTGTGCGCACCAAGCACAGCGAGCCTGAGGCTTGGGCTTCCAGTGTTATGGACTCTAGAGTCAGTGGGACAGAACGGAGGTATCACCGAATATATTGCTGACGGCGATACCATGAGGACGCTCGCGAACATGGCAGGTATTCGAGCAAGGTCCATGCTCCACTGTCGTAGGGCTCCTATCCGAGGATCCAGTGGAGAACGCTCAACGGCACACGCGTTGAGGTAGACCTTGAGATGTTTTGAGGCATGGATGAGGTGACTGAGATTTTTAGACCGGGCAATAGTTTCGATCCAAGTGAGAACATTGAGTCTCAAAAACTGGATGATAAGTTGTAACGTTTCTCTGGCCAGTGGATTGGCTCTGGAGAGGTGATATGAGAATGATGTACATGCATAGGCCGCGAAATCTAGTCTTTTCGCTGGAAGATTCACCAAGGAACGGTGCCGAATGTTCCTTGGAGGCTTCATCTCCTCTCCAGTTAGGTAATCGAGGCATACCTTAGCCATGCGCGTGTGCGCTAGAGTTACGTCAACGGAGAACTCAGACACCTGCCCTTGTGCTATAAGGAACTCTCTAGCAGTTTCATGCACCATCCTAACTCTCTCATATTTGTCTACAACCACCAGTTGCCCACAAAGCGCAGCGATACTTTCCTCTAATCTTGGAAATGAGTCGTGGATCTCCAGCATGAGAGCACCGCCCAGTTCGCTGATTGTCATGGGTCGAACCGCACAGGCTGTCCACATCAGAATGGCTTTGGCCAGCTCCTTTCCACGAGTCGCCTGCGACATGTAGTCCAACGTGCGTCTGTACAGCGACTCCATACCCCTTGGCATATCTTCAAGGGCCTGTTGGATTTCATTTCCGCTGTGACAACACGATAGTTCTTCAAGCACCAAAGTTGTCCACAAGAAAGATCCATTGGATTTGTCTAGGATCCTCTCAACTAATATATCTCGATCGTCAGGTCCAACGACCCCAAGGGCCTGGGTTCTCCTCTCGACTAGAAGCCTGATATCCGGTCCTGTGTCCTTTGTTGAGATAGGAAAGGACCGAATTTGATTGGATGGAGTAGCCGAGAAACCTTTCTCAAGATCGAGGGTGTCGCGACTTGTCATGAGAATTCTCAGAGGCATGACTTCGCTCAAGTTGGAAAGAATGACATGAAAAAATGCCTGGGAGTTTGAACACTCGTCCAAACCGTCGATAATCCAATAATGCTGCGTGACTCTGGTTTGGAAAATGCCGGATAGGAAGAGGGTTCTCCAGAGGGTTCGTTCATCGATGTGGTCCAAACGAACAGCATCCGCCTGCATACGTAGAATGACATTCCCAGCTTCATCAGAGGAGGTAGCCATCTGAAGAGCTAGAGATCGAAGGCAGCGGCTTAAAGTGGATTTTGATTTATCTCCATGTTTGAAGAAAAAGGAACTGCATGCTCGCCCTGCCTCGTTGAGCTGATCAATAACATAGCCAGCGAGAACCGATTTTCCTGTTGCTGGTTTGCCCTTGATAAGCAAGACTCTGTCGCTGTCCCTTTCCCCATCCCTCCATGTTACATAACTGGCTTTGGTCGAAATCCATCTACACGATCCGTCCATTCGAGATTCGCGGACGTTTGCAAGATCATCATCCAAAATGTCGTAAACATCAAGGTACTTCTTCAGATTTTTGATCCTCTCACGCCTGCCCTCAAGCTTTGATTCTGGAACTTCCGTGACAAGTTTACTCACAGTTGAGGCGAGCGCGTTCCGTAGAAGGGCGTAGTTGGGGTCTTCGGGGGTATCAAACTTGCAAATTGAGCGATGATCAGCAGTCATGGGTGTTTGCTTCTCTCCAGGGTACCCGAGAACAGCCGACTCGGGATCCACGATGAGTGAGCTGAACAGTTTCATATTCTGCGTTTCGTAAAAAGACCAAAGCTCAATATTAGCCGAGTGATGACGGAATTCGTCATTAATCACTTGGACAGTGGCAGAGTTCGGTTCCAGGTCATTAATGTAAGCGCGGTCATAGGCGACTTTGAGAAGGTTTTTTAGCATTTTGGCCGAGTCAGACCCTCGGTGGGGTGTGGCGAGGAAATATAGTGAGGCAACTCGCTCAGCCAACTCTTTATAAAACGGGTCTTGTTTTGCCAGGACGTATGCCTTCTTGATCACCAGGCCACCCATGCTATGGCCGATGATGACGATACGTGTTTTTGAATCGACAATGCATGGTGAAGTGCTAAGCGCACCTAAAAAGGACTTGCCAATATGGTGTACGTTCAGGCAGTCCTCCTTACCCTTCAAGTAGTACGAATCGTACCCATAGCTATGGATGCGGACGTTTTTGAATACGGAATCTTTGGGTAGCCACTCTTTTGGCCAAAAGTGAGACTGCAATGGCGACCTGCTCCACGTCTTTCTAGAACTGCCGCCTAGGCCATGGACGAAGATGAAGTCGATCTCCGGCGCCGGTGGAGAAAACAAGAGATTCAATCCAAGCGGACCCTTTACATCCTCTGTCTGGTCCCCCGAAACAGATGATATCGACAATCTTTTTGAAAAGGAAAACCGACTCCTCGGGCTCTGAGACGAGTCACCACCGCTAGGGAGAGGATTAGTGGGTATGTCGGTATTCGCACGCCGCTGCTTTCGAAGGAACTGGTATTGTCAGCGATCGTCCAGGTAGTCGAAGACCCCCAGGATGTGTAGCGGGTGAGAATTAACCATTGTATCCCATCAATCCCAGCGCATGGGGGGTCCAATCTTAGTTGCTCGGATTCATCGGACACTGATATGGGTCGTGAATCAAGAATAACTGAGCCCTTGTCCAACGGTGATTTGTTTCAAGGTAGACTTGGTGATGCCCCTGCTCCGCACACCACACGTTCAGCCCACGTAGCTCCGTAGCCTCGGACCTTTCCTCCTTGAATCACCAATCAGCCGGTTGCTCTAACCGCCCGTCGACCCCGCTCCTCCCCGCCGATAGATTCATGGCAGCATGTGTCTACCCCTGAACATTTTGCTCCTCAGTTTCACCATCCCCATTGATTGTTTTGTTTGATTCCTGGGTCATTCATCATTGATCACGGGCAGACGGGTTGATTCGGCTCCCCAAAGAGATTGTGTACGCATTGTATATTATTCCACAGAGTCAGTTACAACTTGAAGATGGGTTCCGAAACGGATCTAAGTTTCTCCGTTGGAGACCACGAAGCATTCATGGAGTTAGCTCTCATTCAAGCACAAAAGTCACCACCCGCTGGTAACAAATTCTGCGTCGGCGCCGTACTTGTGGATGCTGAAAATGGCAAGGTCTTGTCGACGGGGTACTCACTTGAATACCCGCGAGATTACAAGGGAGATCCCGGCACCACGCACGCAGAGCAATGTTGTTTTATCAAGATCGCCGATCAGCATAACATACCGGAGGAGCAAATTCATGAAGTTCTTCCCGCCAATACAGCACTCTACACGACCATGGAGCCATGCAATGACAGGTTGAGCGGAAATATGACCTGCGTGACCAGGATCTTGAGACTCCAAGGTGCCATCAAGACTGTCTACGTGGGAATCAAAGAACCAGGGACTTTTATCGCAGAGAATGATGGACAAGCAAGGCTAGAGGCAAACGGCGTCCAAGTCGTCTATCCCGTTGAGCATTGGCGTGATAGGGTCACCAAGGTCTCAATGGCCGGTCACTGAAAACCGGGACGGGATGATGTTGCGGAAATGCCGAGGGGTTCCCACATGTGGCTATGTTTATTTTGTACTTTGAACCATTGTGTTTCGAGAATTTCATCGGTATAGAAGTATAGATCGATTGCAGCATCTAGTATGTGCCTCATGCCTTGCCGTAATATACATACCAACCCAACCGGAACACCTGAAACTGAAAATCATCCGTAGCGCCTTTTGTGTCGTCAGCAACAGCGTCTATGCATCATTCTATAAATGACTTCTTCGTTTTTGCACCCTATAATAGATGAATTCGGCGGCGATTGTAGCGCTTTGCAAATATCATCCGGAGATGGGACCAGTCTGCTATTGGCTACTTGAGTATGATAGTGGATGCTTTCGAAAATGGGGCTTTGATAAACCCCGCATATAAAAAGATCACCCATTGCTAGCCAGAGAATCGCTGAACAAGATTCATATATCAATTTTCGAAGAAAATGAACTACAACGGTGCGAATGGGCTTGAATTCGGGGCGGGTAATATCAATGTCGATCCAGCTGTTTTGAAAGGTAACCCGAAGACTCCGAGTGAACCCCTATAATTTTTCCTGTATTGACTTTCTCTCAAAGAACTGCCTTCAGGGTGCGAGATTACATCCACCGAGAGCCATGGAGTAAGCTTCTGGGCACGTACTGGCCGAATCGACGTCTTGCTCTCCGATGGTACTCCACTATCCTTCTTCATCAAGGTCATTTCGAACGAACGGGGTCTGAATATGACGAGAAGTGAATACTCATCAATGAGCACGATGCATAATGTCGTACCAGAATTTGTCCCACGACCCATCGCTTGCGGAAGCTACCGCACCATTCCCGACACCCATTTCTTACTCTGCGAGTTTCGAGAAATGACCGATGATATGCCCGACCCTCGGAAATTTGCCGCCCTTTTGTCCAGACTACACCAAAGCAGCGTATCACCTACTGGCAAGTTCGGATTCCATATCACAACTTACGCGGGAAACCTACCACAGTATGTGGCTTGGGAAGATAGCTGGGAAATATTCTTCTCCAAGTCCATGAAACAGGCACTTGATTTAGAGATTGAACGAAAAGGGCCTAGCGAAGAGCTTGATAGACTCTCTCGCTCACTGTTCGAAAGAGTTATACCAAGGCTCCTGAGGCCTCTCGAAAGTAATGGCCGAACAGTGAAACCTTCACTTGTTCATGGAGACCTTTGGTACGCGAATGCAGGTATCGATGTTGACAATGGCCAAACGCTTGTATTTGATGCTTGTTCATTCTTCGCGCACAACGAATGTGAGTTTACCTATAAAGGATCTGTGGTTGCGGATGTTAACGACATTGTGTTTGAAGATGAATTCGGCCAGTGGAGACCAGCTTGCAATAGATTTGGGGATGAGTATGTTGCAGCCTACCACAAATTTGCCAAGATTTCACCACCAGAGGAAGATTTTGAAGGCCGTCTAGATCTGTATAGACTGTGAGAAATTCCCACTTGGTCCTTTTTAATCGACTTAGCTAACATCAAGCTAGGAGATTCGACACACACGTGTCAGCGCTGTTTGTTGATAACGAGACCCTTCGCACACAGTAAGGATATTCTCGACCTCCAATCTACTCCGGCACTAACAAGCTCAATAGGGTGCTCGATGTGATGAGAGACTTGGTCAATAGATACGGCTGATTTTCGGCATTAATGATTTATCTGCTTGGCTTTCCTGTCATGTTCTGTTCAACGATTTATGCTATCCAAATATGTATTCAAGATATACAAATACCATATTGATATCATGTTTCCATGCCCTCCAGTTAATACCAATTACCTAACTGTCTTTGTGTACCTATTGAGGGATGTAAATTGAAAGAATTGCCATGAAGAACCTTGGAAATCAGAACCATCCAAACAGAAGTGTATAAAAGGTAATATTGAATGTGACATTTCGCCATGTAACTAAACAAATTATATAGATGATCTGATATACCACCCCAAAGGCTCCTTCCTCTTCTCACGAAGCGAAAGACCCTTCCCAACAAAAGCAAACCTATTAGGAGTGCGGTAACTAAACTCAAAGTCCTGCAGACGCGGTTCCTTAAGACATTCCATGAAATGGTTAAGTGATCCCGGCCACACTCCGACGATCTTGCCATCAGAGGTACCACCCTTGTACCTGTGACAACGTTAGAACTATGCGACGGTATCAGAAGGAGAGGCACTGAGATCATACCAACTGTTACAGCTACCAGAGAAAGTCAAATTCTTCATGACTGCGTCTTTGTGTTCAATAAAGTCTGCTGTCGCTTGTGCGCTGACAACAACAGACTTGACGCCCTGGGACTGTATTTTCTTTGCGAAGCTCAGGGCGAATTCGAGTTGGGTCTCGATGGCAGGCATCAGAGATCCGTTTGAGATGGGTGAGTTGGGGCCGACGACCACTGTGTCAGCGTTAGAGGTATATTCGACGTTATCTTGGGGAGATGACACTTACTGAAGTAGTTTGGCATATCGGGCACCGCACAGGTAAAGTATGCATCGGCTCCAGTCTTTGACCATCTCTCTCGGAGGTTGACACCGTTTCGACCAATGAGAGGGAATGGCGGTACGTATGTGGTGTCATAGCCTGTCGCTGCAACGATCACGTCGAGGGAATGTGTAGTGCCGTCACTTGTGACAACGCCTTCTTTGCTGATAGACTGGATGGAATCTCTGACGACTTGAACATTGTCGGCTTGGAGAGCTTCAAGGTATCCCTCACCGGGTGTGACCCTAATTGCAAAACATTAACAAGAATCCACCGTTGTTTAGTTGCAACAGGACTCACCGTCGACATCCAACATCGAAATCCGGGATCAGTGATTCTCGTAGCTTGGGTTCCATCCCAGCAAGCTTCTCTCTCATTCCCTTCTCCACAGCTTCCCGCGCCATTTTCTGCTGCTCGGAACCGGTGTAAAAATTTGGGAATCGCGAGTTCAGGGCATGGTCAATTTCTCGACGGTAATTCAATAGGGTCTCTGAGCTTTGGCGGAACTCAGCCTTCTGCTCTTCCGTGTACTTTGTTCCTCGTCCGTCCTTTGCAAGTTGTCCTAGGAATTGAGGTGCGACCCACGTTGGTGATCGGATGAAGGATGTCAACGATTTCACAACTAAACACGGAATGTCAGCATATCTTTCCGCGCCAGGTGGGAAAGTCTACTCACTTGGTTGGACAGTGGGAATAACTTGGATAGCCGATGAGCCGGCACCGATCACTCCAACTCGCTTCCCAGTCAAATCCAAGTCCTGAGGCCAGCGAGCTGTATGAACCAAATTTCCTCCGAAGGAGTGAAGACCGGGAATCTCAGGCCATTTCCAGTTACTGTTCCTCGTTAACAAAAAAACGCAGGATAATTCAGAGAGACAGCTCAATCTCACTTCAACGCTCCTCCGCAATTGATCAAGACCTCTCCGGAGTCGGTTTTCACCTCACCCGTCTTGAGGTCCTTCACCTGCACCGTCCACTTTCCATCAACCTCACTCCATCCCGCTCCAACAACCTGGTGTTCGAACTTCGCCTTCTCGTACACACCATATTCTTTCGCTCTTTCGCGATAGAAGTCCCAAATCTCTTCGGCACCGGCATACCTATCAACCAGCGTTAGTCCAAAGCTCAAACTCCCACAATCCACTAGACACCGCAGTACTCACACTTGCGACCAATTGGGATTGCTGACCCACGGATAACTGTATGAATGCGCAGGGATATCACACGAGCAGCCAGGATACCGTGACTCCAACCAAGTACCGCCGACCTCGGCGTTCTTCTCGTAAATCACATATTCGACATTCTGCAACGCTTTCACCTTATACGCGAATGCGATACCGGAGATACCTGCGCCAATCACGATGATCTTGATTGGTTTGGCTTCGCCAATGTATTCATCGGCCACGACATATTTACTTGGTTCAGCAATGGACCCCATTGTGTAGTTGGTAAGGAAATGTGAAGTCGAGGGGCTCGGTGGTTTAGTTTCTTTGGATATACCGCGACCGAGATATTTATGAGACGGCGACCGTTCGATCTTGGAAGCTCTGGTAGAACATCCCGTCCAGCGGAAAGGTGTCACCGATGGCAACATTGCAGCTGTTTCAGTCTGATGGTGGCATTGCGTGGATGGATTCGGGTGAGGGGTTGGCGCGAAGAGCTGTCGGCGCTTTGAAACCGAGCTCTGGACTCAGCAAACAGACAAGCTCGCAGCTATCCATTGATAGTCAATGTCCGAAATATCCGAATTGGTGAAGATCGGCTTACCCCAGGATCGACTTTTGCGGGGGAAAGTCATCGGAGTGTTGCATCCGAACAGCGGCCATCCAATCGGTAGTATCGCCAACGACCCGATGTGTATCATAAGTGGATGTCTGAAGTAATACTAGAAATAAGAAAGTAAAGCTATGCTATTCCCCCAGCAATACTCTCTCCAATTCCGCGCTGAGCAAACACAATGGCACATATCTTCGAGCTAGCAGAGTCACTCTCGTCCGCGCCGAACTACGTGAATGGCGTCAAAACCAGCGATCAAAGAAAATTCCCTACTAGTGATGTCTTCGGCGGTTTCAATTCACCCTCGCGGTTAGAAGCCGATGTCGAAAATCTCGAGGTCACTGGTGTGATTCCCAAAGACATTGATGGGACTTTCTTCCGTGTGCAGCCAGACCATCGTTTCCCGCCTGTCTACGACTCGGATATCCATTTCAACGGTGATGGCAACGTCACTGCTATCATGATTCGGAATGGAGGTGCGAGTTTCAAACAGCGCTATGTGCACACGGATCGATACGAAGTCGAATCGCAGCATGGCAAGGCTTTGTTCGGAAAATACCGCAATCCGTATACCGATAATGAAGCTGTTAGAGGGGTGATTCGCACGGCGGCGAATACCAATATCTTCTTCTGGAGAGGGATGCTGTTGGCAACTAAAGAGGATGGTCCGCCGTATGCGATGGACCCGGAGACGCTGGAGACGATTGGACGATATGATTTCGAAGGACAGGTGTTGAGTCCGACTTTCACTGCACACCCCAAGTTTGATCCCAGTACTGGGGAGATGGTCTGTTATGGATATGAGGTACGTTGTTTGGGATATTCAATGCGACAGAATCAGATACTTACTTATGCTTGTTTAGGCCGGCGGAAATGGCAATGATGGATCGCGCGATATCGTCGTGTACACCATCAATGCCGACGGTGTCAAGACCGAGGAATGCTGGTACCAGGCCCCCTTTTGCGGTATTATCCATGACTGTGGAGTTAGCAAAAACTGGGTCGTGCTCCCAATGACTCCCTTGAAATGCGACAAGGCGAGATTAGCAAGAGGTGAAAATCACTGGGCCTGGGATGCGAACGAAGATCAGTGGTATGGACTTGTTCCCCGACGAGGAGGCAAACCAGAGGATATCCGTTGGTTCCGCTCGAAAAATGGTGGGTTTGCTTTCTCAATGTGTGCCTTCACTTTGTGCTAACTTCAAACAGCATTCCAGGGCCACACTGCCAGCTGCTACGAGACCGATGACGGCAAGGTCGTCTTCGACCTGACCATCGCCGACGGAAACGTGTTCTTCTTCTTCCCTTCGGCAGATACACCCGCCGGAACAGTGAACCAGCGCAATAAACTCCAAAACAAGACGACGCGCTGGGTCTTCGATCCTGCCGCGCCTACTAACTCTTGGGTCGAGCCCGAACAAGAACTCGATACGCTATCTGGCGAATTCTCTCGCATCGACGAACGCTTGGCAACAATGAAATATAACCATTACTGGCAAGTCAACATCGACGGCTCGAAGCCATATGATGCAGCGCGCTGCGGGTCTCCGGCCGGTGGCCTCTTCAACACCATTGCTCACTTCACCTGGGACGGATCAGTTTGGGATACGTTCTGGGCTGGGCCGCGGGCGACATTCCAAGAACCGTCGTTTATTCCTCGCTCTGGCAGTACGAAGGAAGGTGATGGGTATATTATTGCGTTGTTGAATCATTTGGATGTGCTAAGGAATGATGTTTGTATTTTTGATGCGCAGAAGATTTCACAGGGGCCAATTGCTGTGCTTCATTTGCCGTTTAAGCTGCGCCTTGGATTGCATGGGAATTTTGTTGAGACAAGGGAGATTGAAGAGTGGAAGAATAGGAGGTCATCGAGTCTTGGACCGGTGAAGCCGGCGAATGCCCCGTTGCCGTGGCAGAAGAGGGAGTTGGTGAAAGCAGGTGGGAAGCTTTAGGTCTTTTGATATGTAATTAGCTATATGCCACAAAGATAGGTCGCTTCGCAGATCTTGGAAATGTATGTTTTGAACTGAATCTATATTTGATGTTGAAGCCATCAATTAACTAGCCTAAGAAAAGCGCTGTCACAATATTTACCGCCCACTCACGACATATAGCTCAACCGATCCCATTTATCTAGTACATATTGTAGCTCACATCCCTGACTGTACACTAGATCAAAACAAATGCTCCATCCCCGCCGCAAAAGGCGCATCAGGGAACGTGTTCATAAGCTCAGCAAAAGAGTCAAGACTGTGCGTCTGGAACACATCCCACTGGGAAACATCGAAATCACTAGCCACCAGTCAGCAACAAGATCCAACCCATCCTCACAGGGGAACACTTACAACTCTGCATTCTCCGAACTCCCGGGTCCATCCGACGGCATATTCAGCTCTTGATTGCCGACCGGCTCCAAATCCAGCACGCCACTCTCGTATATCCGCGCCTCGATATCAGGCACGATCCGTTCAACCCAGCCGACTCTCTCCATACTATCCAGAACACTGAGACAGGTGCGCAGCATATCCTGATGTTTTGCACTCTGCGCCTTCCGAAGAGCAAGTATAAGAATCCACATCGCTTCTCCTGCACAATGGGCGTCGTTCAATGTCAAGCTGGATAATACGCTCATCTCCTTCATGCGTTGTAGAATCCGGATTGACATTTCTGCTGCTTCGATGCAGGCGTTGCTGAGTTTATCGTAGCATTTGATTCTCATGGCGGAATCGATCTCTCCGGACTTCGTCACAGATAGTAACAAGAATGGACGGGATATTGATAATACCGAGGACCAGTATCGTAGATGGAGGACTGCAATGGATCGGAAGTGTTGTGGTGGAACAGGGCAGTCCCAGCGTAGATGGAAAGGCACATTTTCCAACCATCTCTTGAGTGTTGTTATACTCTGTGTCACAAGGTTGATCGGTAACCGGCCACCACCATGACATGGCTCCAAGAAACTTTCCAAATTGACCCTTTTGTGTAACTGTACTAGACTGACAGCAAGTGTCTGGAAGCCCTGCGGCATATTAGGAGAAGGATCCAGAATCTGTTCCGAGGCTGGACTTGTATTCATGAAGCCCAGGTTATCGGCAATGGCACACGGATAGCCGAACCGATTCGCCGTTTCATGGTCGAGGATGTACACAGTCCACCAGATTCGTCTGTATCGCTCACGATCGACGGTCGAGAGAGACTTTGGGAATATATCGCGATGCAGACCGAGAGAGAATCCGATTCGAGCCGCTGTCCCGAGATAGAGATATGCCCCGAGACTGTAACAGTTCGAATGCATTGCCAGGCTCTGCCGTCTGTTAGTTTCATGCAACCCTCGCTGTTTTTGGTAGTACTGACTAATAATGCGAATGCCCGCACACTCTCAATATCAGCATCATCTGCTGCTCGGGGGACCAATTCCTTCGCCAATGCGAGATACCCCGAAGGACCCATGGCATCATCCAGAAAGCCCTTTCCAGTACTTCTCAAAGCGTCAGTAGGCCGTATTGACCCAATTGCGAAAATCGAGTATAGCGAACATAGCCATGAAGGACTTGCATTCCTCCCCTTATGTTCCAGCGTGTGATCCAGCAACGCGTAAAACTGTTCCGGTGAATAGAAACAATGCATTGAATGCGCCTGCGCGAAGAATCGGCTTGTATATTCCATCGAGAGCCGGTAAGAAGGCAGATAGTGCTCAGCTCGGGATTGACTTGTGACGCTCTCGGGTGTAGTTGGTGGCAGCAAGCCGGTTTTCAGAGGTACGACGACACGAGAGTCTGATGGTACGGCTTGATCAATGGCCATGCGTACCGCGTGATGCCATCGCATGGCGGAATTGGCGCCGAGGTATCCTTTAATGGTATCAGCATTATATCCTGTGTTTTCTGGTTTGCAGAAAGGGGTGTTGACTGACGGTATTTCCCCGATGAATCGAGCATCATGCATCCCAGCTCTTCTTGGAACAGCGAATGCTCTGCTGGCTCGATCATCTCAGGCGGATCTTCGCGCGGTTGCAATACAGAGCCTGCATCGCTGGGCTCTGCCTCTCTCCCGCGGTTATCAGATGAGCTCTGCGGACGGCCATCGTTGTCCATTTGATCAAGGAACGTCGATATGCTCGCAACGGTAAGCTCCGGTAGCTCATCTTCAGAGACAAAGCGGCGCAACAACTTAATCAAATAATCATACGCCTCTTCAGACACCCGATAGAACGGTCGTTTCCTACTTTTGAGATTGAATTCGCAAGGCACATTGAGCGATCTACAATACTCGCAATCGCCATTTTCAACACCGACACACTTACACAATCAGCGTTTCCCCAACACTATTGACAAGCTCCATACCTTAGTTTTGCGGGCTTTGCATGCTTCACAACTTTGACGAGCCCGTTTCCTGGGAAGCGTATCTGCATCCTTTTCCCACCGGCGTTTCGGGGGTTTATTAACAGCCTGCATAGTCAACAACTTTGCACAGAAACAAAAAATGCTGCATGTCGGGTCCGTCCACTTCGTGGAGAATGCGGGGGAAGATCGTGTGGGGGAAGGGGGGAGAATCCCGAGGTCGGCTTTGCTGGGCGTCTCATTGGTTCCGTCGGTTGGACCCCGGACTGCCTCCTGTTACGAGGGGATCGGCCTGAACTCGGAGGATTTACCCGTCAGAAACCATCAGTTGGGGCTATACCTCCAGAGTACCAACGGAGTACGGAGTACTATTGTTCCTTGTCCCCCATGTGACCAAGGACATTGTCTCAGCGACAATAGTACTCTCGTGCCATGTGACCTCATCTTCATCCCAACCCCCGTCTTATTTCCACGCATCCCCGCCTCCCCCCACCCCCCCGTCGACCGCAGTAACCGCCCAAATCCCCTCTTCCACGGCTACCAGCGGCATCGCCCATCGCTGCGGGCTGCACGCGAAATACGATCGCATATCTCGCAACAACAATAAACACCCAACCACAACCCAACACATACATACCCAACATACCCCCAGGACAGTATCCCGTCGCCAAGAGACCAAGCAAAGTGACAATCTAGATTCCCAAGGGTTCTGACCCGTCAACCACGCCAATGACACCCCACTAGTGATGCAGGACACATCGCATTAGCGCAGCGACCCGGGTGTCCGCAAATGTCGGTGACAACTGTCGCCCAAACGCTGCCTAAGGTTTCTTGTCGGGGTATTGCAGGACCAGCTCATCCGACACCGCTAGTTACGTCGAGAAGCGGGAGGGGAGGTGCGCTCGGGCACGGGAATCAGACTTTGGGGGTTACTGAAGAGACCAGGATATGGTTCTTTGGGTTACCCCTCATCTGGGTGTTGAAGGGGAGGGTGGACTCTTTCAGGCGAGATGTAGCGAGCCGAGCACTACGGAGATCAACCAATTAGGAGATGGGAGACTAACAGACTAACACAGAGTCTGGTGAACTGGAGGTATGTTTAAGATTTGAGCTGTAGGCTGGTATCGAACTGAACTGGGAGGATTGCCTGACAGTGGCGATCGATGTTGGTGATTTTGTCTGCTTGCCGATATGTATAGGAGTGGTTTAATATAGCTGTTATGCAGATTTTGATTGCAATCTGGGTTTGGAGGTACCTAGGTACATGGATGCAAATTGCGAAGCATAACTGGGATTCAGTAAATCCAAAAAAGAAAAGAAGTGAATTCGGATTAAAGAGCCCTGGTAATCCAGAGTCAAAGGCTCATGGGAGCTAGAAATCCTCGCTGAAAAACGCCAATGTTCTATAGTTAAATCACATAGCCAAACCAAGGGACAGCAAACAGAGAAGGAATGTAGACAAGGGTCAGCGATCAAAGTATGACAGGGAGAGTGGATGCATATTCAACCATTGAAGAAAGGGTAGAGTGGAAAAGGAAAGTCATAATAAAAACAAGGGCTGAGGGTATAGTATCGGTATGGGTCATAAGATGTCGTGAGATGTGTGGAGAGTGCTGAAAAACAAAACAGAAAAGCAAAGGAATTATTAACAGGACTTGAAAGAATCAACCCAGATTCAAACCCATGGATCGGCCTGCATGTAGCTATGGGGATTGACAGGTCCAACAAGCTTGATCTGAGCCTTCAACTGCTCCCTCCGACGATCCTCCTTCGTCTTTGCAGTCTTCTTCTTCGCACCAAGGAAGACCCCACGGCTATGCTTGTGCGGGGGAGACGAAGCAGGGGTGGCATTAGAGGAAGATAACTCAGGAGCAGACAATGAACCCGGCTCTGTATCCGAAGTAGGCGAGGACTTGTATTTCTGGAACTGGACGTTCCGCTTGGATTTCTTAGGCGCCTCCCAGATCGCGGCGCCATGTTTCTGATACTCCGATAGCGGGACGGCGAGCTGTTTCGGGCGGGGAGTGGTCGGAGTTGAAAATGTCGTAGGTGAAGTTGGAGAGATGGGTGTTTGGAGATGGAATTTATGATTGGTGTAGTCGTACTCGCTGCTCGAAGACGTAGCCACAGACAAAGTTCGCACTGCGACATTCGTGTCCAAGACCAGGGAGGAATGCTGCGTGCTCGTCTTCCTCAGGATACTGCCTACATCATTGAGTTGATCCATAGGCGCTGTAACCGGACGGGAAGACTCTTTCGGTTTATTCTCCGCTGAATCACGGGAAAGAGTGCGATGGACGTATGTCTTGATCGAATTGCGAAGGCCGCCGCGATCGAGAGCATGCCAGCGGTACTTTCCCTTGGCGAAATCCAGGGCATTTCCCTTCTTGCGGGATTTATTCTGGGCGAGCATGTTGGGACTGACACGTCCACTAGCCTGGACGGCAGAAGGCGCTAATTCGGGGAAATAGTCCCACTTCTTCTCGCGGAAATAGTGATTAGTGCCTGTGCGGTTCGAGTTCCAATTTGATGGGCGTCCGTATTGTGTGTCCGAATATGAGGATGAGACCGATACTGGTTCTTCCACAAATGCTGGTTGTTCGAGAAATACTGGTTTCTCGATAATTGACTCGTCGATATTGATCTTGATATCGATCGAGTCCGTGCGCTTGTTCATTGGTGGCTGTGGGGGACGGAAGGACTGATCGGCGGATGGGGCCGAGTGATCGACCAAGTCGTCGAAGTCGTCGGCGCCGGAACTGACGAAAATGGGATAGCTGTCGGTCGAGTATCGCGGTTCGCTGGGGCCGATGAGACTGTCGAGGGTGCTTTCACTATCACTCGAGTCGCTCCACATCGCTGAACATTCTGCTTGTTCGGGGAGGGGTTTTGCCGGTAGCGGTTTGTTCAAGAAGAGTTGTGTAGAGTAGGACTGTTTTGAAGGTGGGATTACGCGCTCGAGTCCTTCGAGGGAACGAGATGGGCGGACTGGGGGCGCCATTCGGCTGTGATATGAGAGTGTCGGGGAGAGCATGTCGGAGGCCGGATATGAGGGGAAACGAAACAAAGTGTTTTGGCACGGGGGATAAAAATACTCTCAAAGAAAGAGCGCCACGCGAAAGAACTGAAGAAGTCTGGAGCAACAAAGAGAGGACACGCACAGTTATATTAAAAACGAGCATCACCCCTAGAAGGGTACTAATATGCAAGGAGAGGAAAGGGAAAGTATACCCTCCGCGTATAATCCCTATAATATAAAATCATAATATAATCGGCTAGCCAAATCAACAGAATCGTAACCAGCAATCCCTGCGCCACGCAAGGACAGGTGCCATGCTGGATCGTCAGCCCTTGATCCCCCTGGCCATCATGATTGGACCATCGAAGCTAGACAGCGTAGACACCCTAAGACTTGGGCATTTTAGGCTCCTTTAGGGCCTTCTGACATGTATCCACGAGATTAAAGCCCATTTCTCGCTAACTAAGTTTGGCTGCCTTCTCCATCGTCTCGCGCGTCAGTTGATCCGAGTGACGAACCGCACTTAATCGACCTAGCCGACGAAGCTTGGCGATCATCTCCTCGTCGCCGAAGTGGCTGTTATGTTCGAATTCGGGTTCCTGCGCGTACGCGACCCGCGCCGCGTCCACGATGATGCGTGCTGTCATGCCAAAGATACGGTATACTTGATCATCGTGGTCGGATTTTGCGCCCAGCCTGGGAACAAAGAACTGGTGCACTAGTGGCGTCGTTAGTATCCACCGTGCTCAGCTATGACTCCTCCTTTTCCTGGCTTAACGCCTAACGGGCCCCCTGATCCCAGAGGGAAAAGACAAAGAGAACGGTCCAGGAAAGAGTCCAAAAAAAGAAAATATCAGGGGGAGAGACCCCCCCAAAAAAAAACAAACGAAAAGGAAAAGAAACTGCCAAATGGACATCTCACGTTGTGATCCACCTCGGGCATGGTCGGTGCGACAACACCATGTGTTGTTGTACTCCGTACACCGTCTAGAAGGGCAAAAGAACAAAAAATAGACACTAGCAGAAAGGAAGGAAAAAAAAGAAAACTCACTTCTCCAATTGGAATCATGCCAAACCCCCCAAGCCCCACGATACCATTCATGTCCATTATTCCCAGTCCCATCCAGACTACTTTTCAAGAATCCCTCCAAGGGCGCCGTGAAAACAGCCTCAACCTCTCGGGCATCCAGAATGGGAATAAGCGACACCTCCGGATCGGCCGTCAGCCCCGACCGCGGATCATAGCCGTGAAGGAGCGCGACGCAGGGACGCACGACCAGCTCCGTTCTGGCAAGATTTGCCGGGAGCTCGCAGAGGTGCTCCACGCTAAACGGGGCCGGGAGTTTTTGATTGATGTCGGCGAGGCCGATCTCTTCGCTTGCCTCGCGCCGCGCCGTTTGGAATGCGGTTTCTGTGAGCTCTGCTTTCCCTGTATTGGGTTAGCACCATTTGTTGTTTGGTATGTTGGATATGCCTCATCTCAAGCTCAATTTCAAGTCGAAGCTTGGACGACCCCATCTTGACTCAGGTTTGGCCCTTTTCTTTTTCTTTCTTTTTTGCTTTTCTGTTTTTCTGTTTTTGCCTTGGGATATGTTTCTCAACTTACCACCAGGCAATGCTGCATCTCCTGCATCTATACCAACATTAGCCTCCCGAACAACCAACCCATGTCATGCACCTGAAAACAGGGCTGGGGATATTCTTCCCATGAACACTCACATGAACTTAGTGTCTTAGCCCGGATTGTAACAACCACTCTAAGATCGCCCTTGGCATCGGCGAACAGCAGTATCAGGACCGCTGCCCGTCTGTTTAGCGGCACCGAGTCATACGTCGTTGGCGGGGGGATGTAGTTTCGGAGTCTGGCGATGGCTGCCTATGAGATACATCATATTAGGATCATCCAGACTATTCTTACGTGTGTTTGCTAGGATTCGGGGGGTTGGGTTTCAACGCCGCATTTGCATGGCGGGATGGACATCCACGGAAGAAAAAAACGAGAAGAGAATAAACGGTGAGGGAAAAAAAAAAGAAAGACTGGTTTCAGGAAAGACAAGACCTTGAGCTTGGGAACAGTCTTCCGGAAAGAAAAGAATGTTCCATATGCCCCTAAATCCGAATGGTATCAAGACCGTGAGATCTGAGACTTGGAGGCCGAAACGCAAACGACTCGTTCCCTCTAGACATGGGATTCAAATTGGATGAGCCCTTCCAGGTATAGATCGACCTTGGCAATGAACAAAAAACATGGCAAATTAAGACACCCCGTGGGCGCAGGCAGGGGGTAGAGAACGCACCCAGGTGGTAGGGATGAGAGGCATGGCAAATTGGACACAGCAGATTCACATTTCACAGGGGGACACGCGGTCATTTCGGGTAGTTGCAGAGAACGAGTTACACATACCTCAGAGGCGGGATTTAGGGGCGCCATTAATTTGGAGCGTATTGGTTTGACTCTGGGATGGTGGAGGCTAAAGACTGTGGGTGTTGCTTGCTTTTCGCTCAGGAGGCGGGTGGTGCTGAAACAGAGTCGCTGGAGGAAGTTGAATTGTCGCATCTCCAACCAGGCCGGTATCCCCGAACTATGTAATCCGTTGGCAGCTCCTCCGTACTCCGTATACTGGGGAAAGATGGGGTTGGGCCGGTTTGCAGCCGAGGTAACTGTCGGTGACTAATGATGTAACCGGCATCGGAGGACAGTTGGACGTTATTCTGAAGGGGAGACGTCGTGGTCAACGGGGGGACTAATGGGATTAATGGGAAGTATTGATTCATTCACTTCACAGCTATCCTCTTGATGCGATAGCCCAGTTATCGAAATATGTAACAGCCAAAGGGAATCAACGGTATGCCAGTTAGATAACATCAAAAGCAATAAAAATGGGTAGAGAGCCAGGGATCAAATAGTTTATCAACATAGTGAGGAGAAATAACACAGGATGAGAACAGAAGGGGAGTAAAAAGCCAAGAGCCAACAAAACAAAAAGCAACCATCTATATCACAAGTACAACCCAGATCAAAACATGTATAGGTTCGAAAACAATGAAATCGCCAGCATATTCATATCAACTACGAGCTCTCGCTCTTCTTCGCCTCCTTGGACTCGGCGGTCTTCTCAGCGCGCTCGCCTTCAGCCAGGGCCTCGTTAGCTTCGGAGGACTGCTTCTCGACGCCATCAGCGGCGGCCTCAATTCGAGCCTCCTCCTTCTCATCAATATCATCGATGTCCTTGGGCGCGGGAACACCCTTGGCCTCGTGCTTGCTGTTCTGCGAGTTCTCCTCGGAGATCAGCTCTTCCTGCTCCTTGATAACCTCGAGACGCTGCTTGTTGGTAGCGGCACCCTCGGCATTGTGAACCTCAAGCTCGATCTCGTGGAACAGCTCCTCGGGAATGCTGGAGAGTACGGCCTTGAGAGCATCAATCTGGGAAGCCATCTCAGACTCCTTTCCGCCCTGTGTGTACAGGTAGGCGTTGCTCAGAACCAACAAAGTGGAGGGAACGCCCTGCTTGAGACGCAGCTCGAGCCACATGCCGAGGTCTTCGCGCAGACGGGCAGGGGAGACACCGTGAGTGCGGATACCACGGGAGGCGCTGGCCATCTGCAGTTCAGGGACAGAGAGCGAGTCGACGCCCTCGTAGAAGATCGCGCGGTCGTCACGCTTGATCTGGCGCATGCGGTGGCGAATAGTGTAACGGAGCATAGCGTCGGTACCGAAGGAGTTCAAGTTCATGTAACGACAGATGCCGACAAGCTGGGGTCGGGACAAGTTGTCCAGAGTAAGATCATCCTTGAAAATTTTGCAGACCTTGATGACATCCTCGGTTGAGGGCGATTCACCAGTGGTGCGGATCTTGCGGAAAAAGTCTGTGAACTCGTCGTTCTTGACAGTTGCTGCGGTCAAGGGGAGACCAGTTTCGCGCAGGGTGTTGCGCAAGAATCCAGAAACCTCCTTGCGAGTCGAGCTGAGGTTCAGCGCCTTAGCATCACGGGCCTTCTGGCCCTCGTAGGTGCTGGGAAGCATGTTGGGGAAGATCTTCAGCGCGACGGGAAGGAGCAGTTCGGCAAAAGGAACAATAAGGAACATGGAAAAGGGAACCAAACGTCCCAGATCCTTTGTAGTACGTTGAAGCTATAATCAAAGTCAGGTTAGCCGAGACGGCACGAGTGATCGAGATATCCACGGTGGCGCAAACATACCTGACGGTGCTCTCGGCGACTGAGCTCATAACCACCGGCCATCTTCAATGCCAAACGGGAACTGATCTTAACCTCTGTGGCGAGCAGCTTTGTGCCATCCCAGTAGTGCTGCAACTCCTTCTTGACCTTTTGTCCAAGTGTCAACTTTTTCACATTCTTCTTCTCGGCCAACTTCTGCTCATCCGAACTCGTCTTTGCGACAGTTGAAGCGGCGGGCTTGGTGTTAACAATTGTCTGCGTCGTAGTCGGCTCGGTCTTCGCAACGGTAGATTGTGGCTGCGAGATTTGCTCCTGCGGGATCGGCTTCTTGGCCTGCTCGGCATTGAATCCCGGGGGAGGATAGTTCTGGGAAGAGTGGTTCGAGGTGGATTGCTCGGTCGCATATCCGCGCTGGGGCATCAGGATAGCAAGGGCCGACACTTGAGATGGTAGGTCGCGGCCATTGCGCAGGAGGCCGCGAGCAACAACCGAGGCCGGGCTCAATGCACTGGAACGACTACGGGCTGCCAAGGAGGATAATGTTAGCAAGTACTATCACCACAAACGTTCGCTTCAAGTTTTTCAGCACTTACCGATCAAGGCAGACCGAAAAGCAGGTGTTCCGCGGACCAAACCGGTCGATCTCATCGTGGCAGACATTTGCGGAAATGTTGATGGAAAAAGAAGGAAGTGCTCAGTGCAACGCGCGTAGAGTCGTAGGCGCAACCACAAAGAAATAAATTATCAACCTTAATGTCCAGGAGATGAAGGGAAAAAAGCAATTACAATAATAAATTGATGGTCATAGAAGTTTGGAATGTCCTGGAAACGCTTCCGATGAGATGTTGTGATGTACTGCCTCAGTCATTCTAACACGTGACTGCCGACCACGGCCTCGGGGTTTGCTCGGAGATATCCGCATAGGGTCTAGGAGCGGAAGGATGAGGAATCTTATGGGTGTTGCAGGAGTACATCTATGAGATTTCTTTCCAGAAATAGTTCATTTCATGGATGATTTCAATCTGATAACCAATTCTGTACAGTAAGTAAACCAACAGCAAAACTCGCTTGGCGATACTTGAATCTTGACCCGAGAAAACCAAAGATCAGGGTATATAACGACTGATAGAAACGATGTTCAAAAGCTAAAAACGAGAATTAAGTGTAATAAGATATTTGTCGGAGGGGTGCATAGTCGAGAAGACGCATATCGCCTGGTGTTTAACTTCGTTCCCGAACTGTAGAATCGTTCTCCAGATGATCTTCCATGAGAGCGGTAGAGGACCCATTGGCAGTATCGAGCAAGGGAATTTGATCAACACTCGATCGCTTCTCTTCACTGTGCTCCTTAATGGCTTCACTGAGAGGGCTGGGCTCGGGAACCAGTGGAGGAGTTGCTGTTCCTTCGGGTGAGCTCTGCCAACGTGCGACATCGGTCTTGAGCTGCTCCAGCTCCTTCTGGAAGCGTTTGCCGAAGACATCAATGTAGTAGGTTGCTCCATTGTGGATGCTCCAGACAAACAACGCCGACATGAACGTAGCACTGGCCCATTTAGACCAAAACCAGATCGGGCAGGGAATCATCGTGGACAAAGCAAAAGCGTACTGTATGAACATAAAGCATGGCTCCTGTAGCGCTTCAGGCAGACTCAACACGAATCGCCCAATCCAAGTCTTGGAATATGACTTGCGGAGCCAGGTGAAGCTAGTCGGGCGACCCGCTGCAATTTTCTCACGACGACGCACAGTAATCAAAAAGTGATACATGAGCTGCCAGACCAAATAGGGGGCCGTGGACCACAGGATCATTGCACCAAGGCCATAATGTTCGGGGTCCCCGGGTTGACTGAACTTGATGCTGTGAACAGCGGGGAAACGCTCTTTGAGTATTCCAACCGGGGTCAGGTGTACAATACAGTGCAAAGTAACTGGTGGCATGATATGAATGAAGAGACTGTACGAATTAGATCAGCGAATGCACTTCGTCCCTTTGGACAGCTAACATACCTGACAACCTTATCCATGCTGTGGAAGACCATCGAGTTTCGCCACATGGCAATTGCAGCGGCATTGTTTCCGAATGTCAAACAGAAGGTGCTAATGAAAAGTCGTTTCGAGTTGGGGAAGACCCAGATGCTCAGCATGCAGAGCATATTGACAAAGTAGCAAAGATCAGCCAGGAAGTAGTGGTAGCCCTTGGCATGGTATGTGAAGTAGCGGATGGGCATGAAATATGCCAGCTGGCCGCTGAACCAGATATAGAAGTACTCTGGGCATGCACCAATCAGGTAGCCGCTGATGAAGATATTGAGGACACCAGCGATAAAAGCCATCTTCTCTCTCAGAGTCACGGTTGCCGTCTGGTTCCATTGCTTGCCTAGTCGCTCGACACCCTGCTTCATCCGGTAACGATATTTCTCCAACTTCTCATCAGCGGTCGGAGCCCGGCGCTTCCACTCGTCCACCATACGATCCTTGGCGTTTAACGAGGAGGACTTGATCTTCTCACGCTGCCTGCGCACCTTCTCCTTCTGTGTAGCGATGGTTTGCTGCCATTTCTCCAAGCGTTGTGAGAGCTGGAAATTATCAAGTAGGTCGAAAATAGTCAACTTGTCCAGGGGTGGAAAGGACTCCCAATCTTCCTGGTACGAGCTGCTGTTGGAGAAGGAACCGGTCCGTGATAGCTTGCCAGGGGATGGAGGAGAAGAGCTGAATTCATCGTTATCGGCGAAGTCGTCTGAAGGGAATGGCGCGTCGATCTCGTCCAGGCCTGGCGTCGAGGCCAGCGACTTATTTGACATGGTGGGGTCCGATGTTCTCCTCGAGCTAGTATTTTCCGTCAAAAATTGCTGCTGGAAGGCAAATATAGTAGGACCGTCCCGGGTGTTGGGGTATGATCGACTGAGAAACCGGTTGAATGTTAGCATCCCCATAGTTGCAAGGAGCTCAAAGAGCACAGCTTAGTAAATATTTGCCAACAAAGCGGAAGCACCTAGAAGATACTTCTTTTATGTACACATGAGAGGCAAGAGAAGGAGATATCGGTAATCTTACTTGATAAGCAAATCCCACGTTTGTTGGACTCACGAGGCAAGGATGGTGAACTGTGGTTGGCGATCCACAGAGTAAACAATCCAGAATTCACCGGCGCACAGTAACGTCAATACAGAGCTTTTGCCGTTGCTTTGGAACAGTGCCAGAGATGAGGAGATAATCAGACCGGAGCCAGCAAAAGATTGAGGAATCGACGTGTGCTTGTGATGTGACTGTTGGTTGGTAGGGGGAGCTGCGACGGAGGATCGTCATGCGGGTCTTTTCGGCCAATCAGCGCCGGGCCTGGAACCAAGTGCGGATGGTTGCCTGAGGCAGAGAACCTTATAAACCCAGTTGGGACTCGTCCATGTCCGCGGGTATCTAGGAAGTCCTCTTTACTTACTCCGTATACGGTGTCAAATAGAACTTGTTCCCATTATCCCATCCATTTGCATTTTTCTGCCTATTTGTGGGACATTTCCCCTGACTTCGTATTTATGAGTGAGGTTCCACCCCAAGAGGAAATATATTATCAAAAAGTACCCCGTGAAACCCAGTGGCCCATAACCCCGCCGAACGCTCATAGACTCCAGATCTGTACTGATTAAAGAGAACAAGAAGTAAAACAGAACATTCTCAATATCCATACTGCGACACTGAGTTGGCTTGTGCCCAGAAGCCGGGCCCCTTGTCAGCCACATATGGCTGCGGGTAGTAGCCAGAAAGATAAGTAGGATCGGGATGCATGGATTTTGTAACAATCGGAGTCTCATGAGGGGGAATGACATGCACCGATGGTACCATGCCCATAGGGTAGCCGAAGTTGCCTGCAGGGCTGTGCGGGCCACTTGACTCGCTGGTGGTAGGCGACAGAGGCAGGCTATTTGGATGGTGTAGCTTCGAGTCATCTTCTTCCATTGTGGGAATACTCGAGGCATCGCTCGCGTCATGAATATCATGTTCGACCTCGATTGCTGAGGATACTACCGGTCCTGCGTGCGCGCGGGATGATAGTTCATCGCCGTCTTGGAAGATTGCTTCCGGTAAATGAGTCTGTGTGACATGAATCATGTAATCGGCATCTGTGACAAAAGCAAGATATGGGTTAGCTAAGAGGCCAATCGAGTCTTATGTTGGAACGAGGTGACACGTACCGAGCTTGCCATCCAGGTACTTTTCTTCCAGTTGTCGCACAAAGTAGATCTCGTCGAGAACCTGCAGCCTGTGGGCGGGTGTGATCTGGCGTCTCACGTCTTGGCCGGCATCTCGCAATTTGTCCGTTGTGACTCCATGGCTATCTTTCAGCTCACAGAGGATATGAACAAGAAGTCGAAGTCGGTCTAGAGTCAATTAGAATCATCGATCCTCTCATGAGAGCTATTGGGGCCGTGGGCTCACCAGGCTTCAGCAGATGATCTGGCTCTTTGTGCAAGACACCGGCGGGCCACCACGCAGGCTTAGTATATTCCGGGTCAACACGCTGTGAAACACCTGCAATAACCCTACGTCCGTTGTACGGGTAATGAACCTGCTTCCTTGGTTCCACAAGCTTGATGTAAGACTTTGCAATAGCGCGACAGTTGAGTTGCTGGAAATCCTCAAACGCCTTCTCGTAATAGCGTCGCAGCAGTGCGCGGTTTCCGACTCGAAGGAAAGTCTGGCCTGGTGTAGGTGAAGTGGGTGGTGGTGAACTAGACTTGGGTCGGCTCTTGAGTATGCCACCCGTCCTCTTGGATTTTTTTCGGCTTTGTTGTGATGACCATTGGAAGGGAATCATCTCGGCGGGCCTCGTCTGGCTAGTTGGGCCCCATCCTGCCGGTGATTGCTCGTCCCATGGAGAGTGGGGTACTTGGTTTGTATCTGCAAGGGGGTCATCGTTAGTTAATCTTGCTGCTCCGGATGTTTGACTTCGGAATTCTGTCGTACTTGCGAACTGTGAGCCGGGCTGTGGGGCTTGTGTAGCCATTTCTAAGAACCGGTCTGTAACATCAGACGTGAAAATGGCACCTTCACAGCCTGCGATGGATGGAGAGGCTTGCAACTGCCATTGGCCATTGTGGTCAAGGTATATCATAGCGAAGTGAGGATGTGGGAATTCAGATGCAGATGTATGAGGCTGCTTAGGAGGAATGGTCTTTTCAACTGTCAGTCATTTTCATACTTTTTGGCTTTTTTTCTGGGATCGAGGTGCCTTATTACCATGTTCATCGGTTGCTGCTGTGGGATGCAGCCATCAGAATGTCTTCGCTCCAGGCCATCTCCAGAGAACGTGTATCCACGATTCGGATCCATGTTGTGAGATGGCACAAATGTCGACTCCACAATGTCGGGCCTTGCTGCGGTTGTCCAACGTGGTCGAAAATACGAAATACACAATGGGCTTGTCCCAGAGAGAGAGTCGGTCGAGGGCGTTAATTAATAGAAATCCTTATTGCCAAGGGTAGACGCAGCTTGCCGATGGATAAGGACACCGGACGATTCGATCAGGGGCAGGGTCCAGGCGAGATAAATATACCAAGTCTAATAATACGGGACTGTATCCATGATCTGCCAGTTCCGACGCCAAACCCCGAGTATTGGGAGATCTCCACATGACATCGGTGTCTCCTGAAAGTGCGTGTCGACTTGGTGCTAATATGCAAGGAAAAAAGAAATAGCTGGAAAGCCGAGGATGTGGCAATACGAAACCTTCCTGGTCACTTCTTCCTGCGTCTCGCGATCGGATCATCCGCTTCTGCCCCTTTACAATGTGGACAATGGGTCGAGTCCGTTCTGCGCACTGACGCTTGTTAAGGCTGTAATCCATGGTTGAGTGTCACATAACCTTGTCTGAACCGTGGTACCGTCGGCGGATCCGTGATCGGCCCAAACACTTCTTCGAACGTCTCAACTTCTACGCTTAGACACTAGCCACAAAGATCGTCAATGTTCTAAATAAGTAGCGAATCACAGGGCTAGGATACCTCAAGCCTACCTAGTTCACCCCCACTTTTTGATCTACTTATAGGATATCTGCAGTAATCTGCTGTGTCCATAAATCTGTTTCCACCACAAATACTTAGGTACACCAAGTCCTCGCCACCCCCCACTCCCCTTTGGGCCTATCAATGAATGATGAGCATGGTACGGAGGAGTGATTGAAAGCTGGCCTAATCGGGACGTAGTTTGATAGAGCCGAAGTGGAAAATATCACCCGGCGAATCGTATTCGCCGATCGGTGATGCCTTGGCCGCATCAGCCACGACAGACGATGAGAAAGAAGGGCGGTCATCCTTGACGCCTCTGAGATCATTTACTGCAGCCAAGAGCGGCTGATAGGCGAGTGACTGACTAATGCATAGTCTACGTTGTAGGTCGTAGTGCGATACTTTACCGAAGTACCCCGTAGATGGATCTATAGATGGTGTCAGCCCAAGGAAGTTTTTTTTCCCTTAAAGCTGCACCCAGCTGCGCCCACGGCTCAATGCTTTTTCTGCCTTGTTTTTCTATGCTTTTGGCCCGGGAATTTGCGGGTGCATGTCCAGGTGAATGTGTCGGACTTTGTGGGCTTTAGCCCCACCAGACCCCTCGGTCCAGATACGATTGTCCGTGCGGGCCTCCAACCTAATCTGAAACGGTGACCTGAAGACCTGGAGATAAATCATTTCCATCTGCCCGCGTCCGGAGGTTGATCCCTCCCCAAGGAAGGTCCATGGAGGCCAAAACGGCAGTCAGGCAGCCATTGGCAGGCTCAATGAGCCGCGATAGATGTCGACGGGACTAGCGAATCTTGAGCTTATTTCCAAGTTTACGGAACTTCGTTCGAGCTTCCGGATGTGCGGATACTGATTCCGATGTTGTGGAAATGGGCCCTGGTCATACCTCTCCGCTTGGCTTGTTTCTTTTTTGTTTCATTGTTTCTTTTTTTTCCACTTTCTCGCCTCCGTTCGGTCGCCATCGGCTCCTGCTTCATTAGCATGGTGCAAGTACATCTCCGTACCCACCAGCTCGCGGTATCGAAACGCCACCCAGAATGACTCTTCAGTAATCATTCCAATTTTTTCTTTGTCCACCGCATCGTGCATAAGTGGACGTGGCAACCCGGAGCTAGTGTCGAAAGCCTCCTTGGAATGTATAGGCCAGTTGTCACCAATGACCATAATAAGGAAGGGTTTCGAGGTTAATTCACTTGGACAACCATTAGGGTCGGTTCCCTACTCCCGGATCGACAGTGTCTGGTGGGAGCGGGGGAGCGCGGGTCGTAGAACGTCGCGTTGATCATTGCAAATTCGATCAACAGTTCCAATATTCGCACGGTTTTCAAGCATTGCTTCCTTTTTGGGGAACAGGGTGGGGGGCGAGGACTGGGCGGGAGACCCAACAATTGAGAATGGTGATGATTACCTGGCGCCACCAGAGACTCGGCTGTGGGCGGCAGACTGCAGCTGTACCAAGGCCCAATTCGATTAGGAAATGTTATTATTGATATTTATTTCCCCACCGTCTCTTTGACACTCGGTTCTTGTCCTTTTGCTTTTTTTCGAGGGGGTCTGCTATTGCTATTTGGGCTAGGCCCACATCCAGCCACGGAGAAGGTAACCATGTCCTATCATTTGACCTCACTTGATGAGCCCCCGGGCACATACATACATTGCTGCACCGCTGTGCGATATACCGGGAATTTCAAATCCACTTTAGATTGCACTGGGGTGAGTTGGTGGGATCAAATCCCTCGGGTTGAAGTAAGCAACTGGCTGCCATTTAGGAGAGGGGGCCCCAGTATCTGTCGGTTTATACTTTATTGATCTTCCTGATGGCTTTAGTCTATAAGAGTAAGTGGATGGCTTGACACCTCTGGGGTAAATAGAGATTATTGGACAGTTTATAGTTAGGTTTGTTGGTTAGGCAGCCTTATTTTCGTTAGGAAAAGCAAGTGCAAAAGATGGAGGTAAATAAAATCAATTGTGAGAATAAATACTCCGTACTAATTCCACGCAATCTAGGAACATGGGGCTAGGCTACATTGCATGTAAAAGCAAAGCAAAGCAATCGTATGTACTCCGTACGGAGTACGGAGTACAGTTCTATCTCCTGAGCCGCATTGGTCCCAAACTCCGGGACAGCCAGGGGCGCACAATCCCCCACACGAGAGTCAACCCCAAGGGTCCCTTCATAAGTGGCGCGGAAAAGACAGGCGTCCCTTGCGTTCCTATGCGGGGGCGAAGCAGCGCAACACCCAACGGATGAATAGATCAACAGTAGGACCCCCAGGCACGAATTTATGTTGCACTCGTTATTACTGGCTATTTTTTTATTCTAACCATTCTATGGAGTATCTAAATTCACCCCTCATGCTGCTTACAACGAACATAATACGCACAGACAAATCACCACTAGCCCGTGGATCTTACCTGCTCCTATATATATGTACTGCGACCCCTGCACAGTACATCGCAGAATCCCACACTCAAAAATCAGGTTTCTTATCCATTCTACTCCGTACTAGAGACAAACAGATCCAGCATCCGGTGACAGACCACTCCTCCAATCTAGCTCACCTAGCTAGATGAATAAAAACCAATTCTGTGCTGTAGAGACTAACAGATTCCCAATCTTTGTTACCCCCTGTACTCCGTAGATATTCGTGGGATATAAGGATGTATCTCCGCGGGTGCCACTCCCGGAATACCCGCTTCCTGACATTCCGTTGCCAGCGCAAGTTAGATGCAGATAGCTGAACCCTGGTACCAGGATATTGGTGCAGGAGACTTGCATTATTGGGACTCTGACCTCCGATGGTGTCCCTAATACTGAGGGGCAGTCGATGTTGTGCTTGGTTTGCAACGTTGGTTGGAGTTCAGACTCCAGAGCGTGGCTCCGACTACTGGTGGCGGTGACTATCCCCAGATGGAGTGCACCTGGTGACTCTTTTTGCGTCTCACCGCACTTGGCATTGGGCTGCAAGATATAGGTTGGGATAGAGTCATAAACTAGGTACCTGAGTTAATGCTTGGTTTTTTTCTTAGTGGTCGCAACTTCCGTCGCTCTCGGTTTCCTCGGCTACGACGGAGTATTGTGTAAAACGTTAGTTTAGATCTCGCCACCCGAGGCTTGTTAGGGGACAGCCTAGAATCCACTCGGCCTCGGGTGGCAGATAAGGGGCTATGTGTCTGATGCGGCGAAAGTTAGGTAGAAACTCGGGATTAACCGCACTGACAGAGGGTCCATAAAAAGCTTCGAAGTATGGTACGCTACGGGGATTGACTCGAAACCCCAATTTCCAAAGTGCTTTATCTTCTTCAAGAAAAAACCCCCCTTTTACCCGTTCGCTAAACCAGTCGCAAATTCGGAAACGGAGCCTTTCCCTGTATCACAAAGGAAAGCTTGACAGCCGCACTATTTGATTGAAGCTCGATCTCAAGATCTCTATTCATAGCCGCCGATGCACCAATCATGGTGTTATGTGGATGCACGGACGTTCTATCCATCGATCCGTATACTGTACGACTACTAGTCTCCAATGTGGCAGTAACAACATCGCCACCGTTTGCTATGAATCATTGGACAAGACCTCGATCTGGTACCGGATTTGGTAATATGGAAGGAGTATTGTGTAACTGAAAGCTGGACCAGAGACAGGGTCAAACCCCGTCCCTCATTTGTGCTTTCGTAGAACTGATGTTTTTCTCGTAGCAATTCCAGTTCATATGCGACGCCTAGCGAGCCTCTGAGTCTTCCCATAGTGACAAATCGATGGCGTAAATACCTGTCATTGCCGCAATAGTCACTTGTCACCATCCCGTTGGATAATGACATTGGCATTGGCACACAGCGCTTATTTCAACCACGGCATTTTCTGTCTAAATAGGCTCCTATACTGTGAATTTGTACTTGCATGGTGTGGTCAAGTGGGAAGATATCAACGAAGGTGTGTCGTAGGGTGTGCTTGGTATATCTGCAATAGCGACCTACTTAGAGGATCATTTACAGACTGATCAACAGTACCTGGCAGAACTACAGAGTTCTCGCAAAACTTCCTTGTGCATAGAGTTCAACGCAAGAATATGATCTTCGTGGAGCCGGATCTCTCCAGTTTTGTGAGGTCCGAGATTTTTTTGGTCGTCTTTGCCGACGATGGAGCTCTATCAAATTGGGTTCAAGACCCGCCCCTCAGAACTCGCTATGGTCGATAGTCCATTATTTATGGCTTTGCAGGTCATTCAGTAGGCTAAGGTAGTTTTTGCATATGCTAGCGAGTTCTGTATCTAGATACCGAGCATTGCTACTAGCAGAAAATTCCTAATATGCAGCCTTGAGCACAATTGAGCAATTCCTTTGAGAACTACCCGTTGAGATAGAATTACGCGAGATGATATTGCTTGGGGTTAGAGCTGAGACGATGGGCTTGATCAGTTTGTTCCATTGTAACAATAGACTACTTACGTTGGAAGATATATTCTACTTATGCGGGTTGTACGTGAAGATTCAGCCTTTCTCCCAAAAGACCTTAAGAATATATATATATGCTCAGGTCCTGTTTGGTAAAAATATTTCTGCGACGTTGACACAATCATGATCTGGGATACAATATGTACCTAGTTATTTCTAAAGTCATTGCTGGTGGCATCTAGTGCCAGCTGTTGAAAATCAGGTATGAACGGGTGTTCAGATGAGGAATCTGTTTCTGCCTGATTTAATAGGTGTCTTATTTGTTTGGAAAAAGCAACTCCTAATCTGATATTGCAGTGACTCCCATTTCACTAAACGGCCTATACATGCAATGGCCAAATATATCTATTCTTAATATACCATGTGATAGAAATACTTCTATATCCTCTTCTCGGGCGCTGAAAATTTCATCAAGGCTTTCACATCTACGCCGACTGATCGATTGCAACAATGCATGGCAGACTACCTGGACAGGGCTCCTTCACTTTATGTAATTAGCGATGCGTAGATCCAAAATTTTGAGCTTCAAGGGGATTTGCTAACAATTATGCTATTATATAGAGAATTCCTGTCGACCAAAAAGCCTACGCATGCAGTGGCTGAGGATCTTTCTAGCAATTTCACCTGTGATGGCCAATGGCGGCTTGTCACCTCCTGGAAGAATGGTGTATTGCCGCTTGATACTGGGAATATAATAAACACAATGGACAAGTTTGATGACATGAGAGGCGAGAGTAGTACTAGGAGACAGAGATGTGGAGGATGGAAATGGGACTGCGAGTTTCGATGGGAGAAGGGAAAACGGTATAAAACGGCGTGGAAGGGGTATATCTCGTGATATTGGATTGTTCCATGTATACCTAGGTAGCTTTGTATACATCTGTCGCCCTGTACATATGGATAACTTTTGAGAGCAGTTTCCCTGGTCGCCTGTCTATTTGAACATGACATGACGGGAAGAACAAGCAAGATTTCTAGTTGTTGGTTCTGTTTAGCTACATATCACAATTCCGAACATATAATTGTCAATTTTAGTACTTGTCCACATTTTTTGTCACTGGAGTTACAATTTCCTCTTTGGGTAGAGGTGTGAAGAGGTGTAAAGTGTCGATGGAACAAACACAAACCACAAATCTAGCCGGCACTTAACTCGCAGTTACGTGTCACTTAACTCGCACTTCTGTGGCAGATACAGGGTTATATTGTAGAGTTCAATAGCGGTAAGGTATATCGATCGAGAGACAACAGGTGAAAGGTGAAAGGTGAAAGGTGAAAGGTGAAAGGTGAGCGTGACAAGTTAGGGTTTCAGTTTTGTGCGTGAATAATCTGGAAAAAAAACATCTATGTGCATAATGAGATACCTTGAGCTAGCCCTGTGTGATCCCACAATCGTTGCACTCAACTAATTGCTCTTTCCATATCCTTTCTTCCTCTTCGTTGCTTCCTCCTTGTCCATCCTCCTCCTCCATCGACGATCCGTTAAATCAAGTTGACACTTCATCCTTGCAACCTTACCTTTACTTCATCGCAAAAATGGATAATATCCTCTCGTTGCCCGCTATTTCGGAGCTCCTCGTCCAATACGAGGGAAATCCATCCACTGAGAACCTCAAGACCATGGTGGCCGGTCTTCTGACCTTTGCCTTTGATCCTGACGACAACTGGTTCATGAAATGGCAGGAAGACGCCGAGAACAACCACTCGAACTGCTTCGTCATGAAGATCATCGATGGCAAGAAAACCCTGCACACCATTGTCAAAATTCTTCTCGACCCCTCCGCTTCCATCAACGTCGCTTGGGACCAGTACATTCCCCAGCTCCTCACTGCCCCGCTCCCGAATGATCGGTGCTGGGCAATCCTGATCCGTGGCATGAAGGTCCGCCTCCACGAGTATCATCGCAACCAGGACCCTGATTGCCGTTTGGTCCCCTGCGACTTCACCGTCAATAACAAGCTCAAGCATACGGTCCACATGCGAAAGAACCCTACCGAAGTGCACAACCTCTTCAACGGTATTCCTGTCAAGTACCCCGAGCCACTTGATGAGGTTCAACTCGATGCCCTGCCCCTGAGTGATGCGCTCCTCAAGCTCCCGACTGCATCTAAGGTTACCGGTAATGGGATCTCCGATGTCGTGGTTACCGTTCAGCAACATGCATCTTCCTCTGAGGACTCTACTACTCAGGCCAACAAGGCTACACAGGCTATTGTGATTCAAACTGAGCCTGTCACTCAGGTGGAGCCTCTCGTCAAGCTGGAGGCTATCCCCGAGCAAGAGCATGCCACCCAGCCTGTCTCTGCTACCAAGGTCAAGTCTGCTACCAAGGACACAGCTGCTATCAAGAAGAAGTCGGCTACCAAGAAAAAGACTACCACCGAGGTGAAGCCAGCTACCAAGTCCAAGACCACTCACGCTAAGTCGGCTGTTTCCACCAAGGCTGCTGATGAAGTCGAGACTGCCTCCAAGCCCTATTACTTGCTGGCAATTGACGCCAAGGGAGAAGTCTCCAACTAGATATGGGTACCCGACTTACAAGGGCTGGATAACCTGCTTTTGCTGGTCTGAGTCTTCGGATAGGTCTTGAGTCTCACACATACGGCATTTTGTCTTTCGCTTTTCGGTTCACGGTTCACGGTTCACGGTCTACGGTTTACGATGCACGATCTACAGTACACGGGTTGCGTGCTTCGTCTATTTTTCTTTGCTTTTTTTCGTTCTTCGAGACCTTCGTAGGTCTCTTCTCGCCCTGGCTTCGTCAAGAACCACCGAGCCTTTGATACATGGTGATCGTCAGCTGCTCGACTTCTTTTTCAACAAGAGATACACACAGGGAATCAGGTTACAGGAGGGAATTTGCATTTTTTTCAGAAGGAGGGCTTTTTATTCTTATCTTTTCTTTTGCCATGTAGTAGCATGCATCTGGGGACGAAATCTTTTTACATGGCAGGCTCGATACATGAATAAGACACATATCTAGATCGCCTTTTCTGCATCAGTAGACAAACCTTAAGACGTAGTATGATATCCTAGAAGTTGGCGTAGAATACCCAGGCTGATAAGAAAATTTCTCAACGAACTATAGGCCGGTCGTATTGGAATGCACTTGAAAAAACTCGAAAAACGCAGTACAGGAACTGGTATCAATTAGCAGCCTCATCGATAGGAAGGAAGATCATGCAATAAGAAATCCTGGGTCTCCTATGAGCGACTGCAGCAGAAGCGGAAGAAACAAATCCTGCTAGACTAAATAATCTACACATATGAAGCAAGGAGCGAAAGAAAAAGCAAAGGGTCATCACATAGTCCGCATCAATGCCACCCAGATAACTTAGGTGTACTTCCGAAGCTGTAGAGGATAATAGTCAGTATAGTGTCTAATGGACTTGGAAGGATCACCTGAAAACTCACATCAAGAGTCAAGGATTTACTGCTGTTCTCGACCTGGTCCCGGTAGATACCAACTAGAGCCTCACTGTTCTGGAACAATCCGGTCTTCAAACTAATAACGATAAACTGCATGCCAGGCGCGGCGTGATCCTGGATATAGTTGGCGATTCGGGCGACGTTGGTGTTGTCGAGGGCTGCGTCGACTTCGTCCAGCACGAAGAATGGGGATGGCTGGTAGGAGTGAATGGCGAAAAGTAGGGCGAGGGCAGCCATGGTCTTCTCACCACCGGACAAGTGCTCCATGTCACGGAAACGCTTGAGAGGAGGCATGGCGTGGTATTTGATGCCATCCAAGTAGGGTTCATCCGAGTCCTCAATATCGAGGTAGCTATTGGAATGTGAGTGATGGTTCGGTGCGGTCAGGAGAAAGGAGACTTACGCTTGGCCACCTAGGGGATAATTGGCACTACGTGTGAGTTCACGATAGATTGGCCCGATCTGCTCGGAAATGTGGGTGAATGCCTTGTTGAAGAGATCGGAGCGGGTCTTCATCACGGCTTCGAAGTCTTCCTTGGCCTTTCGGGCAGACTTGCGAGCATCCTCGAAGTCCTTCTCGGTGCTGCGGAGTTTGTTCTCTACACTCTCCAAACGCTCCATAGCGCGAGCATTGGGTGCCATTTTGTCCAGATCGCTGTTGAGAACACGGACCTTTTCAAGTAGCTCATCTTCGAGCTTATCATCGGCCTCCTAGAAATGAATTAGTAGCGAAGGAAAGTATTAGAGCACCGCGGGCAAACACAAACCTCTTTCAGGGTCTCTCCTAGAGAATCGAAGTCGACCTCGATACCGTAATCGTGCAACACAGGAGCCTCATCCAGAAGATCTCCCTCATCCACGTCCATGGCATCCGGGTCCGCAGCTTGCACGAGGTCATCGATGGGAAGCTTATCAAGAGGATTAGAAGATTCAGTCAAAGGAACATCAATATCTTCAAGCTTGCAGCGACGCAAAAGAGCGTAACGACTAGAGGAGTTCCTCTGTATTTCTGCTTCGAGTGCGTTGACGTTCTTCAATGCTGTTTCCACATGCTTGCTACGCTTCTGGAGTTCACGACGTTGGTCGGTCAGGTTCTCTGCTGATTGGCCATAAACCTCCTTCTGCTTCTCAAGAGCCTCCCGAAGGAGCTCTAGTTCAGCCTCAAATTCATCAAGCTGGTTGCGGATTTCTTCTTGCTGGCTTTGAAGCTCCTCGATCAAGTTCTGGTCGCGCTCGTATTGAGCTTTGAGGCCATTGATGCGGTCTTCGGTTGCTTGGATGCGTTGTTTCTCGAAGCTAAGCTGATTCTCAATCCTACTCTTTTGGGTAGTGAACTCCAGCTTCTTCTGCGCGGCCTCCTCTTGCAAAGAGCCTTGTTGGGCTTCGTATTCCCGGATATCATCGTACCCTAGGCGTTTGCAGAACTTCCGGTATATCTCGTCCTCGACGGTGCTGACTGAGGCTTGCGAAGTCTCGATCGTCTCATCTAGCTCATCAAGATTTTCCTTGCGCTCGGTATATTTAGGTCGAAGGTCCTCCAGCTGACGCTTCACGAAGTCCAATTCGCTGCGCTTGCTCTCGAGATTTCTCTCAAGGGCCTTCAATTCGTCACGAGAGTAAGTCAGGCGCTGCTCGAGGCCGACGAGCTCTCCCTGCAGCGTCTCTTCCTCGGAGCCTCGGCGGTGACTCTTAGGGAGAGTGGTGAGATCGTTCATGAGCTTCTCCTTCAATTTGTACAAGTTCTCAACCTCAGAGTCTTCCCAGCGTTTGGAATTTTGCTGAGGTCCACGTCCACCAGTCATGAGACCACCCTTGTGAATGACGGTTCCATCGAGTGTGACCGCCTTCGCGTCTACATTTCTTTCGTAGCAAAGATACTTAGCCGTCGCAAGATCGTCACAAACAATGGAGTTTCCGCACGCATAACTGATCGCTCGTGCAACCGAATCATCGTAGTCAACAGTCTCGATGGCAGGACGCATACCCCGATGCATGCCCTTCAGGTTCGAGTTGAATGACTTGACTTGGATGGTTTCGAGCGGGATGAACGTAGCCTGACCTGCTCGCTGGTCGCGTAGATGCTGAATACATTCCTTTGCGGTCTTCTCGTTGTCAACAACAATGGCATCGAAATGTCGACCTAGTACGGTGCTGACTGCATCTGAGTATTTCTTCTGCTTCGGACGGCAAAGATCGCTGACACGACCCTTAACACCAGGGAAAATGCGCTTCAGGGCTGAGATCAATTCTTTCGCCCGCAGTTCACGTTCAGTTTGTTTCTTGCCATCATCGGCCTCAAGAAGTTTCCTTAACACGACCTGGAGCTTTTCCTCCAACTCTGTTCGCATCTGCGAGACCTTCAAACGCTCCGAAGTCAATGCATTTAGCTCTTTCTTCTTACGGTCGATCTCTTTAGATGTAGACTTGACGGTGTCATTCAGAGAGGCCTTGCGTTCACTCATGTTCTGCGCATCGGATTCAACAGACTTCAGTTGCCACTCTGTGTTCTCGAATTTGCCCTTCAAGCTGTTCACAGCTTCGGCTTCGGTCTTCCTCTGCCGGCGCAGGTTGTCAAGATTTAAGGAATCGGCCGATGAACGGCGATTGACTTCTTCTCTGAGCTTGTGGTACTCCTGTTGATCAGCTTCGCTCAGTTGACCACCCTTCTTGCTCATCGTTTTTTGCCATTCGGATTCCCACTGAGCCTGAGCTTTCTCGACAAGTTTGAGGTCTTTTTCTAGTTGCTTGCCGTTGTTTGATTGGGATGTGCGCTCCTTTTCAACTTCGGTAATCTTTGACGAGTATCTTTCAACCTTTTTCTGCGTAATGTCGATCTTCTCATTCACCGGAACAAGCGAGTTATTGAGCTCTTCAATTTCCCTCTCCTTTTTCGTGATATTTTTTTCGGCCTTGCCGACATCTCTGCCGACTCGAGCATGGTCTTTCTTGGCATCTTCGACGTTCTTCTCGTACTTCTCAACGCCACGACGGTATTCCTTTAGTTCGTCTTGGTACTTCTGGATGTCCGCGCTGGAGTCATCGATGAGTCGCTGGAAGTGGAACAGTTTCCAGAGGATATGCGTGATAATGGCCTGGTCCCGTTCTTCGGCCTTTTTCGCATAGTTCTCAGCTTCTCGCTTCTGTTCCTGGTATTGCTTGACTTCGGAGTTGATGCCTCGTCGACGGTTGAGCTGAACAGTCTGCTGTTCCGCAGCTTCTTCCGCCTCCGCTTTGAACTTCTCGTAGTCTGCCTTGTGCTCCAGACTGCCTGATATCTGCTCAATCAACCGAGTCAGATCCTTGGGCGACTGGGAGGCGATCGCCTCGACATCGCCCTGGAACACAAGGAAGTTTCGGGCCTTGATCAAAATATTCTCCTCCTCTAGAGCTTCGTTGTATTGGTGGGCGGTCACGATTCGATTGTTGATGCGGTATTCGCTGACGCCCTGGCTGGTAATGGATCGGCGCCATTGCTGCTCCTCACCCGCATCATCCTCATAGACCGCCATGACCCAAGCAGACTTCGGGTCGTTTGCGCTAGCATCTTGAGAAACATCCATATTATCGGCCTCCTCATCTTGCCCGGCATCCTCGTCGTCCTGTCCATCAGCTGCGGGCTCGCCATCCACTTTGGATGTGCGCAATACGCGACCACGGTACACAAGATCGCGGAGGTTGGTGGATCGCAAATGGGACGACTTAATTCCTAGAACGAAAGAAATGGCATCCATCCTGATGCGCGTCAGCCTAAAGCCCGTTGGATTAGGCCTGAGTGGCACTCACGAATTCGACTTGCCAGAACCGTTGGGTCCAATGATTGAAGTAAAGTATGCATCTCCGAAAAGAAGCACATGGTGTCCCTTGTAGGACTTGAAGTCTAGTTCCAAAAGTTAGCCAAGTGTCCGCGATGTGCCTGCCGGTCGTACATACTGAAAAGCTCCAATCGAATGAGTTTTCCCATCTTGGCAGCGGCTTCCCTTAGGGAGCAACGCGCTGAAAAATTCAAGGACCCTGTTACTGAAGCACAAGATTGAGGTGTGGCTCAGATGTGGGAGGGGCGCGATAGCGGGTGAACCGCGTCCACCCAAGACGCGCCGGGGCCATCACGTGGCTCCGAGACTACTACATGTAGTGATACGGTACAAAGACCTTACAACTTTCAGGCTGTTCAGACAGGAAATCATACATTCTCTTGCGACACAATTTACTATGTTCTTCAACCGGGATTGCTTTCTTTGCTAATGTTACAAGCGCCGAGTCGCTATAGAAGAGACTAGGCCAAGATGATATACAGAAATGAACCAGCTACAACATTCGAGACATTGATGATAATTGCATGATATCAGCACTTAATCTCTGAATGGCATTTTCACATTCACCATGCGTCCAAAGTGCAGGAGATCATCCGAGATATAGCCGTTGGCATCCAATCGGAAGTGAGTTTTATGACCCGCCAGCTGTACAATAATGAAGTCTTCGTTCGTGAAAAGTTGACGCATGGACTGGAAGGCTCGGCGAGGAATGGATCTCAGTGTGTTAAACAATGTTGTTTTGGCTTCCAATCCACGGCCAAGTTTGGTATTGTCCTCCTCGTAACGCTGCATGGTTTCAGGGGAGACTGAGATCCTGCGCTTGAACGAGAGATCACCAGGTGCCACCTCGACCTCATACGGCTTTTTGAACGGGGCCATGCTTCTGACCGTAAAGGTGACGCGCATGCGACCATCCCGGTTGATCGCTTTGATATTTCGGACAAGGGCACCGGTTCGGGAGATGAACAAAGTACCTCCGACACTCATCATGATACAGATACCGCCAAATAGAGACTTCTGCCACATGGGAAGAGGAATCAGGGGGTCAACGAGGACCGCGTTCGAGTTATAGACGGCATAGGCGAAGCAGAATGCGGACAGACCATATGCCGTGAGGACATATGGGCGATGAGAAGGAGATTTGTACAAGAGCACCTCTCCACCTTGTAATACTTTAGATTGCAGCTTTGCAAGTGCGCGAGGGTTCTTGTTCCCGTAGGGACTCGCGGCTTGCCATGCGGAATCGACGGTTCTGGGCACTCCCTTGGCCTTGTACTGGGGCGCACTAGAATTAAAATAACGCAATGATGCATTCGGATTCATTTGAAAGCCAGAGCGCATTGGGCTTTTAAGGCATTGACGCCAAAATATCGAGAACGTAGGTGGTCTGACGGACATGGTTGCGATGGTTGGCCCTGTTGAAGCTCAAGTTAGCAAGATTATTGATGGCATGGCACGACGCCAATTGGCATCCATATTCGCAGGGTGAGATCAGCTGGAGCTTGATGATTGAATAACTTCGCGCGGTAACTCACCAGGACAAGATTCAATTGACCGTTGATTCCGTCGGAAAGCGCCGACAACAGCCTCACGCAGGAAGCGGCAGAAAAATATTCCCGTCCCGGCCGCCGGTGAGAGCTCCCAACGCCCTCAACACCTCCGACAGTTGCTTCCAGATTGTCTCTTCAAACACACGTTATCAAAATCATTTAAACTCGGATATTTGCGTCTCTTGCTGTGGTGGTGGGCTCTTTGTTGATTCTGCTCGTTCCCCCCCGAATCCACTTTCAGCGCCCGAGTTGCGATACCAGCCGGAGATCTACATCGGCAGCGGAGCTCCAAACTTCCAACAATTCAGAATCACTTTACATCACAATGGCAGCCAAGCTCACTGTTGGCCAGGTCCCGGCCATGTTCGCCCGGCGACAGCAGCAAGTGTTCAGTGTCGGCAGACGTGAGTTTCCCGTCCATCTCAATGGCAAACAGGATGTCCGCAATTGAATACCGCTCCTTGGAGCTCAATTCCGCGGCGCAAGTTACTTGCCATATCGCAAGCAAGCAGGAGCTCGTTCTAATACTATTGTGTTGATTAGGCCTGCAATCCACCTCTTCTACTACCCACAACCCCGCTTATCCACTCTACCCCTCTGTCGCCCAGCTCCTCCGTGAGAAGGGCATCCCCCAGTCCGATGTCTCCAAGATCCCAGCCTCCGGCCCCAAGGGCCGTCTCCTGAAGGGAGACGTGCTCGCCTACATCGGCAAGATTCCCGCCGAGTACCCTTCAACCCAAGCCGCCACTCTGGCCAAACTTTCTCACCTCGATTTGAGCAACATTAAGATTGCGCCGGCCCCAGCTCCCGCCGCGCCGGCCGCAGTGGAGGAGGAGGCCGTTGCCGCACCCATTCCCATGGCCTCGGTCGCCATCTCTATCTCCTTGGCCGCTGTGCTGTCCGCCCAGAAGAAGCTCCAGGATAACTTGGGCGTGACTGTTCCTCTGTCTCGCTTCCTTGCTGTGGCCACAGACCTTGCCAACGATGACCTCCCTCGCTTGGCCAGCTTCAAGCCCTCCGCCGATGAGCTCTTCAATGAGGTTCTCGGCGCTGAGCCTATCTACACATCTCGCGGTGATTACATCCCCGAGTTGAACGCTGTGGAGGCCCCCAAGACCCTCCGCTCCAAGCCCGTCACTGAGGACCTTATCGATTTCCTGAGCTCCAACTCTTCCAAGAAGTCTGTTCGTGCGGCTCCGGTCGAGAGCGAGTCTGGTGTTGCTTCCAATGTTTTCAGCTTGACCGTCCCTGCTAATGAAGAGGTCCGTGCTAGAGAATTCTTGGAGCGGATCAAGACCCTTCTCTCGATTGAGCCGGCGCGCTTGGTGCTTTAAGATTTCCCCTCATGTTTTAAATAAATCCCCCGTTCTTCGCGCTTTTTTTCTCTTCTTTTTGTTCCCCGTCATCTGAGCCAAAATCCGGGCAAGTCGAGGCCCGTTCATGAATTTATACAGTATAGCATAGTTAATCAGGTCTCTCCTGGATCGAATCATTCCACTCACGCAAAACAGATCACAATACTACAACATATTCTCGACCAATCTGGCCTCTAAGAGTAAGCGTCTAACAGTGAGCGAAGTAATTATCAAATTCGGTTCCCATCTCATTGTTGGCATGGTCTAGATTCCATGAAGACCAGCATGGCTAGATTCTATGAAATGGAACGCAGAGCAAGTGTGTTCAAGAAGCGGGTCATGTCATCATCAGAACCAGAAAAAAAGCAAATTGCAATGAGAAACTCCGCCACGCAATGCCGTGAACCGGCAACCAGTAAACACCCAATGCGCCGCCGCTTAAAGCCTCGAGTGAACGCGGGTGTGAAAATGTCCATCCGACTCTGGCGCAGCCGATCATGATGATCAGGGCTAATCGCTAGCCAGAGTTGGAGAATGAAAAACTCGAAGAAAGCAAGAAAAAGCAAAGGAGGAAAAAGAAAAAGAAAACGAAAACGAGTCTGGGACTCGAAAATAGGCAAGTAAATTGGAAGTGCCCATTGCAAGTGAACAAGCGCCGAACTTCCACCTGTGAAATGCTTGAACCAACCGCGGGAAACAAAGATGCAATAGATACCGACGCGTGAAAAGATGAAGAGTCAGATCCCCCCATAGACCATGCAATGATTTTTCCCCGGTGCCCAAATCGAAACCGTGAACCGAAGAACTCCGTGTCAAATGCAGAAGAAGAGACAAATTAGAGAGGTGGGAGAACTGGCTGAGCTACCTGATGGTGCCCCATTCAGCCAGTTTGCTCCCTTCGCGACGAGTGCCTCTTGTTGCTCGTCTGTCAAAGATTTTCCAGAACCTGAGTGTTTCATCGCCTGCTCCAGTAACGACCGTCTGGCCGTCAGGGCTCATGGCGAGATAAAGAACACGGAAAGTGTGGCCTGTGAGTGAAACGATTTGTTCCATCCGAGGGTATTTCCAAATGACGATTTGATTCTGACTGTAGCCGTGTGTGCTGATGATCTCGTCCGAGTTTTTGGCCCAAGAGAGATTGCAGACCTGGCTGCCAGTATCGACCTCTTTGATCATAGTGCCAGTTTGTGTGTTCCAGAACTTAATCGTGCGGTCAGCGGTACCGCCACCAGAAGCGAGGAGATGGCGTTGGTGAGGAGACCATGCGATAGCTTTGACTGCGGCATTGTGGTCGGAGAAACGATAGAGAGGTGTCTCACTAAGCTTATCCCAGACCATCAACTTGTTGTCGTTACCGCCAGATGCTAATTGCCCATCTTCCGTATTCCATTTCAAACCACATACTTCCTGTTTGTGGCCAGAAAGCTTCCGAATGTACTGGTCAGGAGAGCGCACATCGCGGTGATAAATGAGGCGGTCTCGCGATCCAGATGTAAGAATATGATCGTTCCACGCCAAAGCACCCACTCGGTTGGTATGTCCAATCATTGTTCGTAGTCGCCGACAATGCTCGGCATCCCAGATTTGTACTAGGCCTTTACTAGTGCCAATTGCGAGATGCGTACCCTGTAGTTCTGAGTGTAAGTATCATGTGCAGAGGTTTCGCATGTGAATTCCGTGCTTACTCTTTGAATCCAGCTCACGCTCGTCACGGTATCATCCTTCAATTCGCACAACCTCGTAACTCCACCAGTGTGGGAGTTCCACATGTAGACCGAATTGGCCAATCCAACTCCAAGAACATTGCTGCTGCCCCAATCTACCAGGTTCAAATAGAAATCATCTTGAAGATCCGGCGCATCCAAGACCTTGTAGGGGACCTTGTTTACATATCGTGCCTGTTTGCGAGGTGTTTCGAGAATACGCTGGCTGTCATATCGAATGGGAGAGAGGCTGTAGAGCTCGGATCGCACGTCCAAGTTAGGTCCATGCGTACTTCGAGGGGTTTTGGAAGGAGTGGGGTGTCCGGATCCAGATCGCGGCCCATAGTTAAAGAGGTTCTTGTGGGGAGTCGTGGGCGTAATGCTGGCGGGGGGGAGATTGGCCGAAATAAGACCGGGGGGTGTTCGGGACCGAGTCTTGTCATTGATTCCGTGGCTGAAACCGAGCAAGGGGTCAGATGGTGCTGAGTTCAAGTCGGCCTGTGGGACCGTATTCCCGAACAACTCGCTGCGCAAGACTCGAGAAAATGTACGGTTGGCTTCCTCGGCTGTAACTGGGTCAGCAAAATCCTATATCGTAATTTTGTGCTGCAACTCACTTTTTTGAAAGTGCAGCTCTGAGTGAGGGGGGCGTTTCTTCAATTTGGACGGTGTAGACGGGCACCCATCTTCATGCAGCAGGTTATAAGTCGCTTGAAGGTCTTGACCATCGCGATTAGGAATGAATCTGAATCGTCGTCAGCGGCATATTCACAGCGCCTTCATAACATTCACTATCTTGCAGGCTTGCTCCTTCAAGACAATGAGAAGTATGACGTACCTGTCGCCATAAACCCGCTGTCTCTTGCGACATGGACTGGAAACCGGTGTCCTATCCCGTCGACTCCCGGCAGTCTCATAATCCTTCAATGCTTTCGCCAGCGCAGTTGGGTCGACCGGCTCTGCTCCCTCCTGTCGTGGGCGGCTGCTGGGGTTTGTATTATCTGGGAAGTACATTGTGCGCTTAGACGGCATGCTGGGCGGTGTTTTCGAGCCAGGTGGCGATGCTATGCTTGAAATCTGCGGCGCTTGAGATCTTGTCGCTGGCCCGGTCCCGACCTTCGCTGGACTCCGAGGTCTGTCCACCATCGCTGTGACTGGTTGTCTTTCTGGGCTCCAGAAATAAATGCAGCCGATTCAAATGATGACGAGAGTTGCATACGTCAGGAGTGAGGTATCTGCCGACGAGATTGTCAAACTCCCAGGGATTCAGGTGCAGGGTCGAGGACAATTAAAGGGCGGCAATTCGCAGAGGGTCCGATGTTGTTGTTGATCCAGAGGCGGAATGCTGTCCACCACTTTTGACACCTGGAGATGAACTTTGTCCCAGTTTGAAGCACTAGCAGACCCTGTTTCACCAGGCAGATCAACAAAGAAGTGTCTGAACTGCAGGCATGTGAATGAATGAATGTCTTCAAGGGAGTGACGGAGTTGCGCAGGGCGACTCTTTGGGTCACGCGTCGGGTACGCTAACCCGATTTGGCATTGCAATCGATCCCCATCAACTAAGTCAATCATGACTCTTGCTTTACTTCGAACTACACTCATATGCTCTGATTTGTTGGAAAGATAGGAGCTGAGCTCTTAGGTCTATTTAAACACAAAACCGCATGCTAGTTGCCGAAACGCTTGGAAATGTTCTATGTCAGCATGGCTTTGTTACGATTGAGGCCGATGCCACCAGTCCTGTTGTTTACCGGAAGGGGCGCGCTCAAGGCGGTCTAAATGGGATATTGGAAGTGGGGGACGTGAGGGATCTGTTTGGACTGTTTTACTGACGCGAAACCCACATATCCTCTTGGTCTACGCGCTTGGCTTAACGCGACGCGACGAAGCTTGGGCCATAACAGGGACCCCAGTACCAATCTACCGTTATGGACCATAGGAGACTGCTTCCAAGACATTTGAGAGTGGGGTTGTCTATAGATTATAAACCGATCTACTCCGTACTATGACTATTAATCTGTTCAATATACAGAGTACAATGTATACACCGTTGTATAGCTCAAGACTGGCCACGTTCCCAAACGGTGGCTCTGTTACGTGACATTGCCATCCGTCACCAGTCACCGCCAAACAAAACGGCAAAAGCCAACTTCCGTCCTTTGTTGTCAACAGTAGATTCTGGTAATGGTCCTCAGGCGCATTGTTCCCGATATTATTGGCTGTTCCAAGAAATATTCTACAATGGCGACAAAGCAACCTGCCCTGGACTTCTTGTCCTTTGTTAACGCTGCTCCCACCCGTATGTAGTTCCCGACCCATGACGTGGAATGTCGCTGATCTGTCTTGTTGCTAGCCTTCCATGCCGTCCACGAAGCCAAAGAGCTCCTGACCAAGGCTGGGTTCGAAGAAATCAGGGTATGCCCATTCCAAATATCTTCACGGCAATTGTGTCTCATACATCAATAGGAGAGAGACTCTTGGGCGTCGACCTGCCAACCGGGAGGCAAGTACTATCTGACTCGCAACACTACCACCCTCGTGGCTTTTGCAATCGGCAAGCAATGGCAGGTATGTATTGGCTCTGCAATGGCATCGATTACATTTTGGCTGATCATTAATACAGCCGGGCAATTCCATCTCTATGATCGGTGCCCACACCGATTCTCCGGTGTTGCGGGTCAAGCCCGTGAGCAAGAAAAGCGGGGAAGGTTTCGTGCAAGTCGGTGTTGAGACCTATGGTGGAGGCATCTGGCACACTTGTCCGTGCTCCCAATTATCCTCAAATATGGCTATCGCTAATTTCCCATAGGGTTCGATCGCGATCTAGGTGTCGCCGGCCGAGTGATGACTCGTGCCAGCGATGGGTCTATCGTTCAAAAGCTGGTCAAGATTGATCGTCCCAGTATGTTCCATGATGGTCCGATGAATATACCCTGCTAACATGATAGTCCTCCGTATCCCAACCCTGGCCATTCATTTGGATCGCCAGGAGAACTTCACATTCAACAAGGAAACCCAGATGACCCCTATTGCTGGTCTCATTGCTGCAGAGCTCAACCGCACTGGCGAGACTAATACCGTTGAAAGTGATAAGGATGCTGATTTCTCGCCATTGAAGTCTGTGACGGAGCGTCACCACTCTTACTTTGTCGAGCTTATTGCTGCCGAGGCTGACGTTAAGCCTACCGACATTCTGGACTTTGAAATGATCTTGTTCGACACCCACAAGGCCTGCCTTGGTGGTCTACTGGAAGAGTTCATCTTTTCTCCTCGGCTCGACAACTTGAACAGCACTTTCTGTGCCACTGTTAGTCTAATTGATTCCGTCGCCGACAAGACAGCTCTCGATAACGAAGACTCAATTCGCCTGATTGCCTTGTTCGACCACGAGGAAATTGGCAGCCGCACAGCCCAGGGTGCGGACTCGAACATTCTTCCATCAATCATTCGCCGTCTTTCCGTCCTCCCATCCTCCTCTGACAAGAATGCCGACGTGTCAACTGCCTATGAGCAGACCCTGTCCACCTCATTCCTTGTCTCTGCCGACATGGCTCACTCAGTGAACCCCAACTATGCTGGGAAGTACGAGTCGGACCACAAGCCGGAGATGAACAAAGGTCCGGTAATCAAAATCAACGCCAACGCCCGCTATGCTACAAATTCCCCCGGTATCGTTCTCCTACAGGAGATTGCCCTGAAGACCTCTAAGGAGACTGGAGTGCACGTTCCTCTACAGCTCTTCGTGGTTCGTAATGACTCCAGCTGTGGCAGCACTATTGGTCCTATGCTGTCTGCGGCGCTGGGTGCACGAACACTTGATTTGGGCAACCCTCAGCTCAGCATGCACAGTATTCGTGAAACAGGTGGCACTCATGACGTTGCCCATGCTATTCGTCTTTTCACTGGCTTCTTCCAGCACTACTCAGAGCTGTCGAAGACCATTCTTGTGGATTAAAGTTTCCGTGCAAACACACACGAATCACATGGATATTGAACCTACATTCAAGCAAAAAATAGTAGTATTTAACCTTAGATTATGATGGAACTCATCAGTAGGCGCATCTCTAAACAAAACAACCAGGGTTGGGGAAGCACGTGGCCCGGTCCGAGGAAAGTCCGCCCTAACACATCTCCGCCTCCAAGCCATAGTACATGTGGTTACCCCAGCTCACCAATCTAACGGGGAGTCTCCACCTCGACTCCTTCTACCTCGCTTGTTGGATATCGTCCAAGCCCTCATGATCCTCTATGACAGACGTCGATGCCTATCGGGATGCGGAATACATCGCTGACGTGTCCGGAATATCCTATGACGATGCGGAGCCCCCAAGGCCTACAGGTACGGTCAGCAGCCAGAACGCCCGCGTGAAGAAAGTCCAGTCGACCGCCAAAGTCATATTTATCGATCGTTTACTACGCGATCTTGACATATTAATTTATTGTCAATTATCCGCTCTTTATTACATGGAGTAAGTCGAATGCCACACACCGACCTCTCAATCGACCCACCCCCTCTTCCATTTGCGACAGGCCCCTAACATCCGTGCTTCTGGTCTAGCTGTTCAATAATTCTGTTTGCCATACGTGCCATCGTCGAATTGATCTGTTTCACTCCAAAAGCACCCCCTTTCGAACCTACACGCACTCAGCCTTTCGTCGGCGCCATCATCGGCAGCAACCTCATATGCATGCTTTTCCATGCCTTCATTATTCGTCCTGAAGCTGGGGAGGAGACCCGCGGCTACCTCCATGGGGGTTTGTTTATCGATTTCATCGGGCAGGCTCCCGTCTCGGTTACCCAGCTTCTCTCATTCGACCTTGTAATCTTCCTAATCGATATCATCATGCTGGGCTTGATCATCGAGCGGGTAAAGACCACAGGAACTCTGGCCCCGACCCCTGCAACCACAAATACAGATCCAAATACCGATTCCATAGAAACCGAGGACTCGCAGTCACAAGACCATGATGCCGAGGAGCGCGGTGTGCGCCGAGAAGCTAGCGATGAACCAACTTCCCCGGCTCGTGATAGTCCAGACTCACTTCACAGTACCCCTATCGACGACGAGGTTGAGGAAGAGCGCACGACGCTCTTGGCGGATCCCACCGACCCTGAATCTGGAGGTGCTGCTCGGAGCGGACATCCGATGGATACATTTTCGTCTGGAGAAGCTGTTATTGTCAGCATGAGCTTCTTTGGTACACTTCGTGATCAGTGGCGCCATTCGAATGCACCCGTACAGCCGACAACGGGCTTTGTACCCTCACCGGAAACAGCAACCTTCCTTCGGCAGCGCTTTGGTCTCCAGGTTGGGACCAACGGTCGCATCGAGCGTGTGAATCCATGAGCTCTGGCGTATAATATGATGCGGATTTCCATTTTCCATTCTGGTAGTAAATAGTTAACTATGTACATATATTCGTATCTCTGCAATCTGAATCTGGAGAAGTCCAACTAGCCAAAATGCTCCATCTAACAGCCGTTGCAGAAATTTCCCTTGGGTCTTGATATATATAGTTCAGGATTTGCTGCCCTACCAAAACTTCCAGATATGAAATGTCTCCTTGGGCAACGTGAAATGGGATGTACGGGACTAACAACAAGTAGGATGAAAATCGCTGTTCAGAAAAAGGTAGTTAAAGTGTGAGCAAGAATATGAATATTCTTCATTGAACATAATCCTACAAAACAGCCCATGAACTCATCGGGAGTCATAACATACACTGAAAGCTCCCCGTATCTATGAAAGTACCATAGACAGATTATTCAAACCTACGCAGTAGGAGGCTTAGACTCCTCCCCAGCGCCATTCTTGCCTTGAACCCTGCGGTCCAAAATCTCATCGACAACACCAAGCTCAAGCGCCTCCTTGGCACCCATGAAGTAATCCCGCTCCATGAGCTTCTCGATCTCATCGAGGGACAACTGCTTCTTACCGGTAAGATGACGCTGATAGATTTCATTGAGCTGGCCGCGCACACGCAGGATCTCCTTCGCGTGGATTGCAATGTCGGAGGCCTGTCCGAAGTAGCCACCCGAGGGCTGGTGTATCATGATAGAGGAGTGCGGGAGACAGTAGCGCTTGCCTGCCTCGCCACCGGCAAGGAGGAGAGAACCCATTGAGGCAGCTTGGCCGACACAGATTGTGCTCACGGGTGAGGCGATATAGCTCATTGTGTCGTATATTGCGAGGCCTGAGGGGGTGGTGGTTAGCATGGGGCTGGAGGAATGCCATTGGGGGCATACGTACCGGCTGTGACTGAGCCGCCTGGGGAGTTGATGTAAAGGTGGATGGGTTTGGCAGGGTTGTCGGCTTCGAGAAAGAGGAGTTGCGCGACTATCGACGCGGAGAGGGTATCGTCGACTTCGCCGTTCAAGCAGATGATGCGTTCCTGCGGACTGGGTGAGCACGGCGACTGCGAAGAGAGATCTATTGGGGGTGTGGTATACCTTCATTAATCGAGAAAAGATATCATCTGTAGCGCGCGATGTATGTTAGCAGGCCAGTCTTGCCTTAGCTTATATGTAAGCTTTATCAACGGATTCAATTGCTCAACATACAAGTGTGCCAGCCGCCTCCCTATTTGATCCGGTTAGTTCATGTACAGGGAATACTCAAATATATATGCGCAATGTCGAACTTACTACTGTCTCCGTCACGAATGGTGTCGGTGTCCAGCTCCGCGGGCGCTGCGCGGGTGAGGGTCCTTGGTTGGAGAAGGATCGCACAAGACCGGCAGCAGGCCGGGGGACTGGAACGGCGGACTGCGGAATAGACCGCCCTAGCTGGCGCAGAGGGATTCTTGGAGGCATCTTCAAAAGTATGCAGACACGCTGTAGTTGTATGAAATGGGATTTGGAGCGACGGGAGCCTTTGGACGGTGAACCTGATACGATAAGAACGGCGCTAAGATAAGAAGCTCATGAACAGTCGCAACATGGTCCGCAACGGTTTGGTTGGAATTCCCAATGCCAATTTGGGTTGGAAAGATTGATGGCTGCTGGGGAATAATATGAAGTATATTCCAGATTGTCTAGGGGAATCTCGGCTCTTGTGAAGCTACACTTCGAGCATCGTTCGATCAACGACTTCTCCGCAAATCAGGGGCTCCGATTGGCTCCTGCAAGAGCTCCGCGATCATCTTTTCCGCCCTGAACGTATCTCAATTTACCATCTGCCTTTGTCTCCTCCCATCGACGCAAAATGGAGTGTGTTAGCGCACGTATACCATACACAACATGGCGCCTTCGCGCTTTTCGCCAACTGCTAGCGACTTCACATTCCCGGGTTCCTCGGACAGTCCGTCGAAGCATCTCGACGTCACGATCAACCGACCAACTTGACGAAGTTCCTTTGGAAACAACCACACAGAACTCAGACTCGAAACCAGTACCTCCATCGCAGCGTCTTCCACAGTCTCCTCTGCTCACAAATCCACGCCGAGGGGCGGAAAAGACTCGCAAGCGACGCCCCACGACACAGGAGGAAGCCGACTTGCTCAAGAACCCATGGGCAGTCATGCTGGCCTCGCCGGCCCGTATGTGCTCTGTATCCGGTGCAAGGCTTCCCTCCGATTTGATGGGAACTTGGGGTCTTGTCAGGCAACCGGATGCAGACAAACTGTACATGATGCCTGTTGGTTTGATGCAAGACTCGTTGCAAAACAAGGAATCTCAAAGTCCCGCTTCTTCCCCGGAGCCAGCGCTTCCAGACCAAGTCAAAGCTTCCAAGTCTGAAGCTTCTGGTTCGGATGAAGATCCTTTCAGCACACCCGTGATCCGAACACCGAAAGATAAGCAGACCGGACGCCATCTTGTGCTTCGCATTGCCGAGCTCCTTCCTGTTCTTCAATCTATCACACCACCCCTGTCGAAAAACCGCGGTAAGAGACATTCGATCATGCGGCTGTTGCCATTCCGATGGAAGCACCCGATCGGCCCTATTTCGGCACACGAAGAGCAGAAACTTGTCTGGTCGCAGAATACCCCGGATATTGTATTGCACAGCATGAGAAATTATGTATCCAAGAAGCTGGTCGCGGTTCTCCGGAAATACAAGCGTATCGGCACCGCTAATGGGGTCTGGAGGGCCCTGGATCTGCTGGTGTATTCAGATGCTGCGCTGATAGAGGCGCTTGGAAGCCTGGAGCCACTTGATCGTATGGAATGCGGTGCAGTCTTGCTACTTGGCTCAAAAGATGTGACGACCGCTGGAGATGCGTCAGGAAAGAATGGCGCTTTGGACTCGGTGTCTCTCTCGCAGACTGGGTCGAAGGTCCCTGTGTTTGATTTGTCAGTGCTGTTTGCCGAGTCCGATATGAAGAAACTCCGTGAATCTCACGAGCAGTTCCAACACACTGCACTGTTCTTTAGACCGGAGGAAAAAATTGGTATTGATGCCATGGTTGCCCTCTGGAAAATCAAACGGCTGCTTAGCAATGTCGACTTGCCAGAGAAATGAAGTCGCTGAGCAAGTGAACAAAGCGGCGCATTTCCTGATCATTGGTCATATGTTGTTATCAGAAGAGTCTTGAAATCCCACCACGCAACCCTGCGGTTTCCATTGGGTTGAAGCCTAAGCACGCGGATGAGAAAGACAGGCATCGCTGTGGGCAAGAAGTACTAGTAGAAAAGCAGGTCGCGATGATCATGTGCGAAGTGAATGTGGCAATGAACAAGTCAATGAACAAATCACCTACAAAGTACACTGGAAAAGAACCAATGTATACGATCCCCCTCAACTTCTCAGACTCGCTGACGTAAATCTATCTGGTGTCAGATACGTGTCTGATTATGCCATCGAGATCTGTTGCCCCGGCGAACTCATCCAGCGCTAGTGTTCGCCTTAAATACATTTCTGCCTCGCAAATCAGGTCTATTTACTAGTGTAGCATATATATAGAGCCAGGCTCTATAGTAACAATTCGATCATCCTTATCCGTCTCTTTCCTTTTCTATCCATCATGATCAATCACCTATATTTATCCAAATTCTTATGATTCCGGATGGTTGAATTCATTCGCTGTCAATCAGACATTAGTCGTTGCTGGATTGATAGTTCGATGTCGTTCTTCGTTCTTCTTTTAATTATTCCCTAGCTTAATACATACCTCTACATCTGAGATGCCATCTCCTCGAAACTTGTTACCATTCTATATTCCTTTCATGGTCACACTATTGCACTATCTGTCAGCGATGCCTCCTGCCCAGGTATAACGCGGTTGGCAAGTCGTCACCGTCGATTTCTCGAGTTATGGATCCTGGATTTTGTCTACCTATCCCCAAGAATGGAACTTGAGAGAATGGTTTCACAGCAAGCTGAAACCGATAAAGCTGGCCTTTCAGTGATATCTGCTACTAGGTAGCAGCACTTGGGTATGCATGTCATGGTTCTGCGATACCAGTCCAGTATCACCAGGTACTAGCTCAGCACCGGTGGAAAACCCCTATAAGACCAAGATTTGCTCTGTTTTCTCATTATTCTCTCCATTCATGGCAGAGTACCGACAATTCGGAAGATTGCAGATCCTCTATAAAGTTCCAATCGCGTTCCCGTCTCTTGGGGTCGGTTTTGAGGGATTACGTGGAGCTTCAGCAGCACCAACGATATTTCCTGTGGGTGAAAAGTTACCAGACATGATGATTATGTGCTAATCCGCCTGATGTAGCTCGCCTTGCATACATCCTGATATACGGGATAAGGTACTTGACATACCAATGCGGAAATGCCTGGCAAGTGAACGTGAGATATGATTAAAGGTTGTCGTGAACAGCTGCTATTGCTACAGCGGATAGAGCAATCGATATATGTTTATGTAAACCATTTCACCCATCTAACTGCGAGAGGGTTCTACCACAAGACACTCGTATTCTTCATAATTGGTGACAATCGATTGCTTTCTGTGTAAGTTCAACCCATCATGACGCACATGTGGACCGTGAGGGTTGAAAGGCTCTGTTGATTTCCCATGGAATACAAAAATGCAGTAACTTCCTTGACAGTACGATTGTTCATTGGTATAAGCGTGTGAGAGCTTCGTAGGGGCAAAAATATCGGTAGTTACAATTTAACTCGAGATTCGGGTGTCTGCACGTCTATTAATGTCAATTCCATTCCGAGAACCACCGCTGAAGATACTCTTCTTTTGTCAGTTCGAGGCCGGAGTTTCATTACTCCCTAGGGTTTCGGTCATTGAATGAGGCGCCAACGGTGCCGCGCCTTTGTATCCTGATTTGAAGAACGTCACTAAATAGTCCTGGCGGACTCATTTTGAGTGAGAATAATGGGAAAGACTTGGAGACGAGGCAAAAAAACATCGCTTAGTTTGACTGATTTCAACTGAACGTGAGCATGGTCTGTTGTTAATATTTAGAGAAGAGCATTGACGGAGCTAGCTGTATCCTCTAGGAGGTTGATTGCACCATCGTTGGTTTTCACTTCGTCGTCAGGAGCCTCATGTCGATTGTATCTTTAGATCGGTGACTTGTCGCCTGGACTGTAGATAAAACCATCGAGACCGGGCTGTTTGGTATCGTTCGTGGCGGTTGTAAAAGTGTCCCGAATGGCTGTCTCTTGAATCATGTTTCGTTGAACTTTGGGATTGCAGCCTTTCCTATTTGACAGGCTTCTTTGAGAAAAGGCTGCTTCACTTCCGTGGGTTCAAGGCCGTGGATAGGCTGCTGCTTGCATCGCACCAAGTATCAGGCTGAGATGGGACAATGACGGCGCCCCTCTGTCGGGATGTCATATCCTGAGTTAGAGATTCAAGACTAAAGAACAATTTGCCTTGCTGGGAGACATGGAGGATGTTGTATTGATAATTGGTCGTGGAAAGCAGGTGGGAGATGTGGAAGAGCGCAAGGATAGATTAATGGATAGAAGTGAGAAGCTGACCTGTATCTTGAAATGCCCAATGGTTGGGAACTATCGGAAAGATGGGGAGTTAAAGGAATTCCGGGGCGCTATCAATGGTTGTGGCGGTATTACCATCGCAGAACGAGTCCCTAGCGACTATATTCTAGGGATCTGATTTGGACCGTCTCGTTTATGATTTGGAATTCTAAGATTATAGTGTCTTTCCATTATGTTGTACCTTCCACCTCGGGCTTGGATATTAGTATACAGAAGGAGGGAACTATATCGATTGTATACATGGTGTAGCGCTAGAAAGCTAGGGGAAGATGAAGATGATGATATTCAGCTATCTGCCACTAGCTACTGACGCGGAGGCGTCACACGTGACTACACGTGACCCAAACGGTCACTCGTCCGTCACATCAGTTTGTGCGGCGTTTCCCTTGTGGACGCGGATATGGCGCCGTTCATAGCTGCGGTCAGACTGGGTAGGCTTGTTGGCCAGTCAGTCACAGGGTGTAGTGCTGCCCAGTGTCGTAACCAGATTTCTGCTGTTTGGTTGGTACGTTCACTCTGGCCATCGGCCTGTGCGTTTCCTCGTCTTCGTAAGTAATGCTTGATTCGTGCTGCGAGAAGAAGCTTCTCGTGGTTCGTGTAATGACTGGATGCGTGAGAAGTAGCTTCTCATGCGCGATAAGAGGTTGCGTAATGAGCGTGTTGTGGACGTATGACCCGATTTTTTTGTATTGGTTTTCGTTGTTGAACGCGTTAGGGGTCTTCTGGTGATGGCGTCTAGTATAGTCCTTTATGGTGTGTGTACGTAGTCGTCGCTTGTCTCCCGTTGTGAGGCTGCGGCGAAGAATGGAATCAGGTCCCTGGCTGCTTGCGTCTCGGTGGATACGGGTATAGAGTCTAGATTCTGCTGGAATGCGCGTAAGCCTCTCTCGAAAGCTAAGGCGTCCCTCGCCGCATCTGTGTCTTCGCGAGTTGAGACGGCTTATCGGATGAGCTCTAGATACTGCGGTAGCTTGGTGTAGAGAGCTGCGGATAGGCGGTCGATATCGGTGTTAGAAATGGGACCTTAAGCCATTATGTTTGTGGCGACGACGCTGGACGTCTAAGATAGCCGTAGCTGTTCTAGGTGACGGGCGGCTATGCGGAGGTTAGGGTAGTTGAAAGAGTCTAGCATAGCTAAGCGTGTGGCGTATGCCATAAATGCGTTAGATATGCCGTTCTCATTAGTGTGTGAGATAGGAGGTGGAATAAGCTAAATGTCTATATCGGTGCGGTTCGGAGTGGTGTTGGCAATGTCGGTACGACTGCGCTTAGCCGGAATGTCTAGGTTGGTGTCGTCGTCGGCGTAGTCTTCGGCGATGGAGTCATCCGCGGAATCGTTATCGTTGTCAGTGGGACGCTTTCGTGTGTGCTTTCTTGGTGTGACTTTCTTGGGAATATCTGGCCATCTTATCTGGTTGTCTACGGGCTGTTCGGAGGGCGTAAATGACTCCGGCGTCACTGAGCCGTTGATTCTTAGGGTGCCATGCTTGACTGCCCCAGTTGGTTGTGTCTGCGTCGTGTGGTGGGTTTCTGAGGGTCCATCCGGCGATGGAGGCGAGTTCATGATGACCGCCTTTGGTGGCCGCATCTTGACAAATTTGGTCTTGTTGTGCTAGTGTTGGGGGATGTAAGCCTTTCGACAGCTCTCGCTTGATGGCGTTCTCGCATTTGTGTCGCAGATCCTTCAGGTCAATGAGCATTTGGTCAATCCTCTCGTTGTGGATGACGGGTTCCATGACTGCGTTGAGCCGAGTCTCCTTTCCTAATACAACTCTCTCCCTCCTCTCTCCCTGAGTCCCACACAGTAGGCCTCAACAAATGCTTAAGCGATATCCCCTTTGGCGGTTTCCCTTGGTTCCTTCGCCTTTGAAATCTCCTCTCTATATAAATTAGTCTCGGTTTGCTATTCTAGCTTTTTAATGTGCAGACTCACTCTGCGCTTTTGGCTTCCACGGCGGAGGGGAGATAATACTTTCTCCTTGTGTTCTCCATCTCCTGGCGCATAGCTGTCAATTCTGGTGGGGTTGGATTTCTCGCATGCACTGATGGCGGAGGGCCCAGGATTAGAAGTGCCTGGCGCACACCTCTGAGGGTGGGAGGCTGATCTGGTACCCGCGGGCGATACATAGGCGAGTCCCCAAATTGGGGGAAGGGTTCCCCGGAAGACAGGTCATTTTCGGGATTTCTGGTACCGCGCTACTCAATGTTCGTCAGTAGAGGATCTTCGTCGGTAGATAACAAGATTGGTGCTTTTCATAGACAAAGCTAGCAATACACTAAAGGTCACTGGGCCATTTCTGAGGCTAAGGAATGCGCCAAATGGTCACTCCGCATGAAGGTGACCGTTGCTGCTACAATCGTTACAACAAACTCGATTTTCCTGGAAGGTTTCAGATATCATGTTAGTTATAGCCTAATATTGAGGGGGTATTGGATGTAAGACGAAGGGAGCCAGGATATCACGAGAGAAGACTAGCTCCATCGCCCTGACATGAGACAGGGGATAAGCACATGTGAACGTGGTCAAGCAACTTTCATACGATAGTACCCCTCACTTACGGTTGTATGTGCCGTTTCAGGCAGTCGAGCCTCGCCCGGATTGATGGAGATCCACACTCTCATGTTTGTAGGATTTGGTAATAAGTGATGGGGAAAGGACAGTGGAAGAAGAAAAGTGGAATAAGGAGGATGGAGGATAAAGGGCGGAAGAAGGAAAATGGAAGAAGGAAAATGGAAGAAGGAAAATGGAAGAAGGTAGGTGGATGATGGGAGACACCTCAGCACCTCATAGGGCTATGATGGGGATTGGGAGCTGAAATCAACAGTACTTATAGATGAATCTGACTACATACTCAGATATAGATTCACGATGAAACAACGACGAAGTGAGGCCACGAACCTCCAGTATTGATTCATCTTTCATTGAAGTGACACAACTAGTATTGAGCATCATACTCTTCGTGTACGTGCAATCAGAATTAAGTGCTCAAGTTGTATCCTCTTTGGCGCACTCCTTTGGGCCCTTCGCCTTTGAGGTTTCCTCGCTATGCAAATCAGTTTCAGTTCGCTATGCTAGCTTTTGAACGCAGAGACTTCCTCTGTGCCTTCGGCCTTGGCCATGGAGACGAGAGTGAACGTTCTCACTGTATTCTCTGTATCTTTATTTGCTGCTCTCAATCCTCGGGGGTTTCCATTCTCTGCACGAGCTGAAACCGGGGGCACCAGGATGGGACGTGCCTGTCGTACAGCTCTCAGTGAAGGAGGTAAATCAGGCACCCGCGGTCGAGAAATAGGCGAATCGCCAAATTGTGGGAATGAAGCCCTGGAAGATGGCTCATTTTCAGCACTTCTGGCGCGTCGCTACTCAATGATTGTTAGTGGATAGGAAGAGTTATAATTGTGATAGACCATGCTGGCGATCGGCGTCTCACATGGAAGCTCAGCGGGCTGTCTCTGAGGCCAAGAAACATGTCAAACGGGCACCCCGCGTCGGGGTGATCGATACTGTGACAATGGTGGCAACAGCCTGTTCTGTCCTGGAACTTTTGACATTTTGCGTTAGCTAGTGGTCTAATGCCGAGGGGACATGCGTGGCAAGACAAAGGCAGTCTGGATGTCGTGAGACAGGACTAGCTGGGCCCATGGCCAAGACACGCGGCAACAGGTGGCCGTATGTCAACATGGTTAAACAGCTTTGATGGATTTTCAGCCCATACTTACGGCTATATCTGCCGTCTGAAGCTGCTGAGCTTCGCTTGGGGTGAATGAGACCCACAGTTTCATGGCGGAGGTGTTGGGAAGAAAGATGGAGGAAGATAGGTGGATGAAGGAGGGTGGTCGAAGGTGGGTTGGAAGAAGAGAACATACCTACATAGGTCATAGGGCTATGAACGGGGATTGGGGGCTGAAATCAACAGTAGTTATAGATCAATCTGACTAGAAACTCAGGTATGGATTCACGATGAAACAACGACGAAGTGAGGCCACGAACCTCCAGTATTGATTCATCTTTTAAGGAATTTTCATGCCAATATAGCTTTGACATTAAACAATAGGGCTGGGTTGGTGTGATAAAATGACCTAGGTTTCCATCCTCGGCGTATAGGCTTCTCAGCAGTCAACCCAACGATCTGTCTTCCCTCGGAGACTAACCCGCATCTCGTGTTTCCCCTAGAGTCTCAATCCCCATCCCAATTCATTTTAACATCGGATTGGTTTGCCACTACTTTAGCTCCTGAAGAGTCAAGCTTACCTAAAGGCGTCACTAGTGCCAATGACAGGTGGTAATGAAAAGAATCCTATGTCTGTCACCTGTGTCATTATTGCTTTGGGTCTACGGATGCAGCAGTATCACTGCCGATGTATATAGAAGGAATTGCATGCCGCAGAACAAGTCCTGAAAGACTGCATTCTGGAGCTCGGAATCTACACAAGTACGGATGGCGTCCGAGTAGGACTGACTGGTGATCATCTGGGGTATCTCCGAAGCAAGGACGCACAGAGCGAATCAGATCCCAGGACTGTGATCCAATTCCAGCGGTCCGTGTTGGGCAGCAAGTAGGGTTGGTGGTAGTCCTGAAGGGTAGAGGCTGCTAATATTATTCTAAGATTCTAGGAAGTATGGCTCACACTGATTTTAACTATCAAACGTGCGACAACCTTTCCCTCTCCCCTAAAGTCCCGCAGAGTAAGGCGTAAAAAAATGAAAAAGCAAAAACATACAACAGTGAGGATTCGCTGGTGGTCACCCACCCAACTACTAACTCACCGGCGTGTGGCTTAAGTACGGCTGAGCGGACGGGAAGCCCTGTTTTCCACACCCTATGGTCGTATGTGCTGGGAATACCAATGGCAAGAAACATATTTCGCAAGCGATTGAGAAATTATTGGGTCAAGCCTGTGTCGCGGGTCGGTGGTGGGCTGGTATAAACATACCGAGAAGCCATTTGAGATTCACCCGTTCAAGATAGTCGTGTTATTCCTCTAGTAGGCGGTGAGACAAGACTGTGGAATTTTCGACGTCTGGTGAGACGAGACATGAGCTTTGGGGCGTGAACGAGCATATTGGACGAGGAACGGTCATGTCCACCGCCGCATCGTGGTTGTTATTGAACTATTGTAGTCAAAAGTCTGCGCCCGAGGAATCTTCCCATTCCCAAAAGATACGTGAACGGGGCCGAAGATAGCGGATTCGATCCGTAGGGCCATGGAGCTGGATCGAGGATTAAACAGGATCCGGGATGGCTGTGTTTGGCCTCCATGGTTGATGCCATTGCAGAGGAGACATCGATTTCGTTCTACCTAGTAGAAGTCACATATATTTCTAGGTATTGGTCAATTTGCTCCTTTATTTGCACGGAATCGCGGCGCCATAACAAGTTGTTGAGAAGCGGTTGGCAAGCGGGAAAGAGAGAAGAAGGGCAGCGAAATAAGAGGAGAGGAGTAGATCAAGAAGATCGAAACCTTTCCTGACCCAAAAGGTGAAGATGTGGGAGACTTGCACTAACCACAGTCAGAATTGCTATCTTCTCAGACTTCAGTGCCCGGAGCAGAGCTTGTCGGGGGCTTCCGCAGTAGGAGGGTTGAAAGGAAAAGTCAATCAGCAGGAAAAGAAGGGATGACGTATTGGACCAGGTCAGGGCGATCTATAAGGAGTGAATTATATTGGATGAACACCATGCATGCGGAAATGACGGTAATGGAAATCTCGAAATGTTTCAGTAGTGGAGGATGGCTAGGCAAATGTCGAGCAGAGTCAGATAGCCGAGTACTCTACGTAGACAACGCTGTTATCGATAATTGATGTTTAAGGTTACCTACGAAATCAAGAAAACATCACTCGATAAATCTACCCTTTCGTCAACTGTCCAATGATTTTTAGCTGGTCGTATTGGCCAAAGAAGATTCAATGCGTAGTCTGCCCAAGTAAGCTATATATAGCTGTGTGCAGTGGTGCCTCCTTCAGCTTCGACTTGTTATTGTTGGACTCATCAGAGTTGGAGGGTTTGTGTTTCTTTTTCTTCTCCTTGGACTTTGTTCTTCGAGCCGTGTTTGCGGTCTTGTTGCTAAAATCAGTCGCATCGAGAATCGGCTTGCTGTATTCCACAGGAGTCTTGTCCTTGACAATTTCGTAGTAATGAATGATTGAAGGTATCTTCTCCTGGAGGGTCCTTCTTGACCTTTTCTTGTAAGCCCCTAAGAACATCGAGACCACATTAGGCGGGATTTGTGTTATGTTCAAAAGACCCGAACTTACCGTGGATCCTTGGTGTCCTCAACTGGGACGGTCAGGTAAACGCTACGCCTACTATCACTGGCAGCAACATGGGGGGTTGATCGCTGGGACAGAGTTGTTATCAGTGATGTAAGATGTGGTGGAACGAGCAATGGATGGTAATTCCCTGCATTCCGCAATGCACGGGGTGCATCTGGCACCCTGGGGCGATAGACTGGTGGGTCTCCAAAACGTGGAAAGCCGCCGCCAAGTAGTGGCAGCTCTTCGACTGGGAATTCCCGACGCTAACCATCTTCAATCAGCAACTGTAGTTTTAGAACTACCTACCTACCCATAGAAGACACGTAACATTGCGATCAACATGACAAGCAATTTGGATCATACATGAAACGTCATCAGACCTTGCCGAGGGTTGAGTGAACACCGAAACGGGCAATTTTGCTCCATATGGCTGAGGCTACTGCAAGTTCCACAGCGCTTCTCCTTTTCCTAGAGATAGTTGAGTAAAATGTTAGTTACTGTGTCAGTTACTGATCAACACGGACATATGGTGCAGATATCGATATAGCAGCTTATGGAATAATTCTTTGCATGCCCAGGGGTATAAGACCAAACTAGATCCATGGAGCATAAGCAAAGCCACAAACATACCTTTTTGAGATCGCATTCTTCAGCATCCGAAGGTGGATGACAACCATCACCCCCATTGCTGGAAGGAATATCAGATGCCATGGTAGAGGTTCACCAGAATCAGGAAAGACTGAAAAATAGGAAAGGGAGATGGGGACGGAAAGAAGATTAAGAGCGGAAATTGAGTGAGTGGTGGTTATAAAAGGAAGGACCTTCGGCAAGCAAGCCCCAACAGGTCGCCAGTTGACTTTTGCACGCGATTGACTATTGCTCCAAAGTGCCCACTTCTAACCCGCATCTTGCCCATTCCTGGCAATCTGGTCATACGTACTCACTCCTTATGATATATTACATGAGATTCACTCAGCATGATAAGATATACGACATACTGCATCTGTATAAGAACGGTTGTATGCTGAAATTGGACTCTGGGATTGAATATAGATAAGCAAAGACATATGTAAAGTTGCAATCAGATAGAAGTGTCTAGTCAAAGAACGGAGCCTGTCTATGAGTGGCCTGGCCGTCTGTGATACTTCGTGGCAGATTTCAGGTGGAGGAGAAAGAAAAGTCCCGTCGGCCAATATTTACTCTACTAGCATCGGCTATTAAAATGTTCGAACACGAAGCAAAACCTCAATCTTCCCAGTTCTCCTACTTACCTATATTTCACCATAATGTCTGGATTGATGACTTCACTTGGAGACTTAGTCAATTACTGGGGCTCGGTAAACTTCAAACCCGACCCCGATATTCCAGATCTGAACGACAAGGTCATTCTGGTGACAGGCGGTACGTGAAGCCATGGACCAACAGAACGTTAATGCCTCGTCTAACATGATCTATCTCAACAGGAAATGCGGGCCTTGGCAGAGAGACAGTCTTGCAGTTAGCCAAACATAATCCCAAAAAGATCTTTCTCGCTGCGCGGTCAGAATCCAAGGCAGCGGAGGCCATCAAGTCGATCAAAGCATCAGTTGCAAACAACGTCGATATCAGCTGGATCCCATTGGATTTGATGTCAGGTTCATCCATCAAGAATGCAGCGGAGCAAGTCAACTCCCAGTCATCGCGACTCGACATTCTAATCCTCAATGCTGGAGTCATGGCCCTACCCCCTGGTGAGACAGAAATGGGACATGAGATTCAGATCGGAACAAACCACACCGGACACTTTCACCTCACCAAGTTACTACTACCGACACTCCTCAAGACAGCCCAAGAGCCCGAGTCGGATGTCCGTATTGTGACTCTCGCATCCGTCGCCCAACTTTTTGCGCCGCAATTTGAGACTATTTTAAATCAAGAAAAACTTAAGAAAGAGTACACCAACGTTCGATACGGGGCTTCGAAGGCCGCCAATATCATGTTCGCAGCAGAACTAGCCCGGCGCTACCCGTCGATAACATCGGTAGCGGTTCATCCTGGTCTCATCGTGACCCAACTGTATGACTCGTTTAAGTCGCGCTCGCTCCTTGTTTCCTTGGGCTCTAGCATATTGAATCGCACCGGTTCGACCATTCCCCAGGGAGCCCTTAATCCATTATGGGCTGCTACCGGACCCAAGGAGAATCTTCGAAACGGGGGGTATTATGCACCTGTTGGAATCCTGAAGCCTCGCAATAAGTGGTCAATCAGTAAGGACAAAGGGAAACGTCTGTGGGACTGGACTGAAATGGAGCTTACCAAGGCCAATCTGTGATGTGATTGAATTGAAGTTATTGCTGATATGATGCACACGATGCACATTGTATGTTGTTGACATAGTAGTTAGTGAGGGGTTGGTGTCTCAGGCATTGACCCTCAGAGACTGGAATAGCCGGGAGCTTTGTCTCGTCCTAATACGACTCTCTCTCTCCTCGTTGAGATCTACCACGTAGCTCCCAGGCTATAAAGCTCTTGCTTTTCTAAGATTTATATTTTTGCCATCATCGAGGAGGCAATTTTCATATTTTCGTATTGTTATCTTGATTTTGGTCCGCACTGCGTAGAGAGTCGTAGAACGTAGGACAATAAAGCATTAGGCCCACGGGATCGTCATCATTTGTCGCAGTCCGAAGATCCAAAGGGCTGAGAGGCGATAACCAGTGAATATTTTTATCGTAGGCCGACTCGAGAAAATTGCCCGCTCTTCTTTGCCATGGCCCTGGACAACAAGGCAGCCAAGAATCGGTGACCTCAGTTGTCTCTTGGAGACTAGTATCACCTCAAGTTACGTGATATTAGTCCGCACAGGGAGCTCTGTAAGTTACAAAGATCGTTACATGTAACTGGAATTCAGGGGAAGTTTCGAACGAGATTTCACAAAACTCACTGAGCCGCAGTATTTTCCAGTATTAATGTACTTGAAACCGAGTTTATTCGAGATAATGTCACATAACAGGATGTGATTCAAAGCGTTACAACTTTCAGTTTCGTTGGAATAAACTCACACGCATAGACATGTCACCTACATCTCAAGATTGTCATCAGTCCTGGACGGCTTCAACATATGCATGTCAGCGAAGCTCACTCAGTCCACGGGTGGATCTTAGAAAATCCATTGCAGCACCAATGGTCCTCCATTGTTGTCCTCCATTGGTGGTCTTGGCTCTGACTCAGGTGTATGTGCAATTACTCATTCTGGGGCATGTAGATACGCATACAGCTTGGTATACTTGGCGGAGGCAAAGCCGATCAAGAAAATCAAGTGGACGGTGTATAGCATCTACGTAACGCGGGGCAGTGAATCTTGGAACATGCACGGGAGTGTGTTCCACGGTTCTATTCCGGTAACGAACGGTATTGGCGATAGTCTGGGGTTGCGTACAGCTGGTGTACGGGAATGACGATTACAGCCGGTGATACTCGGGAGGTTCCTTTCCACTTAGTAGAAGTCTGTCATAGATTACCTAGTCCCGCGCTCTAGAAACATCTGCGCGGCGCAGCACCTGGACCACAACTCAGGCGGAATTCATCCCTTCGATAACGAAAGGGAGGCTCATGCAAGAGTGCTACAACAATCAGGCAGTGAGATTTCTGATCTGGGAGTTGGGGAATTATCCATGGTGCATTTGGATTGGATGGTCAGGATAAGAATTCTGAAGCTCGGGAAAGCAACGAGGTAAGATGTGCAGCATTCTGGTGAAAATCCCGGAGTTTCCTATCTGGTCGCGTTTTTGGTGTGTATTTAATTCCATATATCTACCTGATGGCCAATTACGAATGATGCGATGTTCAAATGATAAGATGTCAGACTATGAATTCAACCCAAATGGCTTTCAGGTATACTACCAACTATCATTTAGGAAAATGACAGACAGTCTCAAGCACGAAAATATAACGTTTTCATCATTGAATAAACAAAATCTTCTATCTCTCGGAATGTCGTAGTTATTTGATGACCTTAACTCGACTGGGCACCAGCTGACTTGACCCCAAAACGCTGCCCTAGCACCACAAACTGAGCAACGGTAATGGTGCGGCGGAGTGCTAGGGGTTCCTGCTTGTTAAAGGCTTCTTCCAGGGCTCTTTCCGTCGCATTCCAGTCCACAAAACCCAGACGTTCCACGTTTTCCTTTGTAACCAGGTACTTCATCTTCCGGTGCAATGGTCCACCCGGCCAGAATCTTCTCGGGCCTAGATAGGGTTTCTTTCTGATGTTGTAGATCTCGTCGGTGACGTAAGGCCTCACAGCTTCTCGAAGGATATACTTCTCGCGAAACGCTTTATCTTTCGCACTGTACTTCATCTTGAGACTCGGTGGCACCTTGTTAACATATTCCGTCAGGTGATGATCAAGGAAGGGGCAACGACTTTCGACTTGATTGACCATGTCGATGTTATCTCCGTTATATCGCAGGATAAAATGAGGCATAAATGATTTTGTCCACAGGTATTGGGCAGTGTGAAGAGGGTGCCAACGATTGCTTATGTTTTCACGGACACGCCCGTCGAATCCTGCAATGAGGCTAGTCTCCGGTATATCATCGCTGTAGGATTTCGTCCAGTCTGAGAATGGCATGCTGCCAACTCTTGCAATGGAGCTGATGACGTGGCTGTGGTTCAACATGCGTCTCGTTGCAGTTGGAACGGTCGGACTGTGGTCACCGAATATTCCGTTTGTGACTTGCTCGATCGCTGTATCCAATGCTTCCTCGCGATCGGTATCGGGGATGTGCAGCGCTGGCCATGAATGATCGGGCTCACTCAGCGAATCCGCCCGGAACACACGGTAGCCCGCAAAATGCTCATCCGATCCTTCTCCTGCAAGAGTATTAGAGATACCACGTCAATGAGATTTAAATATTGTCTCAGTCAAGAGGAACTACTCGCCAGTGATCACGACCTTAAAACCCTGAGAGTGTACCGCTTCGGCTAGTGCCAGCCGACCCATTCCGTTGAGATCAGGGAGAGGAATTTCACTGTGCCAGACAGCATCTTCCAGGCGTGACACAAGGGCCTCTTCGTCCATTTTGACAAAATGAATATCGACACCCAGCCATTCCGCTGTGCGTTGAGCAATCTCTAGGAATTGTTAGCGATGAAGTTATGAATATTGTGGGGAAGTGAATATACCCGACTCATCTGCACCGCTATCCGCATCGAATTGAACGGTGAAGCATTTCATGTTCGAAGGGACTGAGTTGGACTCGCTACCCAGCTTTGTCCCCTTTTTCATGAGATCGGCTACCATTCCAGCAACCGAGGAAGAGTCTATTCCACCACTGAGGTAGATGGCAACAGGAACATCCGCTTTCAATCGCAGTCTCACAGCCTCCAGAAGACGCTCCCTTACCCCTTGCACCATTTCCTCTTCTGATCGTATCTCGTGGGAAAACTAGAGATCATCAATCATTAGTGTAGATTTCGAGAAACGGGGTCGATGTGCCTTACTTTGTCGGGATATTCAAGATCCCAGTATGGCATTTGTTCTTCTCTCTCATTAGGCCGACACATGAGATAGTGTCCCGGAAGCACCTAAAATGTCTTAGAACCAGGCCTATCATTTAGCAGATAAGTAACGGTAATAAACTCACCCTATGCACGCCTTTAAAGAAAGTGCGCGATTCCACTCTCCAGCTTTGGTCTCGCAACGTTCGAACGCACCATTCTGGCTGTAACCCAAACGCCATGAAAGACTTGATCTCTGTTGCCACCAATAACTTCCCTTGGATCACTGTATAGTAGAGTGATTTAATTCCATACCGGTCTCTTGCTGCCAAGAGTAACTGGCGGTTGGCATCCCAGATCACAAATGCAAACTCGCCTCTCAAATGAGACATAAAAGAGAGGCCATAATGTTTGTACAAGGCAATGACGATTTCGCAGTCACTCTTTCCCGCGAATTTAAATTCACTGGCTAACTGAGCACGGTAACGCTCGTAGTCATACAGCTCGCCATTGATAACGGCATGAATTTCGTTGCTTTCATCATGAAATGGCTGATTACCACTGGGGCTAAGATCGATTATCGACAATCGAACATGACCAAGGCCTGTTGAGAGGATATGAATCTCTGTGCTTGTATCAATGATTAAAGGAAACGAGATGACCTACCAACTTGGTAATCGTCACTGAACCAACGCCCGCGAGCATCTGGCCCACGATGGGCAACAATATTTAGACTGTTCTCCAATTCAGCGGCCACATGCTGAGCTTGGCCGTTGGTCTGTTCATTGGAGCTAGCCTCTCCAGCGTGACTTAAGAATGCAGTTATTCCACACATGATTATCGATTCAATTGAAACAGATGATAGAATCCTATACACGAGGCACAATGGCCTTTTTATACTAAATTGCACTTAAAGGACAGTTGAGTTGGTGTCGACTGTCATGTGTGACGATTGAACTTACAGGTATGGTATCGTCCCGTGGTTTTATTACCGATCTGCGGGAACGGGCCTTTCCCGGAAGTAAAACCGATTGGCTGCTAATCTCTGAGGGTTCTTCAACCACCTACCCAATTAGGTACATCAGCTAAGTGGTCGAGCAGTAACTCAGTTAAGTCATCTTGTTTCGTTTAAGTGCGATGAATTTCACTTGATCTGCATCATTGGTCTAGTGGTAGAATTCGTCGTTGCCATCGACGAGGCCCGTGTTCGATTCACGGATGATGCAAATTTCTTTCCGATGTAGTGTAGGGGTTATCACTGCGCTCTTTCACAGCGCGAACCGGGGTTCGAATCCCCGCATCGGAGTTCTTTTTTTGCCAGCAAAACCGCATAATGGTGGCGGCGTAATGCCCCATAAGACGTTGAAGTGTACAGCATACATTGCACGACATCAGTTGAAGCATCGCACAGCGACTAATCATCGTATGGTAATACCCAATCGTATATGGAGGATGTACTCTGTATGTCAAATGCTATCCGGCTGATCTGCATATACGAAGAAAGAATCACTAGTAATCCTGCATCAGGAGCCCTGGCTCTTTTGTCAGGGAAAGACCGTGATCAGTCATCTTATTCTCTATGCAGCAATAGATTCCAGTGCGGTGTCAGCTTAGGATGAAGAGCTTACTGATGCACAGTTGGAAAGCCTGTCATCGACTCTGGCAAACATGGTTGTAACACCACGGGGTTCGCCCAAAAATGTTTGTCCCCCTCGTATTTGATAAATCAAAACCGTCAGTCATTTCCCCGTGAGATGTTCGAAAAGGTGCTGGTGCTTGTTTCTTTCTTAAGCATACTTACCTGATACCCTATGATCATGGCTTGTGTTCATCTCTGTGTCCTGGAATTACACTCTGCTCACTAAGACATAGCACACTTGCTAAATGCTTTGCTGACAAGATGATCACAATTGGAGAAGAAACCTTTGATCCTCTGCGTTCACTGCCCGGAGATGAAGTACCCCCACAATCGATGGTGAAAAGGAGTATATCCAATGCCAATTTCAGGTACATAACCTTCACTTCCAGGGCCACCGGTGCGCGAAAGGGTATAGTTACTGAGCATTCTGGCTCTCACTTGATGACTGTGTCGAATAGTAAAGCCTGCAACGGGGATGTGCATCGTCCATATTTTACCGCTTATGAATGATACTCTCGCCTTCTTGGCATCAATTGGCCTTGATGGCTGAGCAGTTTCCTGGTCTAGCGGTTATGATTTTCCGTTAACAAATGCGATTCGCATATGTTCCGGAAAGGTTCTGGGTTCGATTCCCAGGGAAACTATTTTTTTTGGTCCCTACGCCCCTCGAGGGCGGGAGGTCGAAGGGACGAGGGCCCCACCCGACCTCCGATGGACGTTAAATAGAACAACAACAATCTCACCTTGCCCGGCAAAGTAAATGTTGTCTACTGCAAGGTCATTCCACAAGCTGTGCGCTGAAGAGACTAGAATGATACCAATTGAGAGGCAGGACTCTACAAGCAGAGAAAGTTTGATCACAGCGCATGGGCGCGGATTGCAACAAAATATTGAGCAGGCTCTCTCAATCTTGATGAGAAAATGATACTCATGACCAGTAGCCTTTTCACTCTTGGAGGAGATTCAATTTTGGCTATTTGGGTTTCTATGGTTGCAAGGCGCAAAGGGATATACATGACTGTTACGAATATTTTCACCAAACAAATCCTCTCAGGGATAGCTTTAAAGTGTGTCACAGACAATCAAGACACCATCAAGAATATCTGGGGATCTATCTCTCTGCCGTGGAATATCTAAACCAACCATGAATTGCTCATATTATTGCAAATTTCTTATGACCGATACCAATCAATATCACCTTGGCAGCTTTGGTCAAACTAGCGTAGGTAATCACACACCCTCAGCTGTTCAATCCGAGCCAGGAACTGAATGGATGCAAGCAGGACTTGATAAATGTTGTTTTCGGCCCGGTCGTTCATGGTCGAGGACTTGGAATCTCCTATGAAGATAGCATTGTCGGCCCATGCATCAACATTATTCCTGTGCGAGTAGATCTTGCTCCACGATCGGATAAATGCGATCTCCTGAGTCAGGTCCAACAGCAGAATATTCAAGCCATGGCTATTGAGGATCTTGGAATCAAAAGAATTGCCCATAACTGCGCCTCTTGGGAGGCTAGAACGAAAAGTGGTAGCTTTGTGTGGTTTCGAAATTTCACCATCGGTGATGAATTCACTTTTTATTTCGATGGTCATACACATGAAATAGGTCTATATAGTCTTCCAGACCTACGATGCAGTATGGTCAATATGCCTGTTATCCCTCATGGATCCGCATTAGCTATCATAATGGTGATACCTATCAAGCGATTTATAGGGAGTCTGTGGATAATTTCGTTGGATATTTTAGCGACGTAGTTGAAAGCCTGGCAAGTGAAGAGAAGTTATGCGGATTTCTTGTATAGATGGTCCGTTTGTTTCCCTTTTCTTTGTTGAAAGGGCAATATACAAAAATAGGGAGCATTGAGTACTGAATGAACTTTGTGTGTACCATCTATATATACGCTTACGGGGTGTATTCATAGGTGCCTGACAGATGCCTTACAGTGCTTCATATTGCGACCATAGTTCTCTCTTAGAGGAAATGACTTTCCTCAACTAAGATATGTCAAAGGTTGGTCGATCATGTGGATATCGAACTGGGGTTAGACTTTCAGTTACAAAATAGGTGGTGACAACATATCAAAAGAAGGCGATTTTTGATCTCCAAACAAAAATGGGGGTATTGGTGCGTTAGAAGCAATGTCAATGTTTAACCGCTTGGCTTAACACTAAGCCTTTATGACATGAATTTGCAACAAGTGATGCAACTGATTAAACTGTCAGACCTCTTAGCAGTATTCTTTGTTTCCTTGAATATAAAGGGATAGTCCACTCAGTCCAGTGGACCATACATTTTTCTCAACTTCCAAGTATACCAAACCGCTGTGATAGCAGGTGTGAAACCAGGGCCTTTGATTGGCAGAAAGAAGGGATTTAATAGTAAGTGAACTTCTTATCTCTAGAGCTATTGTGGCATCATGACTTGCTCCACCTCCTCATCTGTCCCCAGTTCCATCGCCTTCCTAGCTTTTGGTGATATGAAATTTCAGGCCTTGTGAGCCGTACAAATATCCAAGAGCCAAAACTAATAATATATGGATACAGGATTTTCTTGGACCTGCTTCCAACTGATGCTGAATCATATGTTTTGGTGGGCATCAGACACCAGTATACGGACAGCGTATGAATACCAGCTGCTACATCGTGGATTACAGCAAGGCCAAACTGGCTTCTATGACCAGGCAGGATGATATAATATGGGCAATGTACAGCTTAGAGTGGGAAGTCCAAGACAAGACGAGGATATTGAGGATAATCTCTAGCTAATGCGAGACTTATCTCAATTTAAAATGTCTATAGATGCGAAGCCGACAACCTATAGGTATGGCAAATCCATTTCCTTCCTCCTACCCACCAGAAGGCTCTTAGAGGCCTCGTATATCGAGCTAAACAGCGTGCAGTTACACGCCACCAGTGAATGGAAGAAAGATACAACTTATTCACAAGCTTGCAACTCTTTATAGGGCAGACTGCGCGATTCCTGTCGCTCTCCATGATTGGTTATATATTTAACATCGTGCACAAACAGATGCAGATATTCATAGCCGAGGGGATGCGCCCCTATACCGAGGAGAGGGATGACTTTGAGAGATTCGGAGAGATGGGGTTGGGAACTGAGTGCCTAATGGGGGGCGGTCATGTCGGTCGTGTCTGCCTGTTTTGGCGTAATGGACAATCACCGACAAGGGAACTGCTCTAGCGATTCTTCTGATTTCTCATTCATCCTTGTTCAAACATCCTTTTCAACCCTCCTTCTTCCAATTCTCCTTCTTCCAATTCTCCTTCTTCCAACAACGCATTCAACCAAGCCGAAGGTGAGACTCACAAAGCATCAGGCCACACCAGGGATGGTCGGTCCCTAGAGCATACAGAAATCATAACAGATTCGGCTCAGCATCAACAATTTTCTCAAACACCTGCTGCTTTCAAGCCTAATTTGAGGCTTGCACTGTCAATTCTGAGTGGTAAATGAGGTCCTGATCTCTGAGAACTTTGGACCTTTTGATTATATAAAGCTAATATTGCACAGCTCCTGAAAGAAATCTGAAGATGATCTCTACTTAACCCAGAATCCGTTTCCAAAATCTGTCTTCCATACATCCACAGTTTATCAAAAGCATTGCCTATCGCCTTGACAACTTTGCATTGCAGTGAGTTGATGACTCTCATCTTTGCACCCATTACACCATGATCATAGCTAACTTCATGATCATCTTCAGCCATATCAAGCCTACGTCCCATTCTCTCCGTCAGTAACTCTGACATGGAGGTACTCATGTACCTCCGCTACCGTGCTGTCCGCCACAGCAATTGACGTGCTGCACGGTGTTGATGTCCCATGCCTCCCGCCATATGCCATCGAATCAATATCTGGCTAGCTTTGGCCACATAGAGCGCCAACTGCAGGTCTTGGGCGAGGATTTGGTTGGATTGCTCGAAGAGGAGCATGGGGACAGTGTCCGTTCCGCACGTGTTTGGAGGAACGACGATATCTGATCAGGTTGATACATGCTCTCCCTCTTGATTTGCAATGATGAAATTCTCGCTCTTTTGAGTCTCTTTCAAGGTTTTAGTCTCTATGGTGTTGCGTGCATTCGAAGGTAACAGCATCCATTCCTACATAGGAGAGGCAGACTAGATAGCTTGACCTAAACTAGACTCGTCGATCATGATATATCTATGTATGTATTATTATTTGTTGTGTTTGAAGATATATGGGAGCTTTCTTTATCCCTTGCATTACAAACAAGGCTCGGACACGATCATTTACTCGGGATTTGTTTTATACCTATGTGACCCTAGAGCAGAATGAACAGTAACGATAGTGAAAGAACACAAGATTATCGGCTGATAGACTCATAGCATCCTATTTAGAAGGGCGTATAATCGAGGCGTCCCCAACGGTGGCCATGAGATTTATAGATCAACGCAGCCCATCAAACCCGGCAATTCCAACCGAATAACCCCTAGCGCCATACCTTATCTCCTAGCGCCGGAGCAAACTTCTCAAAGAGGAATAGTCGAGATCACACCACGCGCTGACGCGGCTTTATCTCTACACCGTTATAATAACGTTCCCTGTCCCGCCCAGATTGCGATCTGATAAAAAAGTTCCCCGGATTCCAAGCCTGTGAAACTTCCCCTTTCAAAATGCGACAACTGTCGCTTCTCCTATGTGCACTTCCAGCTGTATCAAGCGCCTTGATAACAACCTTGAATCCCACTGCGCCGATCAAAAATGCAAATCATATTTTCAATGTGATTCATGACTCAATGCGTCAGTGGGGGTCATCGCTGCATCACAACGGTGTCTCGTTCTTCCTCGCTGGTGTGCCCGCTGGCACCCACTTCTACCATGGAACCTCGGTATCTGACCCAGTCAATGGCACAGAGTGGTTGGCCTTTGAGCCTGAGCATGCCATGGTTTTCGCGCGGCCACCATGGGGACCTCCACCGCATGGGTCGCCTGTGGATGATGATGCTAGGCAACGCAATAGGGGCCATGGGGAGTTACGCATGCGGGAGGATCACTCTGGACAACATTCGGTCTTCAACGAAGACGAGAACGGATATTTGCATACATACGCTGCAGCAAAAGACCTCCGTTTGCTATATATCGACGGTATGTCTGCCGCCAAGACATCAAAAGGCACGCTTGATTCCCAGGATGTGGTTCTATTCAACGGCTCTTTCGAGGGCGAGCCGGGGTGGATGGGACGTGAAGGCGAGCGCGCAATGTTAGCTTGCGACATGGCTGATAATCAATGGGAGGGTCGGATTGATGGTGTTCTCCGCATGGAGGCGGGCTTTGAGATCATCTTGTGTCATTTTGAGCGCGATCTTGTTCCTGTGCGGATTACGCAGGCTCAGAAGCGTGAAGACTTGGCGTCCATGGATCGTGGGTATGGTGATCGGGATGGTCTTCGTGGGCAAGATGATGGAATGGGACGGCGACCTGTAGGTCCCGGTGTTCCCGGTCGACCACCTCAAGGCCCTGGGAAGAGTCCGAATTCAGCGCGGTGGATGCGTGCTGTGACTGCGCGTTATAATGGTATTGGTGGACGTCGGGTGTCTTTGAATTTCAATCATTTTGTGACGGCCTTCGCCCATGATGTAGATCTGTTTCAAGATGATACAGGTCTTCCTCGATTGGCTAACCTGTCCTATGAGGAATTGGCTCCTATCCGGGCTGGTATCACGGATCTGATTATGAATCACCACCCGGCTGAAGACTGTGAAGACTGGCAGGCCATTGCTGATATGATCGTCACACGATATAGCAAGGAGCTGGCCTATTTTGGTTCTGGCGCCATTGATTCGATCGAAGATCTGCAGTCTGAGATTGACCGCCTCTTTTCTCCCTTCATTGATTACGGTGACCGGGACGATGCTGCTGAGATTGAGCGCTGTGCTACTCAGTTTTTGCCTTCCGGTTTGGAGACTGGAGGTCTTGCCGGTCGTGCTATTTATGGAGTTGCAAATAGAATTTGCTCTGATTTGCTGCGCGCTGGAAAGAAGGCAGATCTTGAGTCGGCTGCTCAGGTTATTAAAAAGCTCATTGGTTATCTTGATTGGGCAACGTGGAAGGAGTGTCGTGGTTGCGCGGCGAATGAGATTTGTGTTGTGCCTATTTGGCCCATGGGTACAGTGCAGGACTATGAGAACCCGAAGTGCAAGGATGCATCTGACCCTTATGGAGAGGGTGGGGAGAGTTATTGGAATGCACCACACTACTGATACATATGCGGTGGGTTCTGTTTACTTCGTTTTTCTTTGCTGATTTCCTTCTTTCCTCCTTTCTTTCCTTGACATTTCAGTCATATTTTCCTACGGCTTGCTTTGTACAAAGATTTTATGATTGGACATATTAGATTTAATCCCAACCTATGGAATATACATCAAAGGTATGTACAGTTATACAAAAGAACACAATAATGTTCAAGGAATAATGCAGAAGGGAGACCATTGTGTTCATCAATTTTTCAAGCGCTAGTGCCAAAAGAGACCACGAGGTCAGGTTCCCGCTATATAAAATAGGAAATTGTTAAATGGTAGAATAGAATGATCCAGGCCTATCATACCTAGAGTGTTTAGTTGGTGAGGGCACCCTTAACGTCGGAGACGATGGAGCCAACAGCGGCGCCAAGGCTGCCGAGACCGAGGGTAGAGAGGAGGCCCTGGACAGCGCCATCAACCTTGATAAGAAGGACGGAAGCCTTGTCCTCGGCGTTGACAGCGATGAAGTCAGCACCGGGAATTTTGGGAATCTTGGACTTGAGCTCGGAAACGGAGGGGGCCTTGGCGATGATGTTTCCGATGGGGCCCTCGAGAGTAGCTAGGTCAAGACCACTGAGGAGACCGAGAACGCTGTGATCGAGCTGGACAACAAGGTCCTTGCCGCCAGCAAGGCCATTGACATCGGTGATGGAGACGACGTTCTCGAGGGAGTTGGAGCGCTTGAGGCTGCCAAGGATGTTCTCAACACCTCCAACGATGGAGCCGACAAGGTTACCGACTTCACCGAGACCGAGTTTGTGGAGCAGGTCAACAACAGGGGCGGTCAACTCAATCAGAACACCTTTGCCGTTGTCCAGGACTGCGGTAACCTTGGTAAGGCCGGAGCCGTTGTTGAGATCAAGCAGGTCGACGGAGTCGGCAGTCTGGATGACCTTACCGACGGGCTTCTCGAGGATATGGGTAGGCAGCTTGCTCATGATCTTCTCGAGCTCAGATTCAGCCTTCATCTTGAAATCGGAGGTTCCGGCCTGGTTGAGGATGCTCAGGACCTGGCCGGGGCCGGCGGAGCCCTGGGTCAGCTCGGGGGTCGCACCGGTGGGAATGGGCAGAGCAGATGAAGATGCCGGAGCGTCGGAGCAGGTAGGGATGAGAGATGCCACGGGCGAAGGAATTCCCGATGGCACAACGCCGGAAGGCAGGCATGAGGGAAGATCCGAGGGCAGAGTTCCAGTGGTGCCCGAAGCAATGTTGGCGGGCAGGGCCATGGCAGTAGATGCCAGAAGGGCGGCGAGGGCGAAAGACTTCATCTTGTCGATTAATGAGTGTATTTAATGCAAATGACTTTAGTGAAAAATGAATGGATGGTAAAAACCCTGATCAAGGAGTGACTTGCTGGTAAGGAATGACAAGATGGAAGTTCTTGGAGTTTAGACATCACAGCAAGACATTGCTTGTTATATACGAGAAGCGTTGTCAGGGGATCAGCATTGATCCTAGACCCTTTCACATGTCCATTGACGTCGTTGGACGCACTCCTGAACTAGTAGATAGCCTGGCGGAGAGGAGTCTGCGCACGTCACAGATGATTGCGATGGAGAATCGAGCGATGCCATTCTTGTTTCATCGGCCAACAATTAAACTTCACGCTGAGTGGCTACCGAGAGCGCCGTTGGATGGGATTGGGTCCGGCAAACAGCCTTAGTTCCACTATAAGCTTCCTAGGAGGTCAATCATCATTAATCACTTTGTAGATCATCCACTCGACTCTTCCCGTTGTAGAAATGGTCGGGGCGAAGTTTCCACGGAGTTCCCACTCCAACTGCCAGGATCAGGCAAAGACATGAATGACATCGTGGGCCCCAATGGTGAAACCCACCTCAATTTTGAGCTGGGAAGCCCCCTGTTCTAGAAGTCAAAGAACATCCGCAGTATAGGGGCTCATTTGCCACATGGTCTGCTCCAATGTGTAATGGCCCGCAATGGTGATCTGTCTCAATCCCCAATCCAACTACGATTGTGTTGGACGTCATGTAGGCAGCAAAGTCAGGCCGAAATCGGCACAGCTGGTACCGGGCTTTCCGGTTCGAATTGCCAATCATGAATTGTCTTCTGGGCTTGGGTCGCTCAAGATCTGCAGTTTATCCGCCCGAAAGATGTGAGAACAAGGTTGAACTCCACGAGGCAATGTCAACGCTGATTGCAATCTTAGCCCTCCACAGGGGGTGGAGATGTCAAATAGTCTGGTGGGTCAACACTTGTCGTTGCGGTGAGGTCTTTGTTCTGTGCATCTGGAAGATTTCAGGATCAAAAATGATGATGATGTCATTATTGCTTCTGTAGGGCTGGTGGAGGAGCCTCAGGGGGGGATTGACAGGGGTTACCATAGTGTGGGCATGTACATCATTATAGGAAGTACTCCGTACACCGCACAGTGTAAACAGACTCGTTATATTCTGGAGAAGGAATCCTAGTGTTGGATTGAATGTACTGCATCGACTATGTTAAGGAAGTGTTCAGGGGAAAACCTTGGAAGTCGAGGTCGTTTTTGTTTAGACCTCTACTGCGTCCGGGGACTTTCAGGGGTAAGCCCTTGGTGGAAAACTCTAGTGAACTCCATTTTGAAGGTTCAAAAGTAGTGGTTTCTCATTGTGGTTGAGTTTGTTGTCTTAGAGTGTGCGGCTTTCCAGTATGGCTCAAGTACTCCGTAGTCGGGAATAAATTATCCACAAAGTGCATCGTGAGACTGTAATAGAGCACTCATCACAAACAAAACGGGGTGGGGCTGATCGTCGAAGTTATATCGAAGAGGACGCAGTACAAACCTAATTCATACTTTCAAATGCTTCTGGTTGCGATTTTCAGGCCCCGGGTTAGCGGATATCTTTTTTGACTCTCTATAGTGCTACCACTATAAAATGAAGACATATTGTCCGTAGGCAGATTTTTGGCATCTTCAAATTGCTTGGGATAAAGCGGTGTCTGACGAAATATGCACTTCCAGGGATATGACTATTTTCATATCAACTCACTGATAGATATTGCTTAGCAAGCTAGGATAGACCATCCTCGTAGACCTATGAAACAAACATGCGTATTAATATCAAGCAATTAAGCTATCGTGAGCCCATCAATACAGCATTCAATCTAGTGATATATTTTGTTATATGTAGTGTGTTCCAAAAACAACATTGTACGGGTATGGCGGATCACCCATATATATATTCCACTATAGTTGAACACAATTCATGGATTCGCACGGTCATGCCTATTGGACTTGGTGGGCAAGTCACTTGATTTGCTCTGACTCGAATTGGATATCAGCAGCAGCCATAGTGCTTGCTATCTAGATTTCCGATGAAACCACCGGTGATTTCGATAACCACTGGTGATAAATAAGCCGTGGGGTATTTTGAGCATAAATATTCTCTCAAAAGAACTGCACACAGGGCTTTTGGCTTCTGTTGGATAAGTTTAAGACAGTCTGTTGATGGTCCATTTGAGACAGCAACAGAATCCCAACCCAGCCGGTCGGTGGATTTTATCCTCATCGACAACAACAATTTTATTCCAGAAAAAAAGAAGCTCCACAATGAAAATAGGATGGGTTTCAAACATGCCACAGTTCTGAGTGAACAAAAAAAGATAACAGGCCCGAGCCGCGGATTGAACGCGGGACCTCGCGCAATATTGCTCAGGTTTTGAATACCCTAAGCGCGAATCATACCACTAGACCACCCGGGCTGTTGTTGTGATATGTCATCAAGTTTATGCTACTTGTACCATTCTGAGAACAGCCATAAGTATCCCGTTCGCGGTGCCCATGTAGTACGAGAAAGATGCTTATTCCGACGTCTATTAAGACGAGATCCCGACCTATCCATTTCCCTAGCGAAGTGGCCACCCTCAAATGATTGAAAAGAAGCCTCTATCGAGCCACAATCAAATAGATGTATGATTACCCTGCCAAACATGGTATAACATGGAACAACATGGTTCGAAGTGAATTGGATCCCCTCGAAGATCACAAATTAGGCATAGTGCCATCAGATAAGAAAGTAGGCTTGGCTTGTTCCTGACTAGTCTAAAGTCAGCTCTCTAGTAAATAGGACGTTACTTTGAAGTCGAGTCCGAATTTACTGGTAGCAAATCACCTTTTTCATTATATAACTGAGCCAGAATGTCGAGATGGTTTCCTCTAGTCTCTGTATAGACACCAAACATCATTCCAAGATGTTTAAAGATTGGCTGTGAATACCGACCGCTTCAGTTGTCGGGATGATAAAAAGCTCTAGTGACTATTCTCTGGCAGTCTCGATACATATACACTCTACACCAAAACTATCTTTGATTTCGCCCCCATGGAATTGACAGTAGCCATCATCCCGAAATGTGGATGAGGTTGAGGAAGTTTATAACTATCTACCGAAGGTATGGACCCGTGAATGCTAATAGCCTGTATCTATATGACTTTGCACCAGGAACCATTGAGTTCTCTATGCTGCCTTTCATTCGTTTTATATCGCGCGGTTGTTGCCGGAGTGTACGGAGTACGCCTTCTCCAAATCCCCCTTTGAATTTCCCATAACTTCCAGCAATAAGCTGGAATTGAGTCGAGGTTACCTTCGGTGTCAAATATTTCAAATATAATTCAAATCTATGCATCAAAAGCCTGCATACCGGAGAACTGAATGTCCTGATTGACAGATAGCGGAAGTCCTGCCACAGGCGGGTGGGCTAGAGCCACAACGACTGCGGAAAGAACACATAGCTCATGAAGTCCAATCTTCACATTGGTTTTCTATAGCAAGAATTGCAAAACCGCAGCAGGAATAGGAGTTTTTGAGCAAAAGCCGTTGGAGGAAAGCCGGGGGATGACAGGTGAGGGGGTCAACAAGAGAGTGGGGGCTGACGCGGAGAACAATTCGCGAATGTGCGTCACACCTGTTTTGGACCATCTCCCTCTCAAGTGTTACGCTCTCCCTTTTCTTCCCAGCAAAATGCAACGCGCAGCACTCCGCGGGTTACCCAAAGCCTCAACTCTTCTTATCACCTTCGATGCATTCGGCACCCTCTTCCACCCCCGCATACCCGTCCCCGAGCAATACATTGCGACCGCGCATCAATTCGGGCTATCCCACCCTTCTATCACCCCAGATAACCTCAAACTTGCGTTCAAAGATACATATCGTGCCCAAGCGTGTCGATACCCAAATTACGGTCGGGCGGACGTACTCCAGGGCCAGTATGGCGGGCCGCGGCAGTGGTGGGAGGAGGTGATCAGGGGGAGTTTCACGCGTCTGTTGTCTCTGGAAAATGGCGCGACTTACCATGAAGAACCTGAGAGCCTAGGAGGGAACAACGAAGATCAGGTCAAGCTTCCTGCTGGCATGGTGGAAGCCTTATTGGACCAATTTGCTGGTCCCAAGGGATACGCGCTCTTTGACGACGTGCTCCCCTTCTTTCGCCGAGTGCGCAAACTAAAGACCGCAGAGAAATGGTCGTTCAATAGGGTTATCGTGGGTGTGGTATCTAACTCGGACGACCGTGTTCCCGCTGTGTTGAAATCGTTGGGCTTGACTGTTGGGGATATGCGCGCCGACCAGGACCGATCAAGTATGGACCTCCCTGGATTCGAGGAACGAAGCATCAAAAATAAGGATACCCAATCGCATAACAATAATCTTGAGGATCCCAACCGGGAGCTTGATATTGATATGGTGATCACGAGCTATGAAGCTGGCGAAGCGAAACCTCATCGTCTGATCTTCGATGTGGCCAGACGCCAGGCTCTAGAGGTTTCCCGTCCGTGGCTAACTCGGGAAACTAAATTCGTGTCTGTACATGTGGGAGATGATTATAAAGAGGACTATCGGGCTGCAAGGAACGCAGGCTGGGAGAGCTATATGATTCGAGAGTCTCCTCCTAGTATTGACGTTGACGTTGACGTGAAGTTCCTTCCGAGTCTCATGGACTTGGCTAAGAAATTGGAGAATTTTCCATAAAGCCGACTACCACAGACGGCAGATTTAAAGTTGAACTTCCGTCTATTTCAATTGTCGTCAAGTTATATCGAACCACCTGTTTGAAATACCATCGTGGCTCCTTGTTTCCTCAGGCATAGCCGTGATGCCCCAGAAAAACACTGAAACAGCATTCAGTTACCTGGGCTGATGATGTGTCTATGCTCTTCACGCCCTGAGCAAGCACTCCAGCATGAAGCTCTCATTCTGAACCAAAGCATATGGCTTACTTTCATTCAACCCAACCCACAACAGTGCTCGATGGTAGAGGGCCCCTACTTGGCTCACCAAGGGGTTTCCCAAAATGCCGCTTTTCGTTCGCAGCAGCACTCAAGGCCTAATCTTGTTCATGATCCCATGCTATTACTGGTTATGGCACATCCAATCTTTGAAATGATGGTATGTAGTAAATAGTGTTTTGGTATCAATTTAGAAGGGAGCTGGCTCTGGGGCAACCCTTCAAACATTTTGTTTCTGGTTTGATGTCACTCCCCTCATGTGTCTACATGTAGGTTTATCGACTGAAATGATCTGGTAGGAATGAATCTAGCCATGAACAGATACCGGACTCCTGGCAGACTAGACATGGATCTGTTGGAGATTTGCTTTCTTTAGAATTAATACAGCTACCTGCAAGACCATACACCGTACGGGGATACTTTTTGTTCACATATGGATATGTAATGTGATTCTCACTTTCTAACTTGATCAACTAGAACACGAGGAAATTGCAACAGACAATGTGAAGGAACCAAAACACAGTCAGTATCTATTCCGTTTCAATTCGGGTGTAAATTTGTGATCCAACAGGATGTCCACTTCTAGACAAATGACAGGGAGGCAAGAAACATCAGGGAGATCGCGGATTGCTACCAGCAATCATTCGCTGTAGAAACTCGGGTTCACACTCGGTTGTGCTCGACCAACCGTGGATGAGTTTGAATGTGTTGTTCTAAGGTTGTACCGGAGATCGCTGGGAAAGATATTAATACCAGGTTCGAAGCGCTCCACTTGACTGAGGAACAGCGTCTGATTATACGCTCCCAAAGCAGCGGGCTTACAACCAGCCTCTTGGATGTGACCAGGTGTCTACCCTGTACTGTGTAAGAGTGACGAATATGAGAGTTAAATCAAGAATCTTACCGGTAACATGTGGGAGTGATAGTCTGTCGTAACCAGATGATCCCGAACTGCCTACATGTAGGTATTCGAGGTATATTGGTCGTCGACGGTCACCATATCACTTGTAATTCCGCCAACAATATTCGAGGTTGAGAATTGTCATGTTGAGTAATGTGGATAAATCTAGAGGGTAGTCCGGTGCATTTGGATGGCAAGGTCGCAAGAAGCAACCTCGTAAATCGTGAAACTTGTTCCCACACGCGCTCCAGTCCATTTCAGATCTCTGGTTGGTATTCCGTGTTTTTCTTCGATTTCAAAGCGTACAGACACAAGGGAGCTATGACGTTATAGCTCATAATGAACTGGTTGATGATTGAACTCCAGATGTGTGGAAGGTGGTAATAGGGTAGGTATGTAATGCTGAAGCGTGCTACCTCTGTTGGAGCAAATATCGAACAGAATCGCCCGGTGATTAGGCGCCAGTTGTCTATCGTCACCTTGTTGACTCGGAGATTGTCTAGCGCCGTCCGGAACCGCTGTTCTGCTTGTCCTTGCTGTCGAGCTATCTCATCTAGCTCCACCGTCTGGTAAAAGTGCTTGCCTCATATCAACTCATCGATGGGCCAGGCCAACGTATGGTCATGATGCTGGTGTATTATGGCCCAGTGATGATGCGTGGTCAAAGTACCCTGAGAGCTGGGATACAAAAGTATGGCCATTCTGCCACGGGCGACGGGGATTTTGAGATCCCTTTCCTAAGGAAGCTAGAAAGATACGGAAGAAAAAGCGAAAACTGTCGCTATTCACTGGATAGCTGGAAACAGACAGAGAGGGGAAGGAAACATGGAGATAGAAAGAGGGTAGGAAGCTATTAGAGGCTTAGTTCAATTTGAGGCAATGACGTCACAAGCCCGTGACGCTAAGCTTTTGTTGTCCCTGCCCAATATGGACTAGCGCAAGGTGGAATGACCCCCTTCAGCCAATCGCCTCGACGAAGATCGCCAGAAAGACCCACACATATCTGGGTGCAATGCCCGGGCTCTCACATTCAGCCCACGGATTACAGGGTAGTAAATGGTAGGATTATAGGTCAACAAAATCTCATCCTTGAAAGAGCATTGATCTCGAAATTAGATGGCTTCTAGGAGATAGCCCCTCCAAGTGTTGCTGTGCCCCTTGAGGAACCAGTTGCCTAAACGGGCAGTGGCGTTTACCCGGATATCGCGGCTCCATTATCTTCGGCTTTACTAGAGCAACGTGCATGGGAATTGTGAGGCGGCTGATAAATTGCCTATCTAGGACTGAAGATTTCGTCATCTGGCTTTTGTTTTGCCTCTGATTGTTTTCTTTCGGTTTCTTTTGCTGTCATCTAGGTAAATGTGAGATTAAAGATTATGCAATATCTGTTCAGAATTTAGCGTGTGCTCTAAGACCCGAAGCTAACTACTATACGTGTACAATATTAGCTTAAAGATGTAGCAAACCACGCCTACTCAATCAGAAGGAACACAACCCCTATGTTCGTCTTGGTTGAGATACCCACTTGGCGCTTGCTCAATTGATTGTTCAGGCTCCTCGGACTGCGCTCTTGAGCAGATGGATGGGACTGATGTTCACATATATGCTTTTTACCTCCCTAAGTTACATACAATGCCTCTGTCTTTGTAGTGAGAGAGAACCCACTCCTCTTCTTTCTCCCCCTCTCTCTTCGTGACCCTCAATACTACCGTATTAGGAAACATTCTCTACGCCTCCATAGAAGCCAGGCAGCCCGGCACCATCCAATGCGACATCCATCGCGAATGCTCAAAATAGTCGGTCCCGCCCACTTAAATGCCTCAGATCTACAATCGACCAATCACCATTCTTGCTCCCCGCAGACTGGACAATTGCCGGCGGACACGCGCGGAAGCAAACCCGCGCTTTAAAACCCGAGATGCGCCTCGAACTCCGATCTTCTCGAATTGTGAGATTACCTTTCACGGATTCGCGAACACATCCAGCTTTCTTTCTTCGCACATTCATCCCAGCAGATTTGCAACCCCACACAGAGGACCCACTCGCCCTCAACATTCAAGATGGCAGAAATTCAAAAGCCACAGGGATCTGTTGTGATCCTTGGAGCTGGAACTCAAGGTAGACGTCTGGCGCACATGGTGAGTGGTGATATCAAATCGCCTAATTCAGGCCAGTCGTCAATACTAACTTCTTGAAGTGGTCAAGCCGCGGTGGTACTGTCCGTCTGGTAGATCTCCAAGAACAACAGCTCCAAGATGGTCTGAAGTACGTGGATCAACTTCGTGCCGATACAAAGGATCACGATGGCAACTGGGGAAAGATTGAGACTTCCCACCCCGATCAGCTGCAGTCTACGCTGCAGGATGCGTGGCTCGTTGTTGAGGTATGACCCAATGACCCCGTCGCCCTCGCGACCAAATTATTGACAACCCCCGCAAACAGTGTGTTCCTGAGAACTTGAAGTTGAAGCAGAAGATCATCACCCAGCTTGACGATCTCGCCCCTGAAGGCACTATCATTGCTTCGAACTCCAGCAGTTACGGAATCTTTGAAATCATTGAGAGTTTGACCTTGAAGAGCAAGAAGAGAGTTATGAGCGCACACTGCTGTATGTCATCGTCTCGTGCTTTATGGAATGTTTTGCTAACAGGTTGCAACAGACTGGCCTCCCGAGACTTCAGGTAATTTTTGTCCCGATTTTCAATTTCAACCATCTCTTTTTTTATATACTAACTCAAACCCCAGCGATTGAAATTATGGGCCACAAGGATAGCGATCCCGCCCTAGTTGAGCTCGTGTTGGCGCAGTGCAAAGAGCACGGATTCTCCCCCTTCCATGTCAAGCAAGACTCCATCGGCTACATTTACAACCGGTAAGTTATTCGCGTTTTCTGCTACCAGGCAGTGATACTTATCTATATTCCCAGAATCTGGGCTGCTATCAAACGAGAGACTCTCCTCGCATTGTCCGAGGGTGTTGCCTCACCCAGTGAGATCGATGCTATCTTCAAGGACGTCCTGAAGACCCCCAAGGGTCCATGTGAGCAGATGGACGTCGTCGGTTTGGACGTTGTGTTGGACATTGAGAACCACTACGCGGATGCCCGCACTGGACTTCCCACTGAGCCGCGCGAATACCTTAAGAAGATGATCCAGGGTGGAAGCCTGGGCGTCAAGAATGGCCAAGGCTTCTACGGCTATGATCAGGAGAAGAAGTGAATATCCTGATTGAATATATATTGAAATCATGACTGTATCCACATAGTATTGAGCGCTCTTTAAAGAAAACAAACTATTTCTATGCTCATATATTCCAGAGATAACTCGCGTTTCAACATGTCTTAGCCAATGACAGATTAGATCTCTTTAGCGCAAAGTTGACGTGCACATCCTGCAGCCAGGTAAGCCAGTAGCGTATTTTCTGCTAGCGCTGACATGTTACCGACATTCCTTCGAATCACAATCGCGGCATCTCATGCATTAGCGTTCAGCGAACATGGGCGCATATCGAAAGACTAGCAGTATCGAAAGATTTCTGGATATATTGGGTTTTGATATATTGGGTTTTCATGACAATATTGACACTGACTACAAGCTTGGTTTGGTTCTTCTGTCTCAATGGGGGGAGTGTCACTCGTGTTGCTGCAAGGTCCCTTGGAGGTCCTGTTCGGCGGTCGATATATGCATTCCATGTGTTGGGAACGAGTCTTATTCCTAATAACGAAGATCACTGCCATCACCAGCGAATCAGCGATCTGATCCACCTGGTCCCACAGCATCATTGGTCTAGTGGTAGAATTCGTCGTTGCCATCGACGAGGCCCGTGTTCGATTCACGGATGATGCACATTTCTTTTTGCTTTTTGAATCTGATTCAGTGACTTGAAGTATTTTTGTTGGAAACTCCAGTATGAGAAAAAGGCATCGGTTGGTGGCAAGACGAGAGAGAATAAGAATTTAACTACACTACGAGCGGAGCTTCAAGTTCTAATGGCAAGACAACAGTGGGTAGGTGGGCTCAACTACGACGTAAAAGCTGAGCTCATCTATGATCTACTTTCGAGCCACTTCCGGTGGATCCGTAGTTGAGGTCTACTCGGAAAACATTTGTAAGCAGTATTGATGTGACGAAGAAAATAATATTATGGTAAAATTAAATGCATTCGTAATACATTAACCCTATCTACCTTATACTTATTGTTTTATCATAGTTAGTAAAATTAAATGCATTCGTAATGCATTAACCCTATCTATCTTACACCTATTATTCACTATAATTAGTAAAGATACATTCATTCATAATGCATTAAGGATATTACTAGGTTGCCTTATACACCCGAGCTCTAAAACAGTAGGCAGTGGTAGGACCTCTATGCATATCATGATCAAATGAAAGATCATAACGGAAGTCCATAGGGGTAATAGGTTAAGAACCTATTACTAATCACTCTGGCTTAGGAATTAATTACTTCATACATAATATTACATGCTTCCTGTCATGTGATTGTAATCTAATTAATTTTGCCCCACTTTTGGGGTGGGTCGTAGGTGAGGTCAGCTTTTGCATCGTAGTTGAGCCCACCTGCGACCTGCAAGACCAAGTCTAAGATTATCAGTCTCATGTTTTCCGTGGTTTTCATTCAGATGGACTCACATGAATTGAGTATTTCCCCAATTTAACATTGTTGGGTGGCGTTCGTAGCCATCGTCAAATATGTAGTAAGGTGATAGAAGGTGGTGCAAGATCACAGGGGAGACAAGACAGACAAAGAGACCTTGGACATGGGCATCGTTGTGGAGTTGCTAAGGCTGATTGAAATCGTTGGTCTTCTGCGACTGTCTCAGGAGTCTCACGTTGCAAACCGATGACCCGATTCACATGGCAATATCCGTATCCTCCCTTTGATAGCGTTGGGCTTTCCAGGTATTCGTACTTTAGCAGCCGCCAGGAAGTGTTGAAAACTGGCAGTGTCAAGATGCCGTTTTATCGGATAGTTACTGGGCTCATTGGAAGGCACAATCACGGATGTTTCCCCTCGGAATCGAACTCCCAAGTTAACAGCGTGTATAGAACGTCTGATGTGACAGGCGAAAGGACATGGTGGCGGCGTCATGCATGAGCCTCACATTTTTGAGATTTCACAACACTTTCCCGCTCGTCGGATGAATTCTTCCTCTTGTTCGCCAGGCAGGCATATGGTATCTCACGAGGTGGTTACGTCGTCGTGGCTATGTACCCTGGTGTGAGGCGATCTGTCGTGTCTCCTCCTTGTCATGTGTTGTGAATGTTGTGGGATCATTATGTTCGACTCCTTAGCTTCTTCTGGCACCATATTGTAAGACAGAGCTGCTGCACGTAGGGCAGCGTGCTTTCATCAAGCTTTTTCTTGCGCGGTCCAATCGGTGGGAGGCGATGAGGTATGAGGGGGATCTGAGGAGAAGAAGCGAGAAAAGGAAACCTCGGCAGTCAAATGAGCGAGTCAAACGCCAGAGTTCCCAGTCACTGCAGCCTAGAAGAAGTACAACGTCGACTTCCCATGGTCCTACGAGTCACTACGCAAAGTGAACAATCGAAACGTTTGAATATTTAGTGGATTCATCATCAACAATACGCCTAATTTCCAAGGTACCGACCTATTTGACCCGACACCGGGGAATCATATCCTATCCCATCGTATCAAAACATTAAAACAACAACTCCAAGCCCATGCACAAAGCACAACAATGAAAGTATCTTCAACCACCCACTCAATCCCACTGACCCTTATCCAACGCACCCAATCCGCCACCAGTGTGCTTCCCCAGCAACTTTGAGATATTGGATCCACTGCTGCGCTGCTTGATACGGAGTTCCTTCTCACGTTCGCGCTCACGCGCAGCAGTATACGAGTTGACAGCACCGCCCTTCTTCGGACCGGACGCTGCAGCTTTGGAAACGCGGCTAGAAGTGCTCGAACTACTAGACGATGAAGAACCAGTGGTAACACGACGCAGGAGCTGTGGAGGGCGGAAACCGATAGGGCCTTCGCTGCCGCCGCCATTGTAGAAGGCGAGCTTGGAGTTTGCAGAGCCAGTGGTTGATGTGGCGGAGTTCGAAGATGCTCGGCGGAGAAGGGCGAGACGGTCGACAACAACTCCACGTGTGCGTCGGGGGTTACTAGGTTTGGCGAAGGTGGTGTCTGGTTGGGGTTGCTCGTCCTCGTCTTGGAAAGATTCCGCGCCGGATTCTTCTTGCTCTTCTTGATCCTGTTCGTCCTCATCGAGAGAAGCGTCGTCTTGGAACGATTCGTATTCGGGGGTTTCGGTGAGGAAGGAGAGTGTTTCACGAATCTCGGCTAGAGTGGCTGGCTTCTTGGACATAGCACTGGTACGAGTGCGACGGAGGTGTGGTGGGGGACGGTTGGCAGCATCTTCAGCTGATGGTTCGAGGGGACGCTTGCGTTTCTGAACGTCGTCCGTATCGTTTGACTGTTCCTGTTGGACAGCATCTTGTGAAGCTTCTCCGTTGGAGCCACCCTCTTCTTCTTCGAGGAAATCGAGGTTGAAGTCATCATCCATTTCTCGATCTTCGACAGCCTTGAAGAAAGCTGCCTTCTTAGGGTTCTCTGCAATCTCGCCGATTTTCTCGTCTGCAAGGAGAGCGCGACGCATTTTAGCGAACTCGCGTTGCTTCTCGCGACGACGTGCGATGTGCTCATCGTCTGAATCGTCGAGATCAAAGTCATCATCTGCATTCTTGCGACGACGAAGGGCTCCAGTAGTGATGTCTCTCATGAGCTTGGCGACATCTTTCTCATCGCGGTTGCGATCGTGGACACTGTGGATATATTAGCATTATGACATTCAAGATAAACCAAGTTTGAACATACGCATTGAGTGCAGCGAGTTGCTTCTCATCAACCACCTCGCCACTGTTGTCATTGATCATCTGGCGATCGATGGCATTTTCTTCACCATCACTCTCGTCGCTATTGCCTCCAAGGCCGGCATATTCATCCTCGGATTCTTCGGCGGCCTCGTCAACAATGTCCTTCGCTTTGCTGTTTTGCTTGTTATATTGTGGGGCTGGGTTCTTCTTCGCGGCCTTGGCCTTCTTCATGACATTGAAGGCGTTGGCATTGATTTCAAAGTCACCCTCATTATCATCCTCCTCAACTTGGCTAAGTTCAAGTGCACGTCCTCTCCGTAGCATCTTGCGTCTGCGGTCAGCGACGGGCGACTGGGCTTTGCCCACAAGGACGGTATCGACAGTAGACATTGGCGGGGTGTCCCTGAACCTCTTGGCAGGATCGAATGGTGAGAAGACAAAGCCCTCATCTTGGGTTGGATCGGGGAGTTCCGACTGGGAGTACTCCGAGAAGGCGTATGGGGCAGGCGACTCGGATACTCGAGTAACACTCTGCGTGCAGACCTCCATGAAGTCCTTCTCATTAGGCTGGGGCTGACTATCTGGGACAAGGACCTCTGAATCTTCTTTGCGAAGTTGAGGAACAGGACGACCAGGATCGGGGAGAGAGAAAGGAATTGTGGAAGACCCCAGTTGGCTTCCCACGCCATTTTCATCCAATGTGGAGGCAAATGCTTGGGTAAGACCTAAGGACATATCGCCCGGCGTTCCCATCCCGGGGAATTTGGGTCGTTCGGCCGACTGTGGAACAAAGCTCGATGCTCTCATGGGCGTTGAGGGTGGTTGCGGTTGATCTTCATCTTCGTCGTCACTAACCACTCGAGTTGGTCGCTTTCGTCGCGGAGCAGGGACTTCTTCCTCTGCATCTGAAGGGGCGGCTTCACTCTCGTCATCAGCCGAATCATCGTCCTCATCAGCCTCATTTTCGACCAAGTCCCCATCCCTGTCGACTCGTTCTTCGTCTTCCTCCTCCTCTTCATCGTCTTCGTCGTCGCCTTCACCATAGCCCTCCTGATCAGAGCCGGAAAGCTCGAAGTCTTGATCCTCGTCGTCGTCTTCATCGCCGTTGCTTTTCTTCCTAGCAGCTTTCTCCAGTCGGCGGATCTCATCTGCCTCTTTGCGTGCTTTATCAACAAGGTTTTCCATGTCGTCCTCCATTGCTGCACGCTCTTCGGCTGTTTCAATGACAACTCCCTTGGCCCTCAGCTCTTCGATGCGCTCCCGGCGTTCTTTCGCAGCCTGCTGCCGAGCCCGCCACAATAGATCCGCAGAGAGCTCTGCAGAGTTCATAGACGCCATTTTGCGACTGGGAGATGTGAGGTGGGCCAACGCCTTGAGCTTGGTCATAGCGGGATCCTCCTGCATTTGTCTAGAGGGGAGGTTTTCAAACGCTGCGATTCGACGGCACTTTCCAGGAGAGGTGACGACCTCAAGATCGCTATCTGAGTCATCTGAGCTTCTCTGATGCGCAGCAACCTGTTGTCTGGAGAGCAGAACCCGGATAGCTGGTTGAGTCAATGGACGATGGACTTTCTTTGATTTTGCACTCTCGCTCTTAGGCTCGGGTACAGGAGTCGGGTCATCCTCAACTGCAGGCCAATTGGACACGTCAGTGCTCTCTTTTGGGGCTAGGAGATCTGTAGGATCAATCAGGTCATCGCCATCGTCATCCATGTCCATATCTACATCAGCCACTTGCTTCTCGGAAGCAGTATTTGGCTTGGGGATATCAGCTTGTCCGAGAACAGGAGAAGTATGCGGGGTATCTTTGGTTTGGGTGCGTGGTTCTCCTTCGGACGAATTTTGTGAGCCGACTGTTGACGATACATTTGCTGCGGGCTGTTCGGCAGGTGAATCGGGTTGCATGAAGTTGAATCGGGCGAAGAGGCTTTCCTTGGTAATCTTCTTCTTTGTCTTGGCCTGGTGGGCAAGCTGCATATTGCGACTCATTCGCTGTGTCTCTTGTCGCATCTCTTCCAGCGCCTTCTTGCTGGCTTTCCGTGGTTGACGAGGCTTTTGTGAAAGCTTGCTTGCAATATGCGGATCTTCAGCACCGCTTTCCTCGCCCGAGAGCATTTCTGAGCTGAATTGCTGCATCTGAGCTCTTCTGGCGGCCTTCTTCTCTTCATCGGCTTTCTCTCGCTCCTCGCGCTCTTTGCGCTTTTGAGCGACAAGAGCCATGAAACGGGCATTTCCTTTGGGCTTCTCGGCGGTATCACTTTCCGCATCTTGCATTTCATTGTCTGTATTCTCGTTCGGCTCGCCTGGAGAGGATACGAAAAGTGGAGAGTCTGCTCTTGAACGGGACGGGGTTTGGCTAGATCTGTTATCGGATTTCGGCGAGTCGGAAGTAGTGTTGTTCATTTTTCTGCGGCCAGCCGTAGGTAGGTCATCATCACTAGACTCGTCATTGGGTGTGGGTTCAGCTTCTGTCTGCTGAGGCTTCTCTGCCTCCTCTCTCTCCGACCGGAGGGCTTTGGACACGCGAGCAAATGCAGAATCTCCATCCTTAGATTCAGCTGATTTGACATTGCCCTGCAGCCTAGCGGCCATTCGACCTTTGGGTCGGATAACCTCATCCGCACTGTCTGAGTCGTCTTCTGAATCGTGGGATGGGGCATTCTCGCGTGTCTTAGTGGTCAAGGCTGCATCACGACCGAGATTCAGTTTGGATACAGCACTTGCTGATTTCGCGACTTGGGTGTCCTCTTCTGAATCGCTATCGAATTGAGCCATAATGGCCTTGATCTTCTGGCCGGGTGTAATAATGTTCGGCGAACCGCCCGCGGGCGACGCGGAGCGCGTCGACCGTGGTGTAGATGGAGAGGACATATTGTGAGTATTTTCGTAAATTAAGGTAGTTATCGGGGAAATATGTTCATAATGTGTTCAATCAATCCAGTGGGCCGGTCTGAGACTTCCAAGGCCGGAACAAATTCAAGTGGACGCCGGGTTCAAGGGCGTATAATCTCAACGCGATGCGCGTTCCTCGCGTTGCTCGGCCCACACGTGACCTTATCTTATCGCCACCTTAAGGGGTTTGCAGCATTTGCATGTGTTAAATGCCTTAGGCAGAAAGTAGAAACCTAATGCCTGCGACTGTCTTTCGCGAAGAGCCTAGGCCTTTGCAACTGCTCAACCGGTGTCGAGAGCGGTCCGAAGCCAGGCATATTCGGCAACAAATGAGATTTCAATTGAAACTGAATGCATGTATCAATGCAGGTCAGAAAATCCTAATCAGTGTTCCCTAGCAATATATCTCAAAACAAGAGCCAAATTCTTTGAATTCATGGCTGAAACAATCTACCGATGGCTTATCTGGACAGTTGGCAACGCGTCCAAATTCTCTCGATATATAGTTCAAAATCCTCCAAAGTATGTATTTATATCGAAGAAATATCCTTCGATTAATGTTATTGACATACATTAATAAGAATTTCATTCCTGGAATATGTAGTAAAACCACCTATTAGCTTTCCCTCTTGCCTCTATAATATAATGTGAAGAAGCAAAAAAAAGAGACACTTGCGCACAGACACTAAGGCGTGGAGGCGAATCTTGATTTCGGAAGTCGGAGAATTTCCCGTTTCACGTCTAACGGCGGACTATATCGTACAACCTACAACCTACAATGTACAACGGTGTAGGCAACTGCAATTCCATTCTACTCTGAGGTAGACATTCAAGAATATCATAATGTAACATTCTCGAGGCAATACCTTGAATTCAGACCATGATATCGGAATCATGACCTGTGTGGCTGAACTCTCCACCCAAATAGATTAAAATGATCTCATGCGGCCGAGACTCCAGGGCCTTGCGCTCGTACCTCTCCGTCTGACAGGGACCTACTCCCAACTGTGAGCCTGTTTTACATGTTCTCATAGTTCTTGCGGGTTTTCCTGAATACCCAGATAGTTACACAGATATCGTAGGTGGTTCGTGAAAAGCGTCATTCGTGTAAACATATAGTAGTCGAACAAGATGTATAGCGCATATGCTACGAGGTATCCGCTGCTTATGTGGAGAAACAAACATATATTAGGTTGTTATATTGTCACACTGTTCAAGAGGTTTCATATAAACCCTGATGTAATGATGATTCAACTTGCATTGGATGCTGCAAGTCTAGGGCTGGCGAATCCTTTTTGTCTTCTATTTTCCGGGCCTGACAGGAAATAACAGCCCGTGGAGGCAAATTGACAGTGAAAACTGTGATTTATGGTCTTTTGATAGATCTGATTCGTGAACCCACCTTTTCCCACGTTTGACGTAGCGTGGCTTCGGAGAGCATCCATGGATCACATACTTTGACATCTGGCCAGTAACGATTCTCTTAGCATTGTGAATAGTCTGCAATGTATAACATAGGGATTCGACGCGTGTACACCAGGACAGGAACATGAAGGCGCTATTAGATCGTGAAGAAGATGCCGTCATTTGTGCACCAGGCATCTATAACATCAGCAGCTCGAGCAATGGGCGTCTCATTTGCAGAATATCGGTGTCCCCGTGTGTTACAGTCCAGATCCATTCTATGTAGATTGTATAAGCAGCACAGAGATCCAATTCCACCTTCTTGCTACATCCCAAAGTAGCCACATTCGTCTCAACAATCCCAGTCCTGGCACTCTGATTTGCGTGTCCATCATGCAAGACTCTTTGGATCAACAATTTCCCAGATATACCTCCACCCGAGGGGCCATCTAATTGATCCACTCCATGATGCCGATGATGCTGCTAGCCGCCCTACCATACTCCAGCCACTGCACCATGCACCCTACGTTGTATAGATTAACTCTATGACGATCCACCCAAGCAGGGATCAGAAGCCAAAATGATAATGGCCAAAAAGCTCTTATGATATCAATGGACTATGACGTAGTGGTCTCTACCGGCATCGTGCCTGGTTACGATCCCTATATAGAGCGTTATGATGGTGGACTGCTTCGATGATATCAGAATCTCTGAACTACTCATATAAAAGCTTGAACCCTCGAACCCCTCTGGAAGTTCCCGAGATTATTACTTTTATTATTCAAACTTGTGTTATTTCTATCTAGAAACTACCTACCACCTACCTACCCTAATCCCGGACCTCAGTCTATCACCGGGACTTGTACAATATCATTTCATTGACATACGTGTTTACGAAGTATACGTCGCAACTTTTGACGAAACCAGGCGCATTGATTCCCAATTTGCAATTCAAACAAACTTTGATTTCATCTCAACACACAACATCCAAACCAACGAACGCAAACCAAAACCACAATGTCCTCCCCGGCCGTGAGCAGAGCACCCCCAAAGTTGGGCTCCAAGGCCGGAACCCCCGCCAAAGCCCGCAAAGGGTCTGGGTCCAGCGCAGCCAGCAAGCCCAGCGCCCCAGCAAGCCCCAAGTCCACAAGGAAGGTCACATCTCGCAAACTTTCCCAAAAGACCCCTGAGCCAATCGAAGACGATATCGAAGAACAGTCAATCCCAGAGACCCCCTCTCCGAAATCGAAGAAGAGATCCGAGCAGCGCCGCCCAATCTCCCCACCCGACGACGCTGCCTCCCAGGCTCCATCCGCCTCCGGCTCCGCTGCCCCTCTCGGTCGTGCTGCATCCGGTGTCGCTGGTAAGGCTAAGGGCCTTGCTGGCCAGACCAAGGAGAGTGCTCAACAGACCTCGGAAACCGTTCAGGATGGGGCTAAGTCTGCTACCAAGACTGCTACCGATAAGCTGCCTGTGCCGCTCGACCTCTCTGCATTGAAGGGGCTTGAGATCGCCGAGGGTGGAAATATCATGGGCCAGGATGGAAACCCCATTGGCAAGGTTGTGGAGGGAGATCCTGAAGATCTCGTTGGACAGATTGTCGGCGATGACGGGGAGATTGTCGATGAGGACGGCGACCTGATTGGTCGCGTCGATATCCTGCATGAGGTCGCCGACCAGGCTAAAGGTGCCGCCGACGAAGCCCAATCTAACGTCGGCAACGTTGATGTCGATAATCCCGTTACGGATATCGCTCAGCTTGAAGGTCTCCCTGTGTCTGATGGCGGTGTTATTAAGGACGCTGCTGGTCAAATTGTTGGCCGCATTGTTGAAGGTGACCCAGAAGATCTTATTGGGTATACCCTCAACGATGATGGTGAGATCGTCGATGAAGAAGGGGATGCCATTGGCCGTGTCGACTTGATTCCTGTTGAGGAGCAAAAGAAGGCCATTGGGGAGACCGCTGGTGATGTCACTGAGAAAGTTGACGACGCCAAGGATGATGTCGAGGATCAGTATGAAGATGCTGATGATGGTCTTTCAACCGTTCAGGCTAAGAGCACCGTCAATGGTGTCGCTGATGAGGTGGAGGACGATGTCTCCGATGTGGAAGGAACTGTCGACCAGGCCAAGTCTACCGGACAAGATGCTGCCTCTGATGCCGAAGACGCCACCGATGAGGTCGACGATGCCAAGCACACCGCTAAAGACAGCAAAATTAACCTCGAAGACAATGTTGAAGGCGCCAAGGGCAATACCGAAAAGATGACCGAAGGCGTCGAGGATACCACAGGAGATGCCAAGGACTCAGTCGACAACACCGCCGAAGACGCCCAGGATGACCTTGACGACAACCTTAAGGGCGGCAAAGACAAAGCCGAAGAGGCCAAAGACACTGTCGGGGATCCTGTTGAAGACGCCCAGGATGATCTTGACGACGACCTTGAGGGCGCCAAAGACAAAGCCGAAGAGGCAAAAGACACTGTCGGGGACCCTGTTGAAGACGCCCAGGATGATCTTGACGACGACCTTGAGGGCGCCAAAGACAAAGCCGAAGAGGCAAAAGACACTGTCGGGGACCCTGCTGAAAACGCCCAGGATGATCTTGACGACAACCTCGAGGGCACTAAAGACAAAGCCGAAGAGGCCAAAGACAGTCTCGGCGAGGCTGCTGGGGACACCCAGGATGATCTTGACGATAGCCTCGAAGGGGCTCAGGATACTGCTGAAAATGCCAAGGAGAATGTCGGCGACGCCGCGGAAGACGCCCAGGAGACAGCCGAGGATGCTGCCGATGATGTCGAGCAACGCCTCCCCAGCGTCAGCACTCTCGAGGGCATGGTCTGCAACAAGCGTGGCTACATCATCGACAAAGCCACCGGCAAGCCTGTTGGTGAACTTATCGAAGGTGATCCCAAGAAACTGGCCAAACTCGGCTCCACCCTCGATGACCAGGGCCAGTTCTGGGACAACCGCGGTAACGTGATCGGCAAAGCGAAGGCCCTCCCCGTTGAAGAGGATGATGATGAGGAGGGTCCCTTCTCCGGTCTAGAAGGCCTTGTCGTCGGCGAAGACGGCTTTGTCGAAGACGAGAACTCCAACCGAGTCGGCCGCCTGGTCGAAGGTGACGCGAAGAAACTGAGCGGCCGTGGCGTTGACGAGGATGGTGAAATCCTCGACCGAAAGGGTAACGTTATTGGTCGTGCCGAGCGTCTCGAACCCGAGGAGGAAGAGCCCGAGGAGGAAGAGGCTGGACCTGATTTCTCTGCTATCAACGGCCGCTTCTGCAACAAAGCTGGCTACGTCATCGGACCCGAGGGATTCCCGATCGCCCGTGTCGTCGAGGGTAATCCCAAAGAGCTTGCTGGAAAGAAGATTGAGGATGGCGAGATCTACGACGGCAAGAAGCTTGTCGGTCGTGTTGAGCTCATTCCTGATGATGAACTAGAGAGCAAGCCTGAAGGTCCGTTCGCTGGCATGGAGAGCCTGTTTGTGACCAAGGATGGATTCGTTGAGGATGACGAAGGATCCATCGTTGGTAAGCTTGTCGAAGGTGATGCCAAGAAGCTTCGTGGTCGTGCTGTCGATGAGGACGGCGAGATCACCGACAAGTACGGCAATGTCAAGGGCCGTGCTGAGCCCTATGAGCCCCCCGAGGAGGAGGCCCCCGCCGAGGAAGACTTGTCTATCCTTGAGGGTAAGGTTGTCAACAAGTCTGGCAATGTGGTTGATCCTGCTACTGGTGCTGTCGTCGGACGCATTGTCGAAGGCGATAAGCGCCTTGCTGGACGCAAGGTTGACGGCAAAGGCCAGATCTGGGGTGACAATGGGCAGATTATCGGCCGCGCCGAGCTGATTCCCGGTGCCGAGCAGAGCAAGGCCGAAGGGCCATTCTACGGTTTCGACAACGCTGTTATTGGCAAGGATGGTGTCGTTCAGGACGGCGAGAAGATCATCGGACGTTTGATCGAAGGCGACGCGAAGCGTCTTCTAGGCCGCAAGGTCGATGAGGATGGTGATGTTGTCGACAAGAACGGCAACACAATCGGCAAGGCTGAGCGTTGGGAGCCCGAGGAAAAGAAGCGCGATGTCAACCCCATGTCTGGCCGCAAGATCACCAAGGAGGGAGAAGTTCGCGATACGGACGGAAACCTCATTGGCAAGCTGACTGCGGGCAACCTGGCCACACTGGTTGGCAAGACTGTTGACGACAACGGCTATGTTGTTGATAACGACGGCAACAAGATCGGCGAGTGTACATTGCTTGAGAACATCCCCGAGCCTGAGCCTGAGCCCGAGCCCGAGGAGGAGGAAGAGGAGGGTCCCACCCCGGAAGAGCAGGAGGCAGCCGCAAAGGCCGAGTCAGACCGCCAGCTCGCCGAGAAGATGGTGTCCATCCTCAAGCAGACTCTTGACCGAGTCAAGCCTGTCTGCAAGCAGATCGAGGAGGTAAGTTTCATCCAGATTTTGATATTGAACCTTTGTAGCAGGAACGCTAACCCAAATCCAGGCCTGCGAGAAAGCCGACCGCACTCCGAAGGAAGAGCTTGATGAGGAGAAGCTCGTTCAAACTGTCAAGCCGCTTCTCGAAGAAGGCGGCCGCATTCTGCAAGAGTGCAATGGAGCCATCCGCGCACTCGACCCTGACGGGCGCATCGCCGCGACCGCCAAGGCGCGCGCTGCCTCTCGTGATGCCACGCCTGAGGAGTATCAGCTTGCCGACTTGATCAAGGAGCTCACAGAGACAGTCATGAAGACTATTGATAACGGCAAGAAGCGCATTGCTGACATGCCCCATGCCAAGAAGAAGCTGAACCCTCTTTGGGGACTGCTCTCTGAGCCACTCTTCCAGATCATTGCTGCCGTTGGCTTGTTGCTCAATGGTGTGCTCGGATTGGTTGGTCGTTTGCTTGATGGTCTTGGTCTTGGTGGATTGTTGAATGGTCTGCTTGGCAGTCTCGGATTGGACAGGTTGATTGATGGACTTGGTCTCGGCAGCTTGACTGATGCTCTGGGCCTGGGCGGGAAGAAATGAAAAGTTGCTGAACGAATTCGGGTTGAGCTTCTCGTTGGCGGTGCGTTTGTGATATTATCTGTTTCGCTCATGTTGCCAGCGTTGATTGGTTTGGCTTTGGTGTTTTTTGTATTTTCATAATATCCTGTATGCATTATGATTGACTTCTCGAGAAGAGAGAGTAATGAACTTAAGCTTGGATTCTTTTCATCTATTCACAAAATATTAATAATCTCATAAGTACAGACATGCAGGGTAAAATTTCCATGCTTGGTTTTCATCAAATACCATTCCTCCTCATGTTTTATTCGTCAAGACTTGCCACATCAACCAAGATAATGATTTGACAAGATATGTATGTAGAAAGGATGGACATGTTCATAATTACAATGGGTAGAACGTTGAAACAAAGATGCACCGCCTGGAGCGTTTTTGTGGCAACGCAGATGACTGGGCGATCTAGTTAGACAAGTGTCGACCAGGAAATTCTCGTAAATACAGGATGGCATAGCGAATACTAATTCAATGGATCTTGGAGGCGTCAGTCGAAGCGCGAGTCTCATCTATGAGGGATGATTCACCGAGAGTGCGATAAGCTCTGTCTCTCGCAGCAGACTTGTCCTTTCGGATTGTAAGGCAGTTGATGCCGAGGAAAGTCGTAATACGGTTAATGACAAGCACAGCCCAGTGCATATAGATGACCAGTGCGAACACAAAGTACAAACGGAGGTACAACAGTTCTAGCCACGGGGCAATGACCGGGAAGCCGATCATAGGCAGGTTGACGAGAACCGCACCACCAATGAGGGGAGCCTGCAGCACAGTCCAGTAAGGGAAAGGCTGTCTCAGAAGGTGGGCCAGGATGATCATAGTAGTCATGCGACCAAAGACGAATGCAATGACCCAGCAGAAGAGGACCAGGTGGTTGCCAGAAAGGACGGTCGAATAAGGCGAAAACAGCCAAGCCATGTTGCAGCCAGTGAAGACGATCATAGGAACCCACTCCTTGAGCAGCGGGGTAAACGGTAGACCCTGCTTCTTGCGGGCAGCAGCCACGTTGAGAACGCATCCGGGGAGATGGCCGAGGAGGAAACCACCCAAAAGAATCGGCACCCAGAGGTCCTTCATGGAATTGTTGCCGAATATTTGGGGATAGTTCAGGAACCCAACAATGGGCTGGGACCAGATTCCGGGGCCCCAAATGCCGGAAGCAAGCATGATACTAATGGCGATGATGAGGCCCTCAGTTGGGCCATTGAAGTAGCCGAGATAGAGCGTGTGGGTGTGGAATGTTTCCCAAGTCGAGAAATACATGGCCAAACACGGAACAATTGCGGTCCAAGCACCAAGTTCTGAGGAGCCAAAGCCCATTGCGGCTGTTTCAAGCAAGCTGGCAAGAGTGCAGTTCAGAGAGTCGATACCGTGACTGTGTACCTGATTAGTGAGCCATCCACAGCTGGTCATAGAGTGGTACAAACTCAAAAAGTTCTCCGAGTCCGCTAGATGTGCCAGTTCGGCGTGCCTGTTTACCATCGACATTGTCGAGGGTGGAATACCTTGTTCATGTCAGCTGTGATCAGATGGAAAATAAGTGGTAGTTTGTACTTACATCCACATGCCAAGAGCAAAACTGAAGTAAATCCAAGAGGGGCCCTGGATCGAATCTCTGGTTAACTCGCCACACCGGATAAACAAGGAACAAGCTCGTTCACTCACGGGTCCCACCATATCCTCGACGAAAATCTCGATAATAAAGACATTGGCCACAATCCACATGAACCCAAGGAGCGTCACCATGTTCGGGGCCATCCACATCGGGACGAGCTCGACGAAGGCATTCCACTAAGGATAGCACAGGTCAACGATATGTACTGAGATTATGCGATTCAAAAGAGCCATCATACGTAGTGTTTCAAGATATACCGAGAAATGAACGACTTGTCGACACTGGAGTACTTGTAGGTCTTAAGGGGTAGGAGGGCATCGTCGGAAAGAGAATCTTGGGTCTCTATGAGATTATGACGGTTGAAATTAGCAAACCAGTCACGGTAAGCGTATTGATCATAGTAACCATATCACTTACCTTGGACCATTCGATAGATCGCATCCATTTTCGAAGGTAGGGCCGTGTCATGCGCGGAGTTGTAGTATAGTCGGGGGGTATGTACCGGCACCTCAGTTCATAGCTCGGCCGTAGAACAAGCGAGCAAAAAGGATAAATGTACAGCAAGTCAAATCATGCCTTTCAAAACAAATGCCGTCTTCTCGAGAATACGTGGAGAACAGGAGAGGTGGAATGTTTCAAATGGATTTTCAGGTTACCATCACGTGCCCTGCTCCGCATCGGGAACGCGAACAAGGGAAAGCTGGACCTCGACCGAGACCACGCGGGATTTGCTGGTGCATTGTTTTGCTGGATTCCTATTGTCGCAGGCAACAAGATCCTCAATCTTGTCAATCGCCATTCATTTTAGGCTTCAATATATCTTAAATCTACCCCATCGTCCTCCCAATCATCGGCTCTGGACCATTATCGCGTAATCGGGCACCTCGCATTTCACCGTCATCTGAAGCTCAAATCTGCGCAACGCGAATCGTCTTTCCCTTTCTCTCCACTGGCCAACGATACTACAACCACATCTTGAGTCTGCTTGGACATGACGGTGGATGGTCTACAAAGCGCTCCCCGCGCATCTCGTCACTGAGGAATCTTCACGATGCCGGGTGTCGTCGAACTCCCCGTTGGTGCCGCGGCACGCCCGTTGGATTTGGGATTTAGCGTGGGCCATCAGAAAGTCGAACTTGAAATTGATCTAGCCACCAAAAGCCTCAAAGGAAGCACGGAAATAACACTTCACCCTCGCCGGAGAGATCTGGGGATAATCTGGTTGAATTTTCGACAAGGCGAGATTAAGCGCTTGAGCGTCAATGGCAGGGCTGCATCGACTAAATACACTGATCACTATGAGTCACTACAACTTTACGGCGTTCAATACCATGAGCGCTTAACACCAAAAATCGATACCCTCTTACAAACCCCCCAAGACCCACCTTGCCCATCACGATTCCAAAGGGCGTCCGCATCGACGAACTAGATCCATCTTCGGCCGAAGCACAGGATCAAATCGCGCTACAATCTAGTGTTGACAATGTTGACGGCCCTGCGAGTGCTAGAGCACCAGAGGCGAACCTCCCGCGATTCACGGCTCTGACAGTAAATATTGAATTTGTCATCGAAAACATTCGGGATGGTTTACAATTTGTTGGAGTCGAAAATGGAGATCGGCGGTATCCTCATGCCTACACAACAAACTCGCTGGAGTCTGGTATAGGCTGTCCCCTGTTTCCCTGCGTGGATGATATGTCCTCGCGGTGTACGTGGGAGGTTTCCATAACTTGCCCCAGCTCTCTTGGTGATGTCTTCGATCGCAAGTCTCGCGATGTATCTGGTGCAACAACACCGTCGCGCCCCAAAGCGCAGACCCGCCAATTGTCTGCGGATGATGAGGGCCTTGACATGTCCGTTGTGTGTTCTGGTGACCTCACCGATGACATTGTTGACCCCAAAGACCCAACCCGAAAAACAGTCTCCTTTGCGTCATATTCGCCATTGAGCGCCCTACAAATTGGGTTTGCTATTGGCCCATTTGAATATGTCAATCTGGCCGACTTCCGCGAGAGTGACCAGGACGAACAATTGGGCCAAAATGCCATTCCTTTGCACGCATTCTGTCTCCCCGGTCGAGCCGATGAAGTGCAAAATGCTAGCTTTCCCATGGCTCAGGCGATTGATTTCTTCTCTTTATCTTACGGGTCGTATCCATTCGGCAGTTACAAGATGTGTTTTGTCGATGATCTCCCAACAGACAGCCTTCCCACTGCGTGCATGTCCATATGCAGCAGTCACCTTCTCTTTCCAGCAGAGATGATCGACCCTATGTATGACTCCACCCGGGCCCAGGTGCACGGTCTGGCATGTCAATGGACCGGCATCAACATTATCCCTAGCGAGCCTGCCGATACGTGGGTGACAGTCGGTGTGGCATGGTACATCACAGATACATTCATGAGAAAGCTTTGCGGCAACAACGAATACCGTTTCAGGCTCAAGCAGATGTCTGATCGGGTCTGCGAATTAGATTTTGAACGTCCTTCTATATATGACATGGGTAACATTCTCAAAGTTGACCCTTCCGAATATCGTTTTGTTGCACTGAAAGCGCCTTTGGTCCTGTTCATCCTTGACCGGCGATTGACTAAGGCCAGTGGCAAGGCCACAATGTCTCGCATTATCTCTCGACTTTTCCTGAACTCTCGCATGGGTGATATACCCAATGGAGCTGTGACCTCGTCTCTGTTCCAAAAAACTTGCGAGCGATTAGGTCACGCGAAATTGGACGTTTTTTTCCAGCAATGGGTCTATGGCGCTGGCTGTCCTCGATTCCAAGCGACCCAGAGATTCAACAAAAAGAAACTCGTCGTTGAAATGATGATCAGACAGGTACAATCTGAGCCTCAAGTTCCTCGCGATCTGGACAAGGATTCCTTTTTGCGCGATGTGAAGGAAGAGGTCCGGCATGTCTACGCTGGCGCAGTTCAGCCGGTCTTTACAGGGTCGATGACCCTTCGGATTCACGAAGCAGACGGAACCCCTTATGAACACATCGTCGAAATCAAGGAAGGTGTCACGAAGTTTGACATCCCATACAATACAAAGTATAAGCGACTCAAACGCAACAAAAAGCAAAGAGAAAGAGCAGTCGCCTCTGGTGATGCCGAAGTCCAAGAAGAGGTGCTCCTGTACTGCTTGGGAGATGTGCTTCAGACCGAAGAAGAGACACAGGCTTGGCGCTTAGCTGACTGGACGAAAGAGGATGAGGAGAGGATGGGACAGGAATCATACGAGTGGATCCGAATGGATGCTGATTTTGAATGGATCTGCAAACTGTCTCTCGGCATGCCAGGTTATATGTACCTCTCACAGCTTCAACAAGATAGAGATGTTGTGGCCCAGCTTGAGGTGAGTTAGTTACCTTGCTCTTTATTGGGCATCCAAAGCTAATCCTAAGAATCCCAGTCATTGCAATACATGGCTGCTCAACGAGAACATCCTTTGATTTCCACCATCTTTGTTCGCACACTCATGGACAGCCGATATTTCCATGGTATACGTACCACCGCTGCACGTGCTTTGGTGAAACATGCCAAGGATGAGGTTGACTGGGTCGGACTGTTTCACCTGGAGAAGGCGTTCCAGGAGCTTTTCTGTTTGCCGGGATCACCCATGACTCGATCGAACGACTTCTCCGACCGGGCCGCCTACATCCTCCAACAAGTTATCCCCGATGCAATCTCTAAAGTTCGTGACAACAGTGGCAAAACTCCTCTGAGAGTCAAACGCTTCCTTTTCGACAAATTGAAGTTCAATGACAACTCAAACAACGAGTACTCGGACAACTTCTATGTGGCCTCTCTGATGAAATCGTTATGCCATGCAATGCTTGGTAAGACCGAATCACGCACCGATGAGGAACTAGACCATTTTGATATGGAACGTGTGCTTGAGGCTCAGGCAGAGGAACAACTAGACAAAGACGCCATCGCCGAGTTTGACCGCTACCGACGAATGGATGAATGGTCTAGCTCATTCCAGAACCTCTACTCTAGGGCTGCGCTTCATTGCCAGGCGCAATTGATGCAGGCCAGGATCCTGGATATGGATTTGATGCGTTTCGTCCCGTACACACGAGCGGGAACTTATGATCTCCTCCGGATGCAAGCTTTCCAGTGCTTGGTTGACCTGGATATTTCCCAGAGCCCGGAACTTCTTCGGTGGCTCATGTTCACATTATCGGCCGATTCATCGGCTTGGATACGGCATCAGTCGCTGCGTCTGCTCGGTCAGGCCCTAGCCCAAATCGCCTTCGGTCGGCCACAACAGGCCGAAGCCTCGCTAAATGATGGTTTGATCATTGAACAAGAATCTTCCACGCAGATTCGCCGGGATGATATTGCACGCCGCCAAACTATTCCCGGTGCCATTGAAGCTCTCAGGCGGGAGCTTGCCAGCGATGTATCTATGAAGGAGTGCATGTGGGCAGCATGCAATTCCCCCTGCATGGGACTTTTAGAACTCTCCGAGCTCACAGACCTTTGCCGCACGCTTTATGATCCAATTACGTCCAAGCTTGTGCGCATGAAGCTCCCTCGGTACTGGAATGTCCAGAACCAGGGCCATGGCAAATTACGTTTCTTCCGATCCACGAAAACACGCATGGGCCCGTCTTCCAAGCGCAAGCGGGAAGATCAAGCGATGCATCCTCCTTCATCTACTCGCATTACGTTCAAGCAGTCCAAGACTGGCCCAAGCCCGGGCACCCCATCTTCTACCCCTCTTCACAAACTCCACATTCCCAGGCCGTCACCTGTGCAAAGCGCATCACCTAGAGCTCCAGCCACATCTACACCCAAACTCAAGATCAAGTTTGGTGGTCGACCAACATGAATAATCCAGATATGCTCCTCCGAATATGTCATGTACTTTATCAATATCGCTTTTTTATTATTTTTCCTTTACCATTCAATTCAGGCAGGAGCATGGAATCCAAGCATGCTACCAGGCGCGAGGTTGATTCAGGGTTATCTTCCGATTTCACTATCACATTAGCTGCGCCTTATGCTCATTGTCTCCTTGTAGATTCCAAAAAAAGTCATTGGGGGTAGCCAAAATAGTCTAAATTACGCCCTGGCAAACGCGTAGAAAAAAAAATAGAACAGAAAAATGGTTTTGATTGTTCCCATAAGAGAAACCGACCCAGAAACTCCCAGTAGCATTAGCTCTTTTCCCAGCACTCGGTGATGGAGTGGTGCCTATGTGCGTGCCCTTCAATCAAAAGAAACGTCGTAGATCGTGCGTGTAGATGTGTGACTTATTTGTCGGTAATGCGCTCGAGTGCCTCCAGCATCACAACGGAGTTACCACGGATGACCTGTATGGGACGGACCATTAGCAGAGTTCTAGGTCCCAATGAGTGATTCAAACGTACGATCATGCCAATGGCAACCTTCTCTCCACCCTCCTTCTCCTCGAATGCTTCATCGAGGACAATGTTCATGAAGACCTGCGCGAAAGCGATGTTAGCTAATCTGCGCCTACTCCGCACCGTCTGCTGATTTTCCGAAGGCGGGTCTCGTATGTGACAGTAGAGCGGGGGTTGTCGCGGCATCGCATCATAGAGAGCTCTGGCAGGGGTCTGAACGTACATCGTAGCCGCGGAGGATACCAATGACTTTGCGGTTGCCGTTAAGTTGGCAGAAGACCCGCTTCTCCATGTACTGTAGCAAAGGCACGGCGTCAGCTGGGGTCTCGGGACAAAAAAAGAGCACCGATGGTAGGAAAAGCACTTACCTTCTTCAATTCAGGCTGGGCTTGAGGCATATTGGGCGAGTTGGTTGGGTATCTTGGAGGTTGGCAAGATTCGAGTGACCGCGGTGGCATTGGGAGTTTGGTGCAAGCTGGGCCGGCAGAACTATAATCCGGATATGCGATACGCGATAAGAGCTGCTGGTCTTGTCAAGCTCATACATCCACGCCACCCACTTGCATCACCCTTAGCTTCTCCCACTTGAACATACTTTCACCATAGTGTCAAATATGAGTTCAAGATTTGCAAATCGCAGAAAGCCTCGGAAGATTGGCGGGGATGACGAGGAGGAGGATGGCGCCGCTCCATTAGGTATGTCCGCTTAATCTACTTTTTTCTACCCTCGGATTTCGTCCATTAAGACAGAAGCTAACAATAGTCCTCTAGAGTCAGTTGTCAAGCGCCCAGCAAACTTCAAACCGAAACAAAAATCCAAGTTGCAGCTATCATTTGGCGCCGACACATCAATGAACGATGGCGATCAGGAAAGCGAAGTGATTGTACCCAAACGCCACGGCCTCGGGCGCAAGGCGATGGGAAGGAGCGCCGCTGCAATCTCAGCCGAGGATCTTTCTGCCCGTTTCGGCCAGGACCAAGATCGGCCCACCTACAGCCAGGACTACTTGAAAGAACTTCGCAATTCAACACCCTCCACCCCGAAAACACTTACCGACGACGAAACCAGCAAGGCCGTGGATGTTGCCGCCAAGTTTGGGGAGGTTATGACTGTTGCCGGACAAGCGCATATCCCTAGCGAAGCCGAGATTCGTGAGAAGAAAGCCCGACGCGCGCGCTTGGCCCTTGAACATAACGCGAATGGAGATGACTTCATTTCATTAGACGACCACGATGCAGCACATGTCGATGACTGGGATGCAGTGGCACGAGGAGATAAAGAAGTGAAGGATACAAGACTCGTTCGGGATGATGAGGACTTTGCGGAAGGATTCGAGGAGTTCACGGAGGATGGGAAGATCTCGCTCGGACGGAAGGCAGAGCGTGAGAAGAAGCGAAAGGACCGCGAAGCAATGCGTGAACTCATTGAGGATGCTGAGGGTGTTTCCGATGAAGATGATTCTGACTTTGAGGAAAAAGCTGCCTATGAAGCCGCCCAGACCAGGGCAGCTATGTATGGCAAGTCAGATGCTATTGATCGTCCGAAAACGCCCCCCAAGATGACATCTCTCCCAAGACTGGCTAGCAGCTTCGACAGGCTGCGTATGTCTCTGGCGTCAATGCAGGGCTTAAAAACACAAATGATCAGTCGCATGGAGGAAATGAGGAAGGAAAAGGCGGATATTGCAGTCCGTGAGGTGGAGATTCAGGCGATGATCAAAGAAGCCGGCGACAACTATGAGAGATTGAAGAAGGAAGCCGGGATTGCCCGGAGTGGTGAACTGAACCCTTCCAATGGAGCTTTAGAAAAGTCCAGAGGACTGGAAAGTATTGGTGCCCCCGTGCCAATGAGACATTCCTCGACATCGGACTCGTCAGATTCCAGTTTCGAGGAGGATTCTTCATAGGACTTTCTTCTACATGAATCTATTTCTGAGAACTTCCACTTGTGCTGTGGGCGACCTAGGGATTCAACCTTCCCAGCCTCACCGATCATCTCTTTTGCATGTCTTTGTGGAGTTACTTTGTTTGTTTTGATACCCAAATATTAGTCTTTTATGTTACGCCCAATTTTCAGCTACCTAGGTTTCGGTCAGTATAGAAGCCTGGGCCGTAACTAACGTTCTTCATATGCCAATAAATCCACGGTGATCTCTGGATATCTCCGAAGCACGCCAGCTAACCTATGCAGGTGTAAGACGATCAGCCCCTAGGCTTGCGCTTTTTGCCCACTCAGACACTGATTATCATGAATCGGTTCTTTGGACGCCTATGCTTTGTGTCTGATAAATCGACTCGAAGAACCTCTTTCCAGAAAGCTCACACTGGTCTGCCGGGCTGGACCGCAACATTGTCCATCGAACATGTCGCCAGGCTAATACTTATCTACGCTTTGCAAAAAACCCACGGGTAGCTTCTAATGCATATTCTGATTGGGCCTTATGACTGACCCAATTATAGGGGTAGTCATCGCCGGCGTGAATCAGCCAGCGCAAATTCCCTGGGTAATGAGCTTCCTCGAACCTGGAATCCAATTTCGACCCGCCTGGCCAATATTGAGCCAATTGGGCACTAATGCGACCTGACCGTTGGATTTAAACCGATGTAATTTGCCGTCTGTACATCTGGCATCATCCTACAGGTAATCTTACACTGCATACTTCACCGATCTCACACTTTGCTGCACGTTTGAAAGGGTATTATATCTCATGTAGTCCTTGTCACCAGGGCCTGCGAGCACCCAACCTTTGACTCAAATACCCAAGTGTGAGCGAATAGAGAAACCCATGCGATCAAGACATTTCTTCTCCAATGAGACAGTTTTTCCTGTCGACTCTCCGTCGAAGAGGCTGGGATGTGAAGGGTCATTGGAGGCTCACATTCCAAGGGAGAACACCATTTCGAAAGGCTTTATGGCCATCTTATCCAAATTATCACTTTATGTCGAGGGGATAGTCTCGGGCAATAGAATTGCCAAAGAGGCGATGCAGCTGGCCGGATAGACCGAGTGTTCGTTTGTCGGCCTGTTCTTTCTGATTATATACTGGTGGCCGTGTGTTAGTTCACGTTCCTTGATATATATCTCTACACACTTCAAACATCTACTATTGTGTATTTCTTATATTTCTAGAACAGATCGCAATGTCTTAGCATACTGAGGTCAGTTAGCGTTAGCCTTAACTCAAAGTAAATAGAAAAAGCATCCTCCTTGAATGCTAGAGCTGTGACTGCGTTGAGCCGAGCAATCCAATCGAATCCGAAGAATGATTGTTGATATTCGTACTCAAGTGACCCCCTACTTTGATGAGGGAAACACACCTGAATCTTCTTTTGATATAGTTGCTCTGCAGGCAAAGAAAACCTCACATTGTTCATTCAAGGTATATCGAAGTTTCGTAGTTCTCTATATTTAGTTCTACAATGTCGGTGAAATCGCCACGGTTCTTGTAGATTTGATTGGCAGGTAAGTCAATGTCTCCGGACCGAATCCTCAATATATACGCGTTTGCTCAGCAATTTTGGCAGCATCACTAGATTTACCCATTCGACGGTCTTTCCTGACCTCCTTGGCCATGATGTATGATTTGGCACTAACACTGGAATAGTTGTCCCTTGATAGACCCGTGTTCAAGCTTGTTAGCCATATTCCTCGTTGACCGACTATTTGACTTGCTAGCATCCCGGGACGACGCAGCTGGCCGACGGAAGCGGGAAAGCGACGGGGAATTCAAACATCTAGCATTTTGGCCGGGGATGGCTTTCACTGATTTGTTGGTTTTGGCAAGTTTTTGCCAGAGCATTGGTGACCCCTGGCAGCATCGATATTGAAACACCAGTACGGAGTAGCCAGGCACCATGTTATGTTCTTCCTTGGCTCCGTGTGGAGCCTTATATAAATTCCTCGATTTTGCTGTTCCAGAGATGATGACACATTTTGTATTCCCCTCTAGAACTACAAAATGCATGGTAACCATTTCTACTCATATCATTGAGTATAGGAAGTGACAATCAAGCCTTGACAGCTGACTATCTTCCCCAGACTCAATCGAGATGCTAAATCCCAAATTAAAAAAAATGCCGCAGATTTCCCGAAACCTCCAGTGCGAGGTGAAATATTATGAAACAGAAACTGACATTGTATCACAGGATTTTTTGTTTCTAATGGAAATTATTAGCGCAGTAACCGCGACAGTGCATACCTACATGCTAGCACACCACGACCTGACGATCTGGAAGATAGTAGGCTGGATGTTCCTCCCATCTGTTAATGAGTGGTCATGTCTCATCTATTTTATATTTCTAGTCTGCAAGAAGTGATACAATCTCCATTAGGAAGGAGTCGAGTCCCCTTATGTGGAAGATGGATATTTCTACATCCTTGATGTCTCAATCTCTAATCTATCGACCATTTGGTCTCTTTTAAGTGGAAAACCAGATTCGAAGATTTTAGTCGATCTATCCAGGACAGCTTAAGGCCAATAGAAGATTAACAGAGATAAACTACAACAAGGCAGCACTAAAGTACATACCCACAACCCTGGTATCTGGGATCCGCGATGAGCCCTAACTCGGCCAATCAATCAGCGACGGGGAACCAACAGCCAACAGGCTGCCAGGGAGCTTCTTTTAAATTCGACAACACCAACCTATCTTTGCTTTTTGCACAGTTTTCTTCAGCTCAATTTAGTTCTCCACTGGTTATCCCTAGATCCACTGTTCGTACACACCCAACTCGTCCAGTCTGTTTACATCCCGCCTCTTCCAATCCCCGGATTTGTTTCAGGTTCGATTTGCGCATTGATGATAATAAATGGAGCAAAAACAAGTCGTCGGCTAGCCTTAGCCGACAAGATCATAATATGATTCACAAATATGATCTGCATACGCGTAAAATGAAGTCGGCGGTCGAACACCTGGAACCCTGGAGAAAAGGCCAAATCATGGACTCACTAGGGCGGCAATGGAAATATGACACTATCAGAACACTGCCTCAATAATCCTCTCTCGTATAATGTCAAAGTATTCGGGATATGAGGTTCTTTCCCCTTACCAGGGAGCCGGACCGGATCTTTGCGCGTTCGTCCTGCGGCGGACCTATTTTCGATCTTCCCGGTTTCAACGCCACCTAGACCATCCCAGCGGTCGTCAACGAAGCTTCTTTTGAATTGGGCTTGTCTTGGGATGTTGGTGATCCGGGGAAAAGGGGGAATCGGAGGATTTTCCTTTTCCTTTCTTTTTGTTTCTTGTTCGGTATGTTGGCGGCGCTGAATCATCTATCTCTCGGCAGTGCGGGATTTGTATATTGTCTCTATTTTTTACCAGGATCATCAACAATTCCACGAATAAGCCAATCCCACAATGAAATCAGGCGAAGAATTTCATCGTCACATGGCTCTCGTTGAAATTCGGGGGACCAATATCGCAGAACATACAACCAACACATGCTGACGCGACGAACTCCTGTGGGAGCCTCAGGAGACTGGGTAGTCCAGACCCGTCGGCAAAAGTATCTCCAATCAGCCTCCAACCAGGAAATTGCGCCTACCGCTATCCCGTTCACTTTACTTTTTCTCAAGCAGGTTGGATTGGCTCCCATGGCCTGATTGGCCCGGATGCCACTTAGCCTCCCCCAGAAGCTCCCTGCAGCTATCCGCCCAGGATGGAACATTCCAAAACGGCCCGAGCCACTGCCAAGATGTGGAGCTGTACAGAGTTTGTCGATCAGGTAGACGTGCAGACGGATGCACTGCCCTGGTCTGGGTTGTACATGGTGGAGATCAGCGATGCCCGCGGGATACTGTATGTGGACCGTTGCGAACGGGGATGTGGTTCCGAGGCTATTCAACCAGGCCTCCCTGACTACATATGAACTTGGATGAAAATAAGGGCAAGCAAAATAAGAAGACAATTGAGCGGAGATATATTGTCATTGCTTCAACAGCTGGAAGCGAAGATCTTCTTCAAGAAGCCGTCGAGAATACAACCAGCCCATCATTCGCTTTGGTTTCATACGTTTCCTAGACATGGCTTCTTCTGCCACCGGATCGAGGCTAGATCGCGATATGAAGCTAGGCAATAGAGAAAAGATCTGAAACGTTCGGCAAGTGGATCATGGCCGTACGACTGGGTTCCGGCTGATTCCCAGACCTGAATTCGTGATCTGGCTAGGGTTCAGAGGCACTGGAGTACCAACCCATGTCTATATTCTTCTTCTTTGTTCTCCCCTGTATCTTCCAGGCGCTCAGAAGACGGCCAAGGCCTTTCTCTTTCTGCTGATCTCGCTATGGCACGGACCTTTTTTAGATTAGCCGGACCGTGAACTTGAAATGAGCTGGCGGAATGATAGACATGGTTCAAGTGCGACTGTGGTTTGTCAAATGTATGGTACCTTTTAGAAGACCTAGCGAATATATCTATCTAAGCTTCCGGCATATCTGAATTCAATGATATATATTTGATACTATTTCATCCCTACACTCGAGCGACCTTTTATACTGTCTGTCAAACAATCTCTCCGCATTGCCATCCTGCAATCTAGGCAACCGATTATACAGCCATCGGGTATCTAGTGCTTTGCATTTCTTCAGCCAACGGTCTAATTGCCGACATATGTGAGACTTGCATTCAACGGCTCGACCTACGGTCCAATACACATCAAGACCAGTCCCTAGGACTCCAGGAATCCTGAATGCTCTGAGGCAATAATCGTCCTCGAGATTTGCAATTCCTTTCTCTTTCACTCGAAATATTGAAGAAGCCTTTCATCCAGTTCGTTACCTGTGGTATCTTGCTGTGGCATCGAGTTGCTATCTATTACGTGCATAAGGTGAGTGATGCCCAATGACTTCCACCCTTCTAACTGAAAACTCTCCAGATATAATAAAGCGCTAACCTCTCATAACGGCCAGCCCTGCAGCTCCCCTCGATTTCTCCACAGTCTAGCCGGTGTAGACTGGCCGACAAAGAGGTTTCCTCTCAAGAAGCGGTCATCCACAAGCGGCGACAACCCGCGTACAACACTCGCGAGCAGTTGCGGTGAGGCGTGGGAGGCGATACCCCATCTCATCCTGTTATATTCTTGTATATTTGTTTTATTTTTGTCTCTGTGAAGTCTACATGGCGGACGTACTGTATATTCCTGGAATGTCGAAGTCATGGCTGGGCCACCTGGAGGCATATACACCTCCATTGCCCGATCTCCTTTCCCCTGGTTTATCTGGTCTACCTAGAATTTGGGACGATCCTGATAAACTCTCTTCATGTTCTCTTAGTGATTGGTACTCCTTCTTTTACCCCTCCATATCAAACTCTCACTTGGATCCCCCTACGCCACATCATTCTTCCCCATCACCTCAAACACCACACCATCCTCAAAAGCTCGTTCAAAACATGTTGAATCAACATCGTGTGCTGGAGCCTCAAATGCCTTCTAGCGGAGATCCAGTATACACGTCGCTTCAGTCTCAAGTTGCGCCTGCGACTGCCTATTCCCAGAGCGTGTCGCCCTTTACGGCAAATCCGAATGTCAACGGCACTCTGTCAAGCAAGGACAGTTCGTACTGCGACTCTGATCGTGCGACTCTCGATCAATTCGATGAGCCCTTGACGACTCGTACAGCTGAAGCACATACTAGCCTCCTTCATCCAACCCCAAGGAGCGGCATGTGCATGATGGCCCACAATTTGCAATTCCTGCCGAGCAGTGAGGAAATCCCTTCTCTGTCGCCTTTTGGGCTCCCGGATACACCCATTGGCGAAGAGTCTCTCCACAGTCATCCCCATATCCCACAACCCTCCGACTACAACATGGCGTCCTCATCTTTCGACTCTCATCTGCAGAGGTCACAACTGGCGCCACCCAGTTCCTCGCCAGAGATGAAGCCTCTCGGTTATGACCAGGCTGCACCATGGGCCGCATGGAAGCCAGATACCACAACAGACATCTGGTACCCTGCTCGAGTCTCCAACGGATTACCAGACGATAACAGCTGGCAAAACCAACACTCTTACTCTTTACCCTGGTCTGGAAACAATCCTTCATATCCTCACCTAGAAGAATTCAACAGCCATGAGAGCAACAACTACGGAATGGGGGATGGAATCCCCCTGTCATCTTTTGGCCGGACCATTGCTTTCCCATCATTTTCACCCATAGCTCACCCATCCTACGCAGCAGCCCCTGTATCACAGATGGGCTCAGCTGGGCTCACTCACGGATACCCCCTTCCACCACAGCCAACTCATCTTGCATCCACCCAACCCATGTATTCGGACACGGACCTCGGGTCCCCGAATCAAAATACCGCCAATAGCCTCAGCCCATCCTCCTTCACCCCCTCCACAGAAGAGGGCACCTCCCCCCAACAAGTCGGAGAAGGCTCAGGCATTGAGGCAGATCCAAACTACACAAACGAGCGTAACGCCTTCCTTATCGACTGCAAGCGCCGCGGACTATCATACAAGGCCATCAAGCGAGTGGGAGGGTTTAAGGAGGCGGAGTCTACCCTACGGGGACGGTACCGCACTCTCACCAAAGCAAAGGAACAGCGCGTGCGCAAACCTCAATGGCGAGACAAGGACGTGAGTTGATTACCTTTTATCTACCATCTTAACACCACATCATACTGACATGGCTTCATTGAAAAGGTTAGACTTCTCTGTGAAGGTGTCAAGCTCCACGCTGAGACCCCATCCACATACAGCCCTCTGAACATCAACGAGCCGCCAAAGGTATCGTGGAAGAAAGTCGCTGAGCATATTAAGGCTAATGGAGGATCTTACCACTTCGGAAATGCGACTTGCAAGAAGAAGTGGTGTGATCTCCATGGAATCACCCGCTGATGTGGGCAAGTCTTCGTCGGCACACGATTGGTGTGCACTTTGCTTTTTGTGTGTTCTTTTGACTATGCAACGTTTTCGCGAATGTTTTACCTTTTGTTTTGGTGTTTTTGTATTATCAGCTGGCCTGACTTTCCGTGTCGTAACATTATATCTGTATTCTAATTTCCTGTTGATTTTGTTTCTAATTTTTGACCTTTCTTTGGGCTACATATTATAAAGTGTTACTCACATGCCAGGCAATCAACGGGTTTGATTAACGCTGTCTATAGACTTCAATGCAGTGCGTGCCCTCTAGCGCTTCAGGTCGTCAACCTCGACTTTGCCATGGGACTGCAACACAACAGAAGCAGGCCATGTGCTTTCTTCCCCTTGCCTTGGCGTTTGACCTATCTGCCACAGGAACGACCAGCATTTCTGTGAATCTGGTGACCTGAGACAACGTAATTGGGGGGAGAAGAGTGCGTATTGCATGAAACCATCGTCAATCCGATGCAGATCAATTCCAAGAGCCATTTTGGCCCTTTACCGGCAGGGTGGCTCTTGCAGGGGCTTTTCCCTTCCGATGGGATGTCCACGATCTCCCCCAGATTATTCCGTCCCTCTGTCTCCTGATTTAGAGGACACTGGGGTCTTGGGGAAGACTCGTCGCACTGATTTGCGTTCATGCCCGATGAGGTGAAACCGAAGATGAATGGGAAGCACAGCTTGATGGAGAGAATGATGGTAATTTGCCGACCTGTATGTGAGGTCAGTTCATCGAAGTTAAATAGAAGTGGATTATGAATGTGGAAGGATACTTAGGTAGTCTTACCCAAGCCGGGCCATGATCTGATCTCGTCTTCCAATGATATCGCATCAGGAGAACCAGGAAAAGGAGACGATTCCTGACTGATCATAGAGAGATCAGAGAGATCGATGTAGGACCCAAGTTCAAAACGAGGAAAACCCCTGGTAAGAGCTCTTTGCTGCCCCGGGCTTATACTGGGGGTTTATTTCAACTGAGATTTGAACCAACTGGTGAGATCAACAAAGTGAATTGATGAAGTGAGGTGGGTAAGTATGTGAAAGAAGAGAGGTACGAAAAATGAAAGAAGTTCCATTGAAAACTATCTGTCGCCCGAAATCCAACTGTGGGCAGGGAATCGTCCTTGGAAGTATATCCCCAGAAAGATATCACAGAAGGATTCAAAAGACTGAATAAAACGGAAATATCATTTCCCGGTAATGTCAAGCTCCAGTACTGAGACGAGTCAACAGGGGAAGCACAATCCATGGGGCATGTATTGGTCCTAGGTGAACAAGGAATGTTTCCAGGAGCATATCCCTCGTGAGATCGTTTTCAACACGGCAGATATGAAGTCCAAGAACCACTTTAGCCTCTTCGATCCTCACAGTCATTGTCTCTCGCTCTTGGCTGGATAAATCGCGTCGGAAATTCCTTTCAAAAACCCTGACTGCGAGATGCGCGATTGCATCTAGTATCTCCTCTTCAATGGACCCCTGAGGCAATGATACTATGTCCGAAGAAGAGCTTGTTTCATTTTCGCTGGTATCGGGTACCAGCGAAGGACACGACAAGGAAGGAGAGGCGGAAAAAGCGGGAAGTGAAGGGGAATGAGAAGAGGTGGATCTAAACATTGTTGCGTTCTGCAATCTCGTCAAAACTATCGAAGTTGAGTGGGAATGAGTGAGAGATGTGGAAGTAGGCGGTTGACCAGCTATTAATGGTTAGTGCTGGAGAGTTAGACCTCCCACAGGCGCTGATTATTTGGAGGGAGTGATACTGATTTTCAATACTGGACTAGCTGTTTCTGATCGATATTTTCCGGAGTTAAGCGGCCCAAATTATCCAAGTCAATCAGCCTGCTCGTACCAGGCTGTCTGATTGATGTTGTAGAAGAGCAAAAGCAGACTTCAATAATGCGAGATCACTCTGTCCGTTCATAGAGATGACAAAAGCTAAAAGATCTCTTTGATATCGAGCCCTGGAAACAACAAACCGACTAAAGACTTAGATATCAGTACATCTTCAGTTGAAGCGCCGTATCAATCTAGCATCCCAGATTCAATACGTACCTAGGTATAAGATACAGAAGTATGGAGATGTTGGCGGTAGATCACATGTCCACATGTGACGCTTTACAAGAACAAAACCCACAGACAGCTATATTTTCTTCCAGATTACCTTCCCCTATTCCCCCAAACATTGCGAGTCATCAATTTTATATTATCGATCAATTATGTATTTCTTATTTATACGCCTTCGTTATAGCAGAGATATGATACCGTATAGACCCACACATGGGTTTATATCTCATGTCCTCGCCTACCCAATTAGGAGACGGCCCCTTTCTATGAGGATACCCGAATGAGAACCGGAAGACGCTTTGCCCATCATTATACGCTTCTCATGCCTTTCCCGCCCCAGGCTCAAAGTCCCAAGTGTCTTCTTATCCTCAATACTTGACGTGAGTCTTGTCGTGTGATCCTCTACAACCAGTTTACTGTCTAACCAACGCTTTCTAGTGCCTGTAATCGAACTTACTATATAAGCAAAGGGTCGAAGTTTGCCGAAGATGGAAGTCCCGGCTTTTGAGTTTGCAGCCATTCACAAACTTCGCGCTTCCATTATCGCCGATATCCACGACCTCGTGGATGACATCCAGTATTGTGTCAGTTTGGCTGGAGCCAATCAGGCAAAGTACGAACGACTTCATCTATATCTCAAAAGGAGGAAGATATTTCTGCTTTCACGCATTAAACAGGTCCAGAACAGTTATTTGAAACACTCTCTGATGATTATGTTTGTGGTTGAAGTTGGAAACGAAAGCTTTACCGATCAGCCATTCTGAGAAACCGAAAAGCCCCTGGATAATCGCACTATACAGGGATGAAACTTTTCAAGTGGCCCGGTACCCATATCTTCGGTCCACTAGTTTCAAGTTTCTTTCATTGGGGTGCAAGCTGTATGATACTCTGCCAGATTCAGTTCACAGAGTCGCAATGGACAACTGCGTCTCGGTAGGTCGCTCGTCGAGTTTTTCTTATGGCTCCCGACGAGGTCCGTCAGGTGCTAATGTACATTACAGCTCCTCGCAATGGTTGAACTCTGTAATAGGGTCCAAGCACGGGGAGGAGAGTTGTGAAGAAAGACACAGAGCTCCCGACTGTTCAAGTCTACGACGGGGTACGCCCGAAACAACAAGATATCGAACCGACGAATATTCTCCGCATTAGGCAATATGGTAATTAAAGACAGAAACCAAAAACTAATCGGAAACAACTTTGTCGCTCGAAATATGCATTTCATTGAAATTGCCAAGGAGCCCAAATCCGCCCGACATGATGATGGTGGGGAGATCAGCCTGAGGATGACAAGCGATGAGTTAGCTTACTGTGGACGAAAACACCATGGATTCTACAAAGGAGGCGTTAATAGAAGTACGAGAGGAAGCCATTTGACAACAAATCTTTGGACTGCAGACCCTGTGGAAAGGGGAAGCCAGCACGCCAAGGAGGCTAATACTGGCCTGTTGGTATGTATTGATCATAGCCAATGAATCTACCGGGACTTAGCCTCGCCTTCTGGTGTTGCTTACCTTGGGGATACTCTATCCAGAGCCTCCTGCACCTCGTGGCGTTTTGAAGATAGACCGTCAGGCGTTTTTCCTCATGTTGAATTTCGGTTTCATCAGCTGCAGCAACATCCAATACTCCTATCTCCCACCTCTTATATATCATCATGTCACATCATTAATGTGAGTCTCGCTCTGTCTTTCCCGGTTGCTTGTCTCCAGCTTTGCCTTTGACGAAGCGATGATTTCAAGCTCCATTCTGGCCATCCACTGTCAAATCTATTCATCCTTGCCTTCTTATAGCACTATGGTGATCTAATGAAATTTCTCCAGAGCGTCTTCATAGTTTGCGCTAATGAAGATTCCAATCCGGCATCGAAATTCTTCGACTACCCTCGTCCAATACACCATGATCATAACTTTACCCTCTCATCTGAAGGCTACTTTCAAATGCCCCAATCGACCTCTTCGGGTCACTTGTTGTACCTTGCACGAATACCTCCTGCGAGATACCCAAACAGAACAAATCGAATGCTGGGTGATCCGAATGGATTGTACCTACAAGACATCGAGGCGGGCTTTCCTTAATACCGATTTGATGGACCACGAAAAGGAGGATAGACAAATCATCCTCTCATCTTCCCAAGCTCTATGCTTCTTTTACCCCATACAATGTCTACTGATAATGGGAAGGCATTGATAGATGCTATCAAAGCCGTCGTTCCAACGACAAGCAGTATGATCTGTATCTGGCACATAAAGGGGAATATCATGGAGAAAGTCCAACGACAAGCAGTATGATCTGCATCTGGCATATCAAGAGGAACATTATGAAGAAAGCTCAACCATGAGCTGACTCCCAATCCGAACCTCTCAGATTCTCTACCCTTTCTCCATTCTTGTTGGAATTAATCGATCAGTTAGAAGGTTTTGACCAGAACGAGCTTGTGGCACTCCTCGGTCCGTACCTGGGGTCCCCACGAGCCTGCAGCATCGACCTTGAGATATCTTATGAGTTCGTCTCTATCATAATACAACTCTGTCTCCTTCCCTCGGGCCCCACTATGTAGAACCCAGAAGCAGGATATGTCTTGATGCTCGAACCCGATTAGAAATAGTAGTTTCGACATTTCGATTTATGATCAGACCTTCCAATAAAAGGCTACGTATATTCCAGATTATTTTAAGCTTTGCCCTGGTTTATGTTCTGATGATGTGTCTTGTTGAGATACCCTGGTCCAGATACTAGTGACAGAGCCCAATACCAACCAAAGTAAATCTCCTGGGTAATGGGTCAAATATAATTTCACGATAGGCAGGACGAGCAAATGGAGGCCGAGCTTGATTTGACTCAACCAAGTAAGGGAAGTCCAACCGACGAATTGTCTTTCCCTCCGCAGAAGGCGGTTCTGGGAGTCCGAATCTGGGGGAATCTGAATATTTGCGAGAACAAACCATCTACTGCTACGCTATTGCTCTGGATAAGATATATTATTGCCAAGGAAGGTTATGGAGAGAGAAATGTGTCGCCTGATGGAGGCCTTTGGACTGGTAGAAGTAGAGATATACCCCTAATAGTATAGTACGTGTCAACCCTAATAAGGTAGCCCTAATCTCCATTTTCCCCGATCCCGATGTATCCAAATGAGCCTTCCTTAGGAAGATGAAGTGTAACTATCTCATTACTTTTCCACTATTCATCCTGTTCTTCTTTCTCATTCACAACATCCATCAACTTCAGTCTTCCTTGCGTCCACATCGTTGGACACTCATATCAACTACCTCGTACGCCTCGAACCACTCTCGTGTCTACTCTAATAGCTGACAAACCTTTTAAGCTTCTGCCATTCCTCAAAATGAACGGCCCAGTGATCTTTGATGAAAATCTCCGAGCCCTTCGGTCCTCTATTATTGGGCAGATCCACGATCTCAGGGCCGACTTCACGTACTGCGACACCCTCAACGGAGTGGACCATCAGAGATACAAACGGCTTCGAGCCTACCTTGCAGGTAGAAGGATTGCCCTGGAGGCCAGAATCCGCGAGATCACGGATTCCAAGCTGAGGTCCGCTCTGCTTTTCGAGCTTTATCTTCTGGCTCATTAAGCCGTTACCAAAGGGTGCACATCGAGTGTGCAGAATGAGACAATAGAAACAAACATATACAAGCTGCGAATGTACTTCTATCACAGTAGTCAGATTAATTATCTCTGTAAGGTCTCCCTTCATATTATACGCCTATCGTGACTTCCTTCCAACATCCATCGTTCCTCCTTCTTCATCAACCTCCACTTCGACCTCCTTTTACCCTAACCTCATCTCCCCTCCCTATATCCCGTTACTTCTATCTCATTTATCTACCTATTTGTGTCAAATGTCTGCATTTACCGATAATCACTTCCCATCAGGCTCACACCCTTGTGACTAACACACACTATAGACCTACAGATTCTTCAACATGAACGCGGCGGTTCCTACTCACGAGAGACAGCAACTAGTACGACCCGTGCTTGTCGGCGGCATACATGATTTTGTCGAAGATTTTGATTACTATACCACCTTGGCTACAGTGAACTAGGCAGAAAACGAAGGACTCTACACGTACCTACAGGGGCGCAAGACTCTCCGATTAGCAAGAACTCACCAGATGCGAGTCGACTATCCAAAATATGCACTTGTCACAATGTTCGAATTTTTGGTTAGATACTAGGTCCTGGCCTGGTGAACTTCTCCAGAACTTCGATAAATACATGGCTGAGGAGTTCTGTACGGAGCGTTCTTGAAAACTGCATAGTGACTCAGCTGAAGGAGGGAGAGATCTGTATTGGGAAGCGAGACAGAAGTCCTCATTCTCTGCTCTACATGTTATCTAGTAAGCCGGGGCTCCAAAAGAGAGAGGGTACTATTCACGAGCAGCAGTAGTGCGGCGGAATATGTTTTTATTTGATGCTGCTATCAATGAATGTATGTGCTCGCTGGAGGTACTGGATCAAATGAGGTATCGACAACAATTGCTAATCACGCTGTACTCAGATAGCGAAAACGGAGCTGCGGTTAAGCGAAACGACACCTTGGCCATAGGGACCCAGTGGCTCCACACCAGATACCATCTTGTGAGTCATGCAGTGCGCGAGGGCGAGATCAGCCTGCAAGTGATAGCGAGTGCATCCAACGTCCACGGGATGCATATGGACTTACTAAACCCTTGGAAAGGTGCTGCTTCAAGAGATGAGGTGCAAGATAATGGATATTTAAGATTGGAAGGGGAAACGAGGCCAAAATTACCATAAAAGATAGCAATCTTTACTATGCAAGACGGAATAGACTCGATAGGAAGGCTTCATAGGCCTTACTGCTAATCGGGGGATCCTCGGGTTATGTAGTTGATCCCTAGGGGCTTGTGTTGAGACAGTAAGTGTCTTGGTTCCTTGGATATCAACCTCATAGGCTAGAAAGTCTGGATTTCTGTCTCTCTTCGCAATACAACTATCTTCCTACTCCTTTATCTGAGTCCTAGATACTATGTAGTGTTGAGATGCCCCCTGGTGCCTAAGTATTTAGGCATAGACTTGTTTTACAGATTGACTCTATCGGTTAGGTAGTTCCTTAGTCTCTGTGGGCTATATAGCCCCTACCTTTTGCCGGCTTCTGACAATCATAGCTTCTCCCCTTTTCCTCTCTCTCTCTCTCTGTAGCCTTACCATGTAGTGCTCAACAAGAGCCATTATACACCAACTTGTTCGCCCAGGATAGGCGATGGAAAAGAGAGAAAGAGGAAGGACTGAAAATATCATCCATCTTCACATATATATTTACCGTATAACACCATGTGCTTATTAGGCCTTCCTTCCATCATCTATTACCCCCCCTCTCATCGTCTTCGACCCCAACCTCTTCTTATACTAGTCGCGTCCTCCCTATCTCATACCTTACAAGTTAGGCCCATCATCCCAAATTCCCACACAACCCTGTCAATACCTACCCACCAGAGTTCCCATTTGGTTTCTGACCAATCGCGGCCAATATCCACGGATATAAATCATAGACTCACGACCCCATCGACCTGAATGCGTCGGCCCTAGCTCTTTGTCACAAAAGCCAGCAACGATTGCGAGCCTCGCCCATTGGCGAGATTCATGCCCTCGTGCATGACTTCGAATACTGCAACACTTCGGCTCTAATCAAAAAGGCAGATTACACACTACCTTATGAATACTTACAGGCACAAAGGTCGGCCGTCTCTGCAAAAATCCATCGGATAGAAGACATTTATCTGAGATGCGCACTCCTCACACTGTTCTTCAGTTCTGGGAATGCCTTTCCCTGCTATGCGAAGGCTCCTTCAACTCCGCAGAAGGGGCAAAAGAGCGAGTGTATTAGCGGAAGCCATAGGAAAGATCAAGATCATCCATTGTGTGTATCTGGAGTTACCGACTGGGCCCAGGCACGTCGTCGACATACCAATCCTGGCATCAGAGGACGGCATCGGTGGCAACCCAATTTACAAGGGTGGCCATCTACATCTATACTTTATTTCCAGATGGAAGCGGGGCAATCCACCGAGCGACGCCGTCAATGCTCAATGGGACATTCAACAATGACGCTCAAACTACCGGCGGTTTGCCGATGCGGGCATTATCAATGCCCTTCTTCCGCTTTCTAGCAACTAAAGGGTCAAGTCCTAGCCTGCCACTTCAACAAAAGATGCAATGAACGCTTACCAACAACATCGCCAGAGCGGTTCAAAATACCGTTTTGCTTCTTGAGCGTGCTGTCAAAGTCCTCCCTAGCCAAAAGTCTGGTCATTGCGAGCATTGCCTCCTATCAAAGTCTATGTGCCGCAGCGGAGATTCACAGGAATCAGCTCCTAATCCCGCGCTCACCTACCAAAACAACGTGCGTGTTGAGATAGGGTCTCGTGATGTTCAGGCATCAACCCAGATAGATAGTCGGGAGCCGAGTCTCCATTCCTAATACAACTCTCTCCCTCCTCTCTCCCTGAGCCCTACCCTGTAGGCCTCAACAGGTTATGACGCCCTTGCTTTTCTGAAATTTCATTCTTATGGTCATTATCGTCGAGGAAGCAATTTTTCATCTTATCTTTTTCTTTTCGGTCCGCAGTGTGCAGAGAGAGTCGCAGCTGTCGGACCATATACGCATCGTGGGACAGGATGTTACCCCACAACAACCCACAAAACAGAATTTTCGAGGCAATAAGCCGTGGACCACTGAGAAATCTACGCAGAGCCACACACGACAACCCCACATTTTCTCACAACAACTAAGCCTGATAGGTAAGACTAGGGACACTGGCACTGAAAATGGACGATAACGCTGGAGAAGGGCCAAGTGGCTTCAACCAGGATCCCTCGAAGAGAGGTCCCCTTGGTAGGTGTAGGAGCACCATCAGACATGAACTGGGATCTTGTGCTAGACACTGAGGAAGATGTCGAGAGCTAGGCATTTGAATTGCCGGATCTAACAACAATTACACTGTACAAGATAACTCCGCAGTTAACAGTGCGCTTTTTTCTGACATGGAAAGGCATCTGCGTGTCTTCGGGAAGAAACAACTCTGCCTGCTGCTTGATTTACACATCATATGATACAAACGAGCATTTCCTTATATCTGGGTTTGACGCGGTACCCCAGATAACCGAGACCTTCTAACCTCTGAACGTGACTCTGTCCGCATTCAAGTCAGCCAAAGGGCCCGCTGGCAATACAATTTGGGGCTAGCCCAGCACAGCTTCAATATTCTGCTGAAGGGACAACGTCTTTGGCGTTAGTAGGTGGCTGCAGATCGACAAAATGCATCATCTTCATCGTCCTCATAACTTCCATTGCTACAGCTAGTGTCGTGATGAAGCTGAGGGATATATAATCCCGACTCCGAGGAAGACAGGGAGTTCTTCCGACACTCTGATCGCTACCGAGAGAAGCTTTACCCAATCGAGAAGGCCAAACGACGTTTGGGCAATCGTCTGTTGAGAACCATGCCTGAGGCAGGATTCTCTCATCCGCAGGATTATCAACGCTACGCCCTTTTTGTCTTTTCTGCCGAAAAGCCCACCTTTGGGGGCCAAATTGAGGACTCCGATCCTCGGCACACAAAGGGGCATAAATAGCAGGAAAAGGCAGATATTATCTAGATCTTTAGACAATTCAATACTTCCATGAGAGATCCTATTCCCAGTATCATTTGAACCCATTGTTGAAACCCTACATGCTGTATCATACCTCTGTATCTTCAACAGGTTATGAGCCCGGCTGTCTCCAATAGCCGGAATACCCAAATTGCGCAGTATAGTCCATTTGCTATATTTGCTAGCAAATATTTGCTTGCCCCTATGCACCTTTTCATCTGATCTTTGCCTAGACCTATATATATAGGTCCTCACCCCAGGATCTCTCTCTTCTTCTTGCACATATCTCACCTCTCATTTCATACCTTACCTTTCATACCCATACCTCTCGATCTCTCGTAGATCTACCTATTTTTTCATCAATTTCATTATGACCCCTATCACCCGACGGTCCCAGCGAGACAGGGGGGCATCTAGTGCACCCAGTGCACCCCATGCACCCCACGAACCCCCCGCTGAAGTCTCCGAGTCTGTCGAGACGGATGTGCAAGTCCTATCAACACAGATTGACAACCCAAACCGATTCAATCGAGATGGCTCTATGTTCTCGCTGCGTAACCGCTACGCTACCCCAAAGAACAACACCCGAGAAGAGGAAGAAAACGCCCTTCGATACCTCAGTTTCACTAAGGACCTCGGGAAAATATTCAAAAGAAAAGAAGAATATAAAGGACCAAAACTCATAGGATTAAACAATTACCGCACCTAGGCCGCTAACATACGGTAAGTGCTAAACCAAAACCTTCTCGAATAAGTTATCGACGGCAAGGCAGGATCATTACCCCCTTCGCACGAGAAGCACTATACACTAAATATATAGAAGGGAGCAGCCTAGCTTACTATCCTAAATACTATATACCTAGACTTAGCGAAAAATATCACACCGCCGAGCCCTCTAGAACCCGAGCGTATCTAATAGGAATTACAAAATTAATACGATATAAAGGATGCTTTTAC